ATTAAGAGATATGTTAAAAGTAACTTTATAGTAGTTAGAGATTATATAAAATTTTATATATTTTATTTTTTTATTATTATTTTAAATATTATAAGTATTTTCTCTAAATTTCTAATTCAAATTTCTAATATGGAACTAGAGACTAAAAAGATATTAATAAAAGATAGAAAATATTTTTATTATAAGAAGTCTAGCTATAGAAGTAAAAAATATTCTAAAAAGAAAATTATATAGGTGAAGATTTTAGAAGTTTCTATAAAAAAATCTGAGTTAATAAAAAATAATATTTAGGAAAAGTCTTTATTCTAGGTAAGCTAGAAGTTTAAATAAGTATAATAAATTTATAAGATTTACTAAAAAATAATAGTGATAGTTTTATAATTATTATTTTATTCTCTAAAGATAGTATTATTATTTTTGCTTGTATATTTGCTGATTCTAGAATTAATACTTACTTAGTAATAAATACTTAATTTACTATTAAATTAGTCTGATATTTTAAAATTTTAATACTATCTTTAAAAAAAATAATCCCTATTATAGGTTTTAATAGAAAATAAACTATTAATTTAATATATATGATTTAATTAAATTTTATAGTTAATAGCTATTAATTCCTAAATATTTTTTTTTATATTAGATTTAGAAAGGCATAATACTATTTTTAGAAAAATATAGTTTACTAAATATAATATTTTATTAGATTACTAGAATTATTGATTAATCTAGCTAAGCTAGTTAATATTAGAGAATAAGATAAAAGCTAGATTTTTTATAAGTATTTTCTAGACTATTTTAGAGCGGTCCCCAGTGGATTATAAGTATTAATAAAATATAGTCTAGAGAAACTATAAAATATAATAAAAAAATAAATAATTAAAGTTTTTATAACTATTATTAATTTTTTCTTATACTAATTAAAGCAGCCTATGCAAGGCTTTAATAAAAATAGAATATAATCTAGTTAGAAAGAACTATTAATATTATTTTTCTTCTAGAATTTTAAAGCCTGAACCAAAGCCCGCCTTAATTAGATTTTTTTATAGAGAAATAACTCTTATTAAAATAACTAGTTTCTAATAATATTTAAAGAATTTAGAGATGGAGATTTTTATTACCTTACTTAATATTATTAAAAAGATTTTTATAAAGAAACTGGAGATTCTATATATAAATAAAAAAGATAAAATTAAGAAGATTCTTTCTAAGTAATATTATAATTTAGTAAATATTTTTTTAAAAAAAGAATCTAATATGTTATTTTTATTCTAATATTACGACTATAAGATTCAGTTAAAAAATAAGAATCTTTTAAATATTATTTTTTTTTATAAGATAATAGTAAAAGAGTTGCAGACCTCCTATAATTATATTATAAAAAATTTAAATAAAAAATTTATTATATTAAGTTTTATATTTTTTATATCTCTTATTTTAATAGTCTGAAAGTCTGGAGAAGGTCTCTATTTTTATATAGATTATTAAAAACTAAATATTTTAATTAAGAAAGACCCGTATTCCCTATCTCTTATTAATAAGATAATAGACTATCTATATAATGTAAAAATCTTTATAAAATTTAATATATATTAAAATTTCTACTAGATTAGAATAGATCCTGTTTTAGAAGATCTTATTATTTTTAAAATATAATATAATCTATTTAAGTATTAAATTTTTTTATTTAGATTTATTAATGGACCTACTGCCTTCTAATAATTTATTAATAAGATTTTGATAGAGTACTTAGATAAGTTTATAATAATTTATATTAATAATATGTTAATTTATAGTGATAATACAGCTGAGTATAAATTATATATATATTTAATATTTAAAAAATTATAAATTGTAGGCTTACAGGTTATTATTTATAAATATAAGTTCTATATTATAAAATCTAAGTTTCTAAGATTTATTATTGCTACTGATAATATCTGGATAGATTTAATAAAGATTATTATTATTATTAAATAAGTAATTTTGATAATTGTATAGAGAATTTAATTATTTTTAAATTTTTATAATTTTTATTAAAAATTTATTAGAACTTATAATAGAATAGTCTGGTCCCTAATATGACTGATTTAAAAAAATATTATTTTTTATTAAGATTATATCTATACTGAAGCTTTTAAGGTATTTAAAAAAATACTAGTCTTAGTTTTTATTTTTATTTACTATGATTTTATACTTCTTATTTATGTTGAAACAAATGCCGCTGATAAAGTTATTATAAAAATATTTTTATAGCTAGTAAATAAAGCTTAGTATCTAGTAAATTATTTTTTTAAAACTATGTTTTCTATAGAATATAACTATAATATTTATAATAAAAAATTACTAGTAATTATTTGTGCCTTAGAAGAATAGTAATTAAAATTAAAAAAACTTTAATATATAAATTATTTTAGTATCCTAACTAACTACTAAGTCTTAAAATATTTTATAACTATTAAAAGATTAAATACTTATTAGGCGTGATAAGCTGAATTTTTTTTTAATATTATTTCTTAATTTGATTCTATTCTGGAAAGTATAATACCTTAATAAATATACTAATTTATAAAAATAGTAGTAAGTAAGTCCTAATATAATACTATAAGTAAATCCTATTATTTCTAGAGTATTTAGAGAATGGGATATATTTCTTTTTAATTATTTTTAAATTTTTAATTATTTTTATTTTTATACAGAAATACTTACAGGTCATAGATTAACTTTTAATAATTAACTAGAATTATTTTTTTCTAGAGTCTTACCGGGAAAGAGCCTGTTACGGTAAAAAAGAATATATTCTAGAAAATAAACTTCTATTTTTTAATAATTTATTAGTAGTTTTAGATAATAGGAACTTATATATCTAATTATTAGATAAGATTTATTATTAATTATTATTTATACATCTAGGTCGAATAAAGATGCTGGATCTTATAAAATATTAATACTATTAGAATACCTAGAATTAAAATATATATTATTACTTAAATAATTATTTAATTTATAAATAGAAGAATATATAATAAAATTTTTTTTTAAGATTTTTATAACTTCTGCTGATCCTAGACTACCTAGAATAATATTTATTAATAGATTTCTGAATGTTTTTAAAGAACTATTATAATTTTAATACTATATTTATTATTATAGACTGCCTGAGTAAATAAGTTATTTTAATACTATATATAAAAACTATATTTATATAAGATATAGCCTAGTTTTTCCTGGAGCGTGTGTACCCTTAATTAGGATTTTTAAATATAATTATATTAAACTAAGAAGGATAATTTATATTAAAATTCTAGAATAAGTTATACTATATATTATAAATAAAATTTAAGCTTTTAATAGTATATTATTCTTAAATTAATAAATAAATTAAAATCGTGAACTAGTATACAGTATAAAAATTTATTTTTTTTATGAATTATTATCAAGATAACTAATGAGAATTTTTATTATTAATTAACTTTACTTTTATAATCTTACTTTAGAAATCTATAAGATTATTATTTTTTATAATTAAATAAAGATATAAGTCTTATATTTTTTTTGATTGAATATTCTTCTGGATCCCCGTTATAAATATTATTAATTAATAATAAGTTTAAACTCTAGCCTACTGCATGGAACAGATATAAAAGCTAATAAAAAAAGATATGTAAGCTATCTAATAAATTTAGATTTATATAGCTAACTAATAGTATTAACCCATGAATTTTAATATTAGAGATAAGATCTATATAAATACTAGAAACTAGTACTGGGATTAATTCTTTTAAAAACTATTAGAAAACTAATATAACCTAATAATTATTACTGAGAAAATTAATCATATATTCTAAGTTCAATTATCTAATAGTATAAAGATTTATTTTATTTTCTATTTTAATAAACTCCGCCTTCGCGGTACTTTAGAGCCGCTATCTAGATAGATCTTAAACTAGATTTTTTTAATTAAGATTAATGACTATACTAAATAAAAAATAAAATAAATTTTAAAGAGTTATTTACAGACAGGAACTCTGCAGTACTATATTAAATAGATAAGTTTTAATAAAAATAACCGCGAGTGGTATTCCACTAGTAATTTTAAAAATATATCTTTTTATTTATATAATTTTTATATTTATTATCTGGATTATTCTAGACTATCTAAATAATTCTCCATATGGATTATAACCGCGGAGAATGATAAATTTACTATAGATTATAATAATAATAATATTTCTCTAACTAAGGGTAATTAAATCTAAATAGGGAGGTGATATGACAGCAGCCTTATTTAAGATTATATGATTATGTTTGTTTTATTTGTTTTATTATTATTTTTTTTAAGTAAGTGTTTATAATACTTCCTGTTTTCCTTTTTCTTTCTTATGCTTAAAGTTCTAGAGTAGTTAGCACTAATACGACCTCATTTTGTTGCGTTGAACGGCCGTCTCATATATACTTTCTCTACAAGATTAAGGCACAGGAGAGTGACTAATATAACTATAAAAAAAAATCTTAAATCTTTAAATATATATTTTTAGCATGCCCTTACTTCACAGGACTATATAATTAAATATTTAATAAAATTATTATATAAAAGTCCATTCCGAGGAATAAGATTACTAATTATAATTCTATTATATTAGACTTGTAGATGATTTATTATGTCACCGAATTCATATTATAAACAAGCATGCTTAAATAATTCAGTTAGATTAAACTTAATCTTAAATCTAATTTTAATTTAGGCTAGGAACATGTAGGTCTCAGGACTATAAAAATAGATATTAAAAATACTGGGTAGAAGAACCAAATATACTCTATTTAAGTTAGCAGAGAAGGCCACGTATACTAAAAGAAATATATATATTAGAAGTAGGGGTTAGATAAAAAATAGAGAGAATAATAACTCATAAACAGCTAGTCAGCCAGCTGTGATGCTTATTTATATCTGCTTTTATATGATTTTACTTCGCTTTTATTATATCTAGTTTAGTTGTATTGAGCTATGATAGCGACCTTCCTATATTATAGTATGTGTTGTTTTATATGTTTACTGCGAGTTTGAGGGATTTAATGGCATTTAGGGCCATATTCCTGCTTCAAATGGTGGAGCACCTGCATAGCTAGCATCTTACTTAGCGGGCTCGATCAGGTATAAGAATATGAATTGAATTGAAAAAATTGAAAGAGCCGAAGCAGCCGTCGATACGACCCGGCTTCCCCGCCTATCATGCCGATCAAGCCAAATGGACAAATTCCCCAATTTCTGCTATTAGGCCTGAACAAGAAAAGATAGGACTGTGAGGAGGACAGCGTTGATAGCGGGTCAACTCAACACCAGAACCCTAAGCTCGCTGAACCTACTCAGGACCCGAGTCCACGGAACATTCTGCATACCAGGGAGGCTTTGGGCGTGCCAGACCTTCTGAGCAGCTCCAAGGGCAACCGAAAACATTTGAATTCCAGTTGACTGGCTAGACTGTTCCAGCCATTTTGCATACTTCGCCCTGAGATCGGGGTCGAGGGCTTCGCACCCGGCAACAAATCCCGACCAGCATGTATTGGAGGACCGATCACTCAAAATTTCCTTCTGTTTGTCGTTCTCATGAGGATGCTGAATTATCTGCTGGACGTATGGCTGTAGGGTCGCGGCATGGACATTCCTTACACATCGGTAGAAGTATATAATCAAGGCCTTGTAAACTGCCTGAACAAGATGATATGGGAAGCGCTCTCTTTGGGGTCCAACTGTTGAGCAAGAAGGGCGAAAAGGGCCATCGTGAGCCTGATGCTCCCAGCCACAAACCCTGTTTTCCAGCTCCTTAACCTTGACCGGGAACAAGTCATAGTAATTAACCTGTTCCCTACCGCTGTTTTGTGAATTTTGCATCTCGCCGGCCATCTGCGTTGTTTGAAAGATCAGCTCAAACAGTGATTGCGGGATGGAGTAGATTTGTTCCAAAGCAGACTCCCCAGGTTGTTGACCAGATATGAGGCCAGGCCGTGGGGCATGAGAGTCAGGCAAAGGAGAAGAAAGACCGAGTAGCTGGTTCCACCTGAGAGACGGGCGGGATGAAGAGTATCTCAGCACTTCGACCCCCCGTTGTGGCGGCTCATCGATGACACACAAGCGCGCTCTGTTAATACGCGAAGATAGAGATAAATACCGTGAAGCAGGCGCACTTTGATTGAATGGGTAGCCTTTTGTAGCCCATATAATTTAGTGATCCCCTCAATGTCCCGTAGGTAGTGTGCCGAGTTTCTCATCTTTCCACTCACCACCTGAGCAGGAGATGTTACTAAAGATTTCACGACCATGTTGACCATCGGATTTGGAGCGACTTACACAAATAGTGACCATACTAAGCAATGCCATGAGAATATCTTCGTACTTTTCCGTTTTTGATCGCCCCGAGGACAAGTTTTGCAGCGAACACTTCAGTCGCTTCGTAGCCCTACTACGATAGAGCTCACCCAGCGCATGCCAATTTTTGGTAGCTGGTCTGGTAGAACCAAACCGACCATCGAGACTGAAAGCGTTGATTGCTAAGATTGCAAAGACTAGGGATACTTTTGCATTGGTAGAGTTCCCTGATAGTTCAATTTCTCCCATTGTAGTGAATAGACTAGGAATATGGATCGTTTCCCAAGGAGAGGATGACCTAACTCGTGCAAGGGTGAAGAACGCGATCATAGTTTGCCAGTAGTGATCGAGCAATTCCTTCGCGAGTGACAAACTGAAGTCGGCTAGGTCAGGTGGTGATTTCTGCCAACACGGAAACGCAATAGGGGTAGGTGCTCTAGAAGCGAGGCCCGGTGATATGCCCGGGAATAGGGTATGGTCAAGTGCGAGAAGCTCTTCAATTTCGATACGTCGAACTGGATCCCCTGCACTGTAACATCCCATATCCCCTAAATCCAATAGATCTGTTGGTGTGTTGGGTAGGATGAATGTTGACGCTTCCCTGTACTGAAACACATGAAATGGTCCCCTGCACAGTGCCTGATCATCTTGAATCTGGTTTGCTTGTTCATCAAGTCTGTTCAGGCTCGACGCTATCGAGGCATTTGCCACGAGAGAGAGCAAGCCGACAGAATACTGAGCTAGTTGGTGTGCTATCACGACTGTCAATCAGTCACCAGGTTCACAATGGTGCCATCTCATAGACCCATTTACCGCTGAATAAAGTCTGTCTGCGCGCAGGTAGCTCTTCCGGCTCCACCATCTGCATAATCTCAGTGCGCGGACGAAGCCAGAGCAAACGTGGTGGATCTGGTGACCGCTCACAGTGGAGTCTTCGCTTTCTGCACATTAGACATTGAGGCCAGGCCTGATCACATCGCACCTTTCGGGTGCGACAGCCAAGGCAAGCCGCCTGTCTGTGTTGTGCTGTCATGATGCGGCGTGTGTATCCCTTTCTAAATAGTGAGAATGCCAGATGAGGGGGACAAGACCTGGTAATGATACTGACATCGGTGGTGATTGGCTGAAGGCGTTATCGCCCAGGATGCTGGAGGGGAGGGTGCAAACCTGATCCATGATAAGATGCGGAGAAGCGCGTTGGGGCGATTGGTGACGGCGGCTCCACCTGCCCAAACCACCACGCAGGGATATCCGCATTTGGAATCACCTACTTTAACCAAACCTTCGTTGCCATAGATAAGAGGTCTCACAAATCCTGCCCGGCTCCCGGATGTCGCTACCTCGTTTTACCACCAGTCCCAATGGCTGTCAAGCAATCCCTAATCCAGCGTATCGACCGGGCCGACAAGGCCGCCATCATCCAGGCCATCATTGCAGATGGCTGCTGTATAATTCAGAACTTCACGGAAGTAGAGACGGTGAAGCAGGTTAACTCGGAAGTGCAACCTTATCTCGATGCTGACAAGCCCTGGAAGGCAAGTGAATGGATCTTGAACAGCTTTGGTCCTTACCGTCTAACAACACTCAGGGCGACCTCTTCCCCCCAGAAACACGCCGCTGTGCCAACCTCGCGGGACGGAGCCAGACGGCCCGAGAAAGGTGGCTCATTGACCCGCTCATTCGCAGTCTGACTGCCCATTTTGTGGACAAGACAACATCCAACTTTTACGGAGAGACAAAACACACGTATACAAGCGAGGCGATTTGCTCGATCGCCATGTCGTTCGACATCGGGCCGGGGGCCAAGGCGCAGCGGCTTCACCGAGACGATAAGAACTTTCATGTTGACCATGAAGATCAGAGCACTACAGGCTATCGGGTGGGCTCGGATGTGATGATGGCTTTCATGGTGCCCGGGGTGAAGACGACGGTTGAAAACGGCGCTACCATTGCCATCCCCGGCAGCCACCTCTGGGGCTCTGACCGGGCGCCCAGGATGGACGAAGCAGTGGTGGCGGAGATGGATCCGAGTGACTGCTGGGTGATGCTGGGGGGACTGTACCATGCCGGCGGGGCGAATGTCACACAGAGCGAACGACGGGTTGTACATGGCATGTTCTTCACGCGCGGATTTTATCGACAGGAGGAAAACGCCTATCTTGCCAACACAGCAGACGACGTTTTGTCCTGGTCTCCCGCCGCCCAAAGAGTAATGGGATACGAACTTTCGAGCCCCAATATTGGCTTTGTTGGCTTCCAGACCCCACTGCAGTATCTGCGGGTTGAAGGGGTTGGGGATGCTTTTGGGGACTTTGACCCTTCGCAGGAGCAGCCAAACAGAGAAACACACTGACCCGGCTGCTTTACCTGCCACTTAGCTTTCAGTGTAGTTTTATCGAATGGTATTTTTCTGCACCTACTTATCGGCCATGTCCGTTCCGACCTCTTTCAATTCTGCCTCATGAACATTGACTGTAGGCGACTGGCAGGATTGACCATCCAGGATGCCGTAGTAGTGAGGGTAAAGGGAGACAGAGTTCGGAAGCCACAGTGATCACGCGGACTTGGCAGTTCAGACTTTGTGATTCGGGAGATACTTCCTTGGCAATTGACTTTCGAAGAAAGAGAGCTTAGGCGAAGAGCGACCGGCTTTCTGAGTTTGTATTCTGGGATGAAATGTGATGGATTCGGGCCAACGGTCTGGATTTCTGGAAGCAGTGTCTGCCTCCCATCAGGTGCGATCATCTTCGCTTTTTCCAAGCTGCAGACATGTTGATGTTTAGCCCATTGCAGCAGCCTTGGATAGGCAACCGCTGCGTGACCGGCTTCGGCGTCGGAACGAGCCGTCCACGACCTGCTCGAACGTGCGACGGGTGATCGGAAGACGCACAGGACTTGCATATGGACCGATTCTAGGCTCGAAGAGTGGAAGGCGTATCCAATGCGCATCCGAGGCTTAGCGTTTATTGGTATGGGTGCGGGATTTACATACGCATTGGTTCGGCTTCCCTAACATTAGCACATTAGCACTCCCCTGGCCGCATTAGCCCCCTGGGTTACTGCTGAGGGCCATTCGGAAGGTTTCATCACAATGGAATCGAAGAGGGAGTGGGGGGTGACCATTGAGGGTTGCTTCGCGTCCCGGTGCCACGGTTGCAGTGACCTTGAGATGTAGTGGCACAGAGGCTATATGTGTGTAGTAGAGTGTGGGGAAGTCGTTAGCATGGCGACCCTTCGGTAAGTACGCTCTCCATTAAGTGACTTGAGGGATACTGACCTCTCTGTGGGTTAATGAACGAGGACTTGAGTTCCTTCGACATGATGGTGTGAGCGCTGGGACCAGACCGGGTGACAGAAACCGGTTCAGGCCAGGGAGTGGACCCGTCGGACTATCTTTAATTGAGAGCTGCCGGGTCGAGGGTCACCCTCAGGCCTCAGCATCGAGGCTGCTCATCCCCACTGGCTATTGTCAGGCCAAAGCTTATTACCAGGCATGCTTGGCCTCGGTCAACCAAGTTTAACCTCCGGGTCTGCCAGCAGCGTGGAGTGTAGTCAGGATTGGCGAATAAGGGATGCAGCATTGTTCCTTTGGGCCATGCGTGTCGTCACCGTGTTCCGGAGGTAGGTAAGTCAGTAGGTCGCACATCCCTAATGCATGCCGTTATTTCTACTGTGTCCGCGTCACCGTCACAACGAGCAGGTCATGACCACCGGGGTTCGGGAGGGCATCCCAGCTGGGAAAGCCGGGCAGAGACGCAGAGGCCCTGGTTGGTGGGAGGGCGAAAGCCTCCACTTCGTATGCTGCAGAAGAGTGGAGGAATATTACATAGGAGTAGCCTGGATACGGCATGGTCGCGCCAAGGCACGGGGCTTTGGGCAGGACGGCCAGGAACTCTATCATGGTATGACAGCCGAGCTGCCAACTCAATACTGGGGGTCAATTCCCCGCGCCGTCCAGGTTACATGGTCCAAGAATGCCGGATCCGACCTGCGGTTCCGGATGCCTTGCCCACGATAACCTCCACCAGGAATAAAGTTCATCCTCATCTTCCTTAGAATTTGTCATCTGCAGAAGTACATCACATCAGACGGCATGATGGATCCGCCCGGTCAGCGGGCCAGTCGCCCACCATTTGCAGAATTGCAGGAGGCAGCGACCGACTATCAGCGGAGTCAATTCTTCAGCGGGCGCAAATCACCGGGGTTGCCGACCGCCCAGACCAGGATGAGAGCCCAGAGGAGCCCAGTAGTGCTAGTAGTTCGCACGGGTCTGGTCCACTAAAGGGGGAGCTGTCAATGGCCCAATCCATTCACTGCAGAAGCCGTGACCGGGATGTCTGGCGGGGACCCAATCCCTCGGGACGCCTCTTTGAACGACCGACTCCAGTATACGACCAGAAAATACGATGCGTCCCCAGCAGCTATATCTGCACGCTCCGTCGAGATCCTCGCCCATTTGTGATTCCCTTCTCCATGTATCGTTTTCATCTGCATAATGGGCGTGATCCAAGGCCTAGTGGCCGGTCTTTCATCGGTCGCTGATTCTCCTGCCGCGTTGTGTACCATCGTGACGGCCGTCGGGTTCGTATACTTCGTCGTGTTGGGAATCTACCGCCTTACCCTCCACCCATTGGCTCGATTCCCGGGCCCCAAGCTCGCCGCCTTTACGTACTGGTACGAGACCTACTATGAGGTTTTCAAATCGCCTGGCGGTCAATTCCTCTTCCATTACCACCGCCTGCATGACCAGTATGGTGAGTCTCTCCTCGTGCAGCACCATAAACTGCCAGACCATGGAGCTGACACGGGCGTCCTCCCACCAGGACCCATCATCCGCATTAGCCCCGATGAGATCCACATCCGAGACTCGTCCTTTTTCGAAGAGATGTTCTCCAACTCCTTACCATGGGATAAACTAGAGCATCTCCAGTATCGCTTCAACAACTCAACCGGCACCTTCTCAACCCCCAAACATGACGCCCATCGACCCAGACGAGCCGCCCTGAACCCTTTTTTCTCCAAGCGAACAATCGCCAACGCTACCCCAATGATGCAGGAGAAGCTCTACCAGCTCTGTGATCGACTTCGAAGCGAATACAAAGGGAGGGAGAAGATCCTGCGTCTCGACTGGCTATGGGGATGCATTGCTGCGGATATCATTGTTCAGTACTGTTTCAACGAGGGCTACGGCTTCATTGATGCACCGGACTTTCGATCTCCCTTCATTCAGGCAATGTTCGACTTGCTAGACGTTGTACATGTGGTTGTTCAATTTCCTTGGGTGGGCGCGATTATCAATGCACTCCCTGAGAAACTGGTGGAAGCAGTACAGCCTGGGATGAAGTCTGTTAATCACTACAACAGGGTAAGTTAGCCATCTGGTTCCTTTCGACAGCGTCAGTGACTAACTAACCTCCGCCTACCTGCACAGGAAATGGCCTCTCAGATCTCCCAGATCATTGCCCAGAAGGCAAACGGCACAACGAAAGAATCACAGCGCAAAACTGTCTTCAACACCTTGCTAGACTCAGGTCTACCACCAGAAGAAACAAGCCTTTCACGACTGCAACACGAAGCTATCACCGTCATCGGCGCAGGGTTCGAAACTACACGGTACGCTCTAGCAGTCGCTAGTTACCACATCCTCAGCACGCCGTCGATATACAACCGCCTGCGCGAGGAGCTCTTTACAGCGATACCTGATCCAAGCAACTTTCCCCCATTAAGCGAACTAGAAAAGCTCCCATACCTGACCGGATGTCTCCAAGAATGTACGCAATCCCATCTACACCCATCTCCATTTCCCTTTCACAAAGAAGCAAGCAAACTAACTCCGCACAGGCATCCGCCTCTCCTACGGCATCGTGCAACGTTCGCCCCGCACAACCGGCAGATTCCCCCTCGTCTACAAAACCTGGACCATGCCTCCCGGAACCATCATCAGCATGGACAACTACTCCGTGTCCCACGACGAAGAAATTTTCCCCGACTCATTCACCTTCAAGCCCGACCGCTGGCTCAACGATCCCCTCGCTCCCGACGGCCGTAAACTCACCCGATATCTGGTCTCCTTCGGACGGGGAACCCGCTCCTGTTTAGGCATTAACCTCGCCTATGCGGAAATGTACATTTCGCTCGCGAACGTGTATCGCAACTTCGAGTTTGAGTTGTTCGAAACGGGCCGTGAGTCGGTGGATTGTTATCGCGATATGTTCCTGCCGCATGCGAAACCGGGGACGCAGGGAGTGCGGGTGAAGGTTTTGTGAGGATCTACTCCGTAGTAAGTGGGATATGAGGGGAATGGATATACATCGCGACATTTGTTTTGTTTTGTTCTATATATATGCGCATCTTACTCCACCTCATGCGAAATTCGACCAGGAATCAGAACAGCAATGCCATTCTCTATAATGTCATCAGGAAATTATACGTCTAATACCTGCTAAACAAATCATTGACCTCCGTTGCAGAATCACAGTCTAGACCAACTACAGCTCTACAGCTGATCACCAGCCGATTTATTGCGCACCCCAGGCCGCCAAGTCACCCGATCGGGACGGATCGGATCGAACTGGCCAATATACAACGCCACAATTGATATATTTAAGATATATGCTCGTCATTGCTTCTAGGGAACTGATAGTGCGAAAGCCAGTTTGCATCTACCGGGATATTGAACGGTTCCTGATATGGCTTACACATTGGAGATCTATTATGCTTTATTGTCTGCGAAGTGGTCTGTAGTCGCTCCGGATCTGAGGATCTTGGTAGCTATGATGTCATGGTAGTGATGACCCAGTTACTATCGACTCTGCTTGCTTCTGGGGATTATTTTCTGTCTGGAGGTCCATGACAATCGAGAGAGGAAGGTCGAAAATTTCATATGCCAATCTCCAATGGAGCTTGTCAATCCGTCCCCAACCATCTCGAATACCCTTATTGCGCACCGCGAGAAAACCACCAAACCACCACACCACCTAATCAAACAACACCTCGAACTATCCCACCATCCAAACCACCCCTCAAAACTTAAAGCCCCTCCGGAGGCCGCGTAATACCCGTCAATTTATCCCTATACCAACCGCATTAGAGCCCCTCCATTGCTCAGTACATTCCCAGGTGTAATCACCACCACGGAAGAAAACAAAGGGGAACGACATGACATACCCATTAACCTTCTTCATCAACGCGCCCAACCCCCCATGATCATAATCCTTCTCATTCCACATATCCTTATGATACACGACCTTCTCCTGCGGATCAGTCCCCTCCAATCTCAAACTCACCAGACTATCTTCCATCTTGGAAGCCCCAATGCCCCGGAACGTATACCGCTGACGTTGTTTCCAGACTAGCTCGTGGTCCGTTGACGAAGTCACCTCCGTTGCGAGGGTTTCCGATTTGGAGAATAGCTTCGGGATGCCGTACCATTGGCCGGCGATTTTGTAGCTGAGGTGGACGCGGGGGTGGTGGTTAGTCAATGAGTGGGATGTGGGAGGAGGGAATGGGATGGGATAGGGCATACCGCGTGTCGCAGTAACTGAACGGGTCATCGTAGACCGCCTGCTCGGCGTAGACGTTCATGTCGTCTTCGGAGGCGCTGCCGCAGTATAGAGCGATGATGTGTTGTTGGATGGCGGTGCGGGAGGGGGAGATGGGGAGGGAGTGTTCGGGGTGAGGCGCGTAGTCGATCTCGTCGGTCATGAGGTTTCGGGGTCGGTCGGGGTGCGGCTCGATGCCTCGTTGGTCGGGGTGGGGGGATGTTGAGGACGGCATGTTCGTTTAGTCGAAGTCAGAGAGATCTTGCGTTGTTAGATGAAATTGGATGATGTTCAGGTTGGAGGCTGAAAAGGGTCAGGGAAGCTCACTACTGTGTATATCGGGTGGAGTGACGTCATCTAGGTGTCAGAGATGGTGAAGTTTATTGAGTCCCGAAATCGCCGCGAAGGTTTGGTAGTGCTGAGAGGTATTCATGGGATAATGAATTGAGAAGGAGATGGCTGTTGGAGAGTGCTCTTGTTGGCGTGGAAGCTGAGGTCTAGCTGGGGGTGGCGGAAGAAACCCGAAGCAAGCATACGAAGATAGCAACACGCAGGTGGGAAGGACGAATGAGATCGATCCCAAGAACAAGATGGGCTCGTAGTAACTGGGCAGCTAGTTGCCCATGACTGTAAGAGTTTGATTGTGCTTCGTAGTTTGATGCGTTATCAAGTTCTTTCTATACGCATGGGCTGTGCGTTGGCTACTATAGGATTTAGCATACGGCGTCTCATATTCTTGCAACAGCGCAACTACAAAGCTACGATACGGGCTAATGGCTATGAGTTGACTTGACTAATTCCATTAATCGTCACGTCGTTCTTCGTCAGCGGCCAAGTTAAAAATCTAGCACATAGTCAGCTTGGTGACTCACCAAGACAAGGGATGGGGCAACGCAGAGCAAATTGATGGCGAAGGCATTAATACTCTTTGATGCCCTGACCTCCCGGTTCCTATCACAATCAAAGGCTCGAAAAGGACATCTGACGTCAGTCTTCATTGATATTCTCTCGCTATACTCACGCAGATCTCTCCTGCGCCATTAGGAAGGCAGCCACACTCCCTGCCGCTCGAGGGTATTGAATAGAGTACCCATCAATCCCATCCGTTGTGTCGTCCATACCAACCTTTCCCCATCCACCTCCGCCGGGAGTGTGAATTACACAACGATCACCTGCCTCCATGCGCACCATGTTCTTTGCGCCCATGTTAATCCATCGCCATTCCTCCCCTTCATCAGTCTTCACCCTCCGGACCCAGTAGTTCGCCCCGCGCTCTCCTGACTCGCCTCCGTTCATCCCGTACGGAGCAACACTACGTCGCTCTGTGATGACGCTGAAGCTTAGTGGAGCCCGGCACTCGATGTCTCGGACCACACCATCGCCGCCCCTGTGCATGCCTTTTCCTCCGGTGCCGGGGCGGATGGCGAACTCCCGAAGGATAACCGGATAACGTTTCTCCAGGCTCTCGGGATCAGTAATCCTGGTGTTGGTCATATGCGTATGCACGCCCGAAGCCCCGGCCCGGGCAGGCGTTCCCCCGGACCCACCACAGATCGTCTCTCCGAATGCATAAGCATATCCGGTGAGCTTCTTCCCTTCGGAATCCGTCCCACCCTCGCCAAAGAACCCTATACAGTTCATACAGCCGTGGGAGGCTGCCGCCGCGCGGAAGGCCTTGAGGATGACATCCACTATTCGCTGGGAGGTTTGGGTGTTTCCTGCACAGACTGCGGGTCCGGAGGATGGGTTCAAGAATGTACCCTTGGGAAGGATGACCTCTATCGGCGCAAGGTAGCCCTGATTCAGGGGAATGTCGGTACCGATGAGGAGACGCAAGGTGTATATGATAGCGGAGTGAGTGATGGCCGGGGGTGCGTTGATATTGCCAAGCAGTTCACAACCGGTCCCTGTAAAGTCAAATACCGCTGAGCCATCAGCGGAAATTGTAATGGCGAGCTTGATTAACGACCCATTATCCATCTGGTCTTCCGACAACAGGCGAGGACCCATCTGCGTGAGAACGGAACGAAGGTATCTCCTGACGGCCCATTCAGCGTTGGACTGGATAGCCTTCATGTACAACTGCACCATTGGGAGAGTAAACTCATCGATCAGAGATCGCACTAGATTCATGCCCTTGTGATTTGCAGCGACCTGGGCCTTGAGGTCGGAGATATTGTCCGGTATATGCCTGCTTCCTATGCATCCTGGATACTCGCCGGGACGGCGAAGCATTTGTGTGATTCCGTCTTCGTCGAACTTCTCCGCGTGAATCAGCTTGAACGACCTGATTGCAGCGCCCTCCTGCCATAATTCGGTGGAGTTGGGTGGCATGGACGTACCACCAAGGCCTCCTATATCGGTGTGGTGTCCACGGGAAGCCACATAGAACGCGATCTCGGTTCCGGCCTTGTCGAAAACCGGAGTTATCACGGTGATATCTGGCAGGTGAGTACCGCCTGCCTCAGGATGGTTAGCCACCAGTACATCTCCAGGAGCAAGCTTCCCTTTGTGAAGATTGTGTTGGTATTTGACTGCGTAGCTCATGGAACCTAGATGCACTGGCACATGGGGAGCATTTGCCACGAGGCCTCCTGCATGATATTAGTTATCATATAAGTTACATCAACTTTCACATACCATCTGGCCCGAAAAGCGCGCAGGAGAAGTCCAAACGCTCCTTGATATTCAATGATACGGCCGTTTTCTGCAGGGCTCGGCCCATTTGCTCAGCGATACTCATGAAACGGTGCGCGAATACCGAGAGCTGAATGTTGTCGACAGTTTTCGAATCCCGGAAGAATCCACCAGGTGACATAGGTCTAATCTGTATGACTACGTGGTTGCTCAAGACCTTGGCTTCTGCACCGGGGGCAACCACTAGGGTCTGAGTCTGATCAATGATGATAGCCGGTCCAGCAATGAGGGTAAAGGGAGCCAGTTTATCCAGTAGGAATACAGGTGCACGGCACGTCCCATGCCGGCGGAAATAGACCCTTGTCTGCATCTTATTAGCATCTTTAAGCGACTCATAGTCGGTCTCATACCGTCTGCTCTGCCGTCTGCAACAATACGGCGTTGAAGGATGGGTTTCCTAATTCCTCTTCCACTACCCGCCCATCTGATCTCTGAAGTCCTCGAGAACCAATTCCTCGGACTCGTACATCATCCACAAGGATAGGCCTGTCATCAGGGAAGAGAAACGCAAATTCCCGGAGATGCATCCTCTTGAATTCCTCCTTGAAGTCGCGGTCCAGAGGTTCGAGTACCATGATGGCCGTTTCGGTTCCCTGATAGCGCATGTTGAGATATCTTTGATATACCATATCATCATCTGCAATACCCTGGCCGTTTAACTGATGGCACACCTTTTCTTGAAGACGCAGTAGTCGGTTGTCGAGTCTCCCACAGGATTCATGCCCGAATATTTCGTTAACCGGCTCCTGCGCCTCTTCCACCACGTCTGCGAGCGCCATACCTGTTTTCACCTCTTAGCTAACCCATTTAGACTCTCATATGTGGCCCACCGTCACCTACCATATGCAGATAAAATGCTCGAGTATTTGTGAATAATCACGGTTGGGATGCCCAACTTGCGTGCAACATCGCACGCGTGTTGCCCTCCAGCGCCTCCAAAGACACATAAATTGTGTCTTCCTAAGTATAGTGTCAGCCTCGACCCGTGACAAGTAGTTGAAACAGGCACCTATATCATATCCCTTTCCTTCAGTCAATGCACGGATCGGTCGACACATGGATTCATTAGCAACGTCCAGGAATCCACAGGCTACTTCCCGCGGACTCATGGACCTTCCTGTTTCGGAGTTAATAGTGGCTGTCAATTCATCAAACTTCCGCCTAACAACGTCAACATCCAAAGGCTCGTTTTCTGCCCTGCCAAATATTTTGGGGAAATACTCGGGTAGTAACCGACCAAGGAAGAGGTTCGCGTCAGTCACTGTCAAGGGCCCGCCTTTCCGATAACAGGCAGGTCCAGGATGCGATGATGCACTCTCTGGACCAACTGTGAAAAGGCCGTTTCTCCACGACAGAATGGAGCCGCCGCCTGCAGCGACCGTGTTGATATCGAGCTGTGGGCTCTGGATCGTCACTCCAGCAGTCGTGCTCTCAAATATATGCTCGAGATGCCCTCCATACCGTGACACATCTGTTGATGTACCCCCCATGTCGAAGCCGACTACAGGAGTCCTGGATATATCACTGTATGTGGTGCGTGCGTAGCCGACCACACCACCTAGTCAATTAGCATATGTAAGTGGCGGGACTAGCTATACCCTCACCTGCTGGCCCGCTCAGAATTCCTTTCAGACCACTAAAGTGGTTGTAGCTAACCAGGCCTCCATCAGACCGCATAAAATCGCATCTCACACCATCCAGGTTGCCATCCTCAAAGCCCTGCACAAACCCTGTCAAATATTTCTTAATCTCTGGAGTTAGGTATGCGTCTGCCGACGCGGAGCTCCCACGCGGTACCATCTTGATCATATTTGCAGCGACAGCAGATGACAAGGATACGTGGGTGAAGCCCTCGTCTAGGGCCATCTGGTATACCCGAACTTCGTGGTCAGGAAATACATGGGAGTGGGTGAAGCAGACAGCCAGAGTGTCAACTCCGCTCTTACGGAGGTCGCTAAGAGTGTCACGGACTTCTTCCTCGTCAAGCGGTCTGAGTATCCGCACCATGTCGCCGCTTGTGCCACGGACAAGAACTCCGGGAATTTCTTCATCGCACTTGAAATCGCCATTGACATCTTCGTCAAATCCCTCAATTGTCACTCGAGCATTGACCTCACGAACTTCATCGTACAGCACGGCCGGCTTGACAATGTCGAGGTCGAAGAGTTGCGGCCGGGACTGGTAGCCGATGTCCAGCAGATCGCGAAATCCCTTTGTCACCAGAAACGCGTGTCGAGTGCCTTTTCGTTCGAGTAGCGCATTCGTAGCCACGGTTGTTCCCATGCGGATAAACTCAAGGTCTGCCTTCGGAAGGGGGGTGCCTCGCGGAACCACTTTGCCGTAGTAGAGGGAGAGCACACGCCTAATGCCTTGATTTGTAAGCCAATCTTGTCATGTCATATATGGTGAAAGTCGCACACCTTCTGTGGGCGCATCTTCATAGTTGGATGGGTCGACAGAAAGTAATTTGAGGACAACGTCTGGATGTCCCGGAATGCTGGCCCAGATGTCTGTGAAGGTACCTCCTCGGTCTGTCTCAAGCCAATGGTCAATTACTACTGTGCGCGTGGACAAATGGATACAGGGGACAAACCGATCGCGATTTTTATCTTTCCTGTACTTGGCTTCATGACGAATAGTGTTGACCTGGTGCGTCGAGTAGTCTTCACCTCGAGCTGCAGGGGTCACCTTTTATGCCCAAGAACCGCCGGTCAACCGGACACCACCGAGATTATCGTTGTGTTGGCTGTGTGGTGAGGCAGGTCGAAACGAAGATGGGAGGGGTTCTAGACAACGCCGGCCTAGTACTCCGTACAGGGACTAGGGTGAGGGGAAGGGCCTTAGGCGCCATCAAGGCAGCCCCCGCGGCCCAGCCGATACCGCGGAAGTCAATCATTCGCCGGGCCTTCCTAGCGTCTCCACTCGCGGAATCAACCAGGCGCTGCCAGCCTTTGGTCAATTTCCCAACTCCTTTCAGCGGCCCCCCTCGCTGGAAAGCTCTTTCTGCTGTTTGATGCCCGGCCGTCCATATACAAGTTCAAATGGCAATGGCGACAATTAAGAACAGTTCAGAAATGTCCATGTGGTGGCCATCGTGGACCCCTTTCACTCGCTCTTCCTCTAAAAATAGTAGCCATAAGCCAGGAACAGTCCTACCACAACTAGTACCATGCAGACTGGCATTGTGACGGAGTCCGGCTCAGAGCCAATATACACTATTTTCCAAGCTAAGCTGCGTTCACCTGCGGCATTTTGTGGGACCAGCTGTCAGCCTTCGATCTGATTTGCTGGATATATAACCGTGCGAGAATCGAAGAAAGTAATGAGTAATGACAGAAAATCGGACGTCCCCAAGGCCATGGATCAGGCTGCTGGATACCTCGCCCAAAGCGTAACATATCCACCGATGTCAGCTAGGGATGAGAAGAAGTTATTGCGCAAGCTTGATTGGGTTCTCATCCCCATGGTGGGTGACGTTCATGGAGCTACGACCTGATTGCTAACAAACCCGGCAGCTTCTCCTGACAGCCACCCTAGGCGCAGTGGATAAAGTCGCCCTCAGCACCGCTGCGATTTACGGACTGGAAAGAGGTAGCAATACCAGGTCTTGTTGAGATGAATCTGACCACCAGCCAGATCTTCACCTTGTCGGCCAGCAGTATTCCTGGGCCGGATCGATATTATCGATTGGTGTACGCAACCACCTAACTCAGTATACGTCATATTGCTCTGACAATGGAATCCTACCATAGTCTATTGTCGGCATGTGGCCATCCTCATACCTAGTACAGCGACTTCCATCCGCAAAGTATCTCTCATCATGCTCTCTGGGTTGGTCATGCATGGCTTTGATGATACCGGCATGTAGAAATTGGGGCGGGCTGATGGCGTTGAGGTTTTGTATGGGTACGTTCATGAGAGTTGACAAGACGTCAGATTTCCTGGTCTAATTACAAGTAAAGGCTGCCTCGAAGCGATTATCGTCCCATCGATCAGCTTAATAATCGCGGGTTTCTACAAGAAATCGGAACAACCTCCGCGGAATGCGATCGTCTTCGCTGCCTTGAGCTCTATGATCAACGGCTTTCTCTCCTGGGTGGTAGGACATATTCCAAATTCGACGTCACTGGCTATATGGCAATACCTATATTTGATTGTAGGTGAGTTGCTCATACTCAAGATGTTGTTGTTGTCGCATTAGCCCAACAGTGAATGGACTAGCTGGGAACATTTACGTCTCGCCGGGGGGATCGTGCGATTGGCTGTCAGTTGTTCTCTGCTAAATGTTCTAGGATCCATCTCCGCTATGTGGTGTATAATAGCGATCATATTCCTACCAGACTCTCCTATGAACGCCTTTTTCCTGACTGATCAGGAGAAGTACTACGCAGTTCAACGCCTGGCAGATAACAAGACAGGTATCGTCAATAAGACATGGAAATGGGACCAGGCTTTGGAAGCTGCCATGGACCCTAAGACTTGGATTCTTTTCTTTTTCAACATATCCATAAATATCCCAAATGGAGGTAAGATGCAAGCCTTTTCTGCATTTAGTGCTTACTTCAATTCAATTCAATTCAATTCATATTCTTATACCTGATCGAGCCCGCTAAGTAAGATGCTAGCTATGCAGGTACTTCACCATTTAAAGCAGGAATATAGTCCCAAATACTATTAAATCCTTTAAACTCACAGTAAACATATAAAACAACGCATACTATGATATAAGAAGATCATTACCATAGCCTAATATAACTATATATAACTAAAGTAAATTAAAGTCATATAAAAGTAGATATAAATAAATATTATAATTAACTAGTTAGCTACCTATAAATTATTATTCTCTCTATTTTTTATTTATATTCTTATTCCTAATTTACATGTTTTTTTTAGTACGTGTGATCTTTCCTAGGTAATTCAATCTAGAACATATATAGATTTTTCTATCTAGTGTTTTTAGTATCTATTTCTATAGCTCTGAGATCTATATGTTCCTGGTTTAAGTCAGGATTAAAATTAGGATTAAATTTAATCTAACTAAACTATCTAAGTAAGTCTATTTATAGTATAAATTCAGCGATATAGCGGATTGCCTACGGGTCTAATATAATAAAATTATAATTAGTAATCTTATTCTTTAGAGTAGACCTTCATATAGTAATTTTATTAAATATCTAATTATATAATCCTATAAAGCGAGGGCACATTAGAAGTATATACTTAGAGATCTAGAATTCCTTCTTATAGCTATATTAATTACTCTTCTATATCTTGATTTTATATAGAAAGTGTACTAGACTAATCCTATATATACGTATCTATATAATTATAGATATGTATATTTTAGAAATACTTTTATAAAATATTAGTATTTTTTTTTAGAAGAAATTTCTACTAATCTCTATATTAATACTATCATATACTTTATTTTTTATTATTTAGCTTATTTTTCCTGGAATCTTCTGCGAACGGTCCTTTTAATAATAGATATAAATTAGATTATTTATTATTTTAATCTAGTTTTATTTTCTACTACTTATTTTACTTTAGAATCTATAATCTTATTTTTCTTAATCTCTATATGAATAGAGATCTAATGGATTATGAGATCTGTATTTTATAAAATTTTAAATTTATTATAAATAGTTTTTATATATAATTATTTAAATAGGTGGCTGGAAGCCTCTATTACCTAGATTATAATCTAATTATTAGTAAATAGATAGATTTAGCTATATCTTAGTAAAGTATTTTTTATAAGGGAGAGAATTATCTTAACTCTCTTTAATTTAGTTATATATATGGTTGAATCTATCTTAATATTAAAATATATTTATTATGCTTGCCTAGTATAGATATTAATTATAGAGATTTTTATATTTTTATAGTAGCCGCTGCTGTCTATATACAGGATAATAGTATTAATATAGTAAAGCTAGATATATCTAGTAAATATAATTTTATAGAATTAGATATTATATTAGATATACAGCTTCTAGGGTATTAGTATAAATACTCTATAAATTTTCTATTTCTCTTCTTACTAAATAGAGGCAAGGACTATATTTTTTATCTATTTAAAGATTTTAAATAGATTTATGTTTCCAAGCGTGAATATCTCCTTATAATATTAATATTTTAAGTCTTAAGATTAGGTAATCTTTAGTTTTATTTAAATATATAAGATGGTCTTCTTAATTATTTATTATATAAACTATCTCATAAATAATAGATAAAGTTTAATATTAAACGCAGCTGTAGTTATGTTTTTAAAAACTTTATTAATTAAAATAACTATATATTTCTAGATTCTAGTAAACTTTACCTCTATATAAATTTATTACTTAATAAAGATTTATTAACTGGCAGGGCTATACCATGTAGTAATACTATATAGTAATTATAGAATAATTATTATGTAGTAAATCTTATATATAAAAATAACTAAGATATTTTACATAGAGCCTGTAATATTCTAAAGGATTTTAAAACTTTTATTAGTCTTAGTAATAGTTTTAGTCTAGTAGATATTAAATATAAAGATTTTATTAAACTAGATACCAAGGTATTAGACTAATTTTAAGGATTAAATAGTAATTAATAAGCTTGCTAATCCTGGAGAAGTAAGAACTATAATAAATAAATAATTATAACTCTTTCACTTGTAGTAATTCTAGATATTAATAATTTCTAATAGTTTATTTAGTTTGTTTAGATTAGGATTAAAAGCGCGAGGATTCCTAAAATAAATAAGTTTGAATTTATTAAATATAAACTTTAATATATAGCGTCGTAATTATATATTAACTTTAATAAAGGCTTTTTCAAGTAATTACTTATTAGTAGCGTAGCTTCTAGAAATAACTAAAATAATTATATTATCTATCTAGTTAAATATCTGGATCTCTCCTTCCGGGTGGAATTTAGAATAAATTTAGAGAAGAGGGGTGTTAAATAGTAGGAATAAGATTAGTAAGATAAATAAGTTTTATAAGATATTATTTAATATTAGTAATAATTTACTGAAATATTTTTATATTTAAAGTTAAATAATACGGCTATATAAGAATACTACTATCTATAGTATAAAATAGTTTAATTTCACTTGTTTGAGATTGTATAAGAGGTATATATATAATATATAATTATATATTTTTAATATATCTAATATTAATAAGCTAGTAACGTGATTTCTCTCCTAGATATCATGGATTTTATTAAGGATTATCTGGATTATGTGGTTAACTAAGATACTTTTATAGTCTCTAAGATACCTGTAAGGAAGTAAGCTGTATTCTTCTACCGCCTATATAATGTGTGTAGTGATAATTAATTTCAGTAGCTTTCCAAGGATGTTGAGCAGCGCAACCAGCCTATACGACTTGGGCAGGCGGAAGTCGCGGGTTTAGTGCTTACTTACTGTCCAGGTCTCACTACATTCAGCGGTATCATCATCAAAGATCTCGGGTTCACTGCGGTCCACACGTCTCTCCTCAACATGCCCACTGGATTAATGTCGACCTTGTCTGCATTTATCTTTTCTTGGTTGGCCGCGCGCTGGATAGACCGTCGATGTCTTGTCACTATGATTGCATCTTGCTTGCCCATTGTTGGCTCGGTACTGGTGTACTCGCTTCCAAAAAGCAACGTTGGGGGGCAGATGGTCGGAATATATCTACTGTACACCTATTTCGGTCCATATGTCGTTGGTATCTCGATGGCACAAGCGAATACGGCAGGGCACACGAAAAAGACCGTTCAGTATTCAATCCTGTATATTGGATATGCCACTGGTAAGCTGCATCCGCAGCATCTTTTATGTTCCATTCATTGCCATTCGTCGCCCTTGATCTCGTTTCTCCCGTCCTTGCTAACCTCGGATGAAGGAAACCTGATCGGGCCTCAAACGTTCCGTGCCAGTCAGGCACCTACCTACACGGGCGGGTTTATCGCCATGTTGGTCAGCTACTGTATATGCGTTGCATTGATGGCGTCATACTGGGTGCTAGTTGTGCAACTTAATCGGCGACTCCTCGACGTCGATCCGGAGACGGAAGCGGATGGGAACGATTTGGCGGAGGTGTTTGCTGACCAAACCGATTTTCAGCAAAAGGTGTTTAGATACACCACATGAACTTGCAATTAATCATTGACTATTTACAGACCAGCACTGTCGCTGATCGGGTGGCGCTCAGTGAGGGTGGTATCGCTATATCCTTTGAGATGTCATTGTAGTAGGAGTCCTAGATGCGATATGGAAGACATTGGATTAATTAAACGGATGACACTGGTGATTATGCTAACCTAGAAGAAAATAACAGGGCAAGGGCCCGTTTATAGGCATAGGTACGCAATGAATTACCAGCCTGCGTGGAAAGCCTCCTTGGTACTATGAAGCGGAGGAACGGCAACGGAAGCTCCCACCATTATTAGTGCCAATAGGTTGTCCATACCGTGATCACCATGAAAACAATATTAGCAGGAGGACTCCTACCCCGGGTGGCTATCTCACGAGCTGAGGCCACCAATCGCTCTAAGCCAGTCTAGTGGCTGGGCCTAAAATGGCGCTTGCTGATAAAAGAGGCGCCGGGCAATCCCCCCGCTTCCCCGGCCAAATTCCCTCTTCTCCTCTTTTTCTCTCCGTGGAACTCGGCCCCCAACCGTTCCGAACACGCTTCAACCTCCTGTTGGACTATTGCATAAGCCTTTGCCCGTTTGCCAGCTCGATAAATGCCGTCTGGTCCACTGAAACCACGTCGGAGGTCTGGGTGCGCCCAGTGCAAAGGTATGGACGACGAATGAGAAATGACACGTTCCAGGCCCGATTGTATTAACATCACCCGAACCAAGCCAAACATGTCCGGTGTACCGAGGAGGTGCCTATATGCCGTTTTTGTGAATTACATGGTTGGCCATGTGACCGCGGACTGAAGCTGGTGTTTCAGGATGAGGCCGTTCAGACCGGAGTTGGCTTCGGCCGCCACGGTGAGTTGCGCATGCCTTGGTGCCGATAAATAGGTATCATTTTTATCGCAGTCTTTGCTCACGGACTACATTTTTTCAACAGGGACATCGACAAGCGAACCACAACTCTGGAAAGAAGGGTCCGAGTTCGAGAGCGTACCACTAGACGCGTATATCGGACGGTGGATATTCCTCACTACCCTCAGCAGTAACTTTACTTTTGTCGCTGGCGACATCGGCGGACAATCAGCAAAAGACAAAGACTCTGATGGGCTATTAGAACACGAGGAATTAGATGCAAGTGATAACCTACCGATGGATCCGTGCCTGGGTCATCCGCTTGCAGCATACTCGGACTTGGAGAGCTACCTGCTCGAATACTTCATCCAGGGCATCGGACCTAACTGCTCACTCATTACGATAGACAACCCATACATTCAACTTATCACACCACTGGCCTTTTCCCACACCACGCTCCGGTATGCTGTGATATCCGTGGCAGCCAATCAGCTCCGTCTGCTTGGCGACAATCGGTTCTCCAACGAGGCGCTAGCCTACAAAAACGAAGCCTTGAAAGGCCTACAGCAGGCAATTTCCCTTGGAAGTCTAGATGATGGCGCAATCGCTACAGTTCTCATGCTGTGCTTTCATGCTGTACGTGAGAAGAGGCTCTATATTGTCATTTGCGGCACTGACAGTTTCATTCCATGCAGATCTCACATGAATCCGACCCATCCTGGGTAACGCATCTCCAGGGAGGACTTGACCTCATTAACCACGTACCCTATAACGCCATGTCAAGCCCTTCTTTGCGTAGATTTTTCACAATGTATTTTGTAGCTCATGCCATCATGAGTCGAACGGCATCACCGGGAAAAAGGCGTGGTAAATCCAAGTACAGCTGGTCAGAAGATGATGATCTTGACGAGGTTTGTTGCCCAGTAAATACTTATGGTCATGGTCTCACTGGTTTGCTTAGATCGACACAATAATGGGCTGCTCACGACGACTGCTGGGGCTCATTAATGAGATATCTGACTTACCGATCGCTGGTAAAGATGCAGTAAGGCTATAATCACCCTTCTAACATATGTCCATCAGCGCTAATTCCCCAACACAGGGTACAACCCCATCCGATAATGGCACGGGCAAAAGGCCAATCGATACCACTATTGCAAAAGCGAGCAAAATTGCCTGCTCCCTATCCACCATCACCCAAGCCCTCCCACCCCACTCCCAGGACAGAGATGACCTCAGCCAAATCGCCGAGACTAAACGCCTCGCGGCACTGATATACCTCATTGGACGAGTGAGCAATGCCAACATCATCATCGACGAAGGAACAAACAAGGTCGCTCTCATCAACATGTTGGTAAACATCATTTCCACCCTCCCGGATTCTGCAACCCTGCTCTGGCCATTATACATCCTCGGGCACGCAGGTCTGGAAGATGAGGATCAGCGCCGCTTTGTCCTCGATAGACTGGAGAGGATGCAACGGGTTCGAAATCTGGGTAGTATCCGGCGTGCCCGGGTAGCCGTCAAACACGCCTTCCAGGTCTTCGACATGAGGTTGTCTGCCGCGCGCGCAACGAATGCCGATGCATTTAGCTCCATCAGTCTTGCGTAAATTTCAACCTCATCCTGTTTCCTTCAGCATTTACGCTCATCTCTTCCCCATATCCACTTTGTCAGTTTTGTTACCATTAAATGTCACCCTTTCTGAAGAACCAACCCACCCCGAACCCACACTTTCCTGATTCGCCATCCCCTTTCATATTCTTTAACCTGCGTAGAATATACAGCTAGCGAAAAGTGTTCATATAGATTCTTCCCATCCGGTAATACTATCTCTACGCTGTCTCTATCGATCCAGGAAGCGAAAAGGATATGTATCGAAGACCAACGTGAAAACAAAAGGTGAGTTCTAATTGGACATAGAAAGCGAGGCTTTATTTATTCGACCAGGCCCAATATACGGGCGCTATCCAGGAGCGGGGAATCTTCCATCTAACCGTAGTGGCAATGTATATAGCCATCAGACATCCCTCTCCACATGAAATATACTCTGCAGCTAAGCAAGATACTCAATCTTCAAGACCCAAGTAAATTCCTCTCCATCCCACGCCCCCTCAGGAACACGGAACGTGAACCCCTTCCTTGCCGTCCCCGTCCATTTGACATGCTTCTCCGCCCCGTTCCCGAAAACCACGACCCGGTCGCCAGATAGCAGCGGCAACGGCGCATCCACATACACTTCTTCCCCAGGATAATCCAAGAACAAGACATAGAACGCATCATTGCTCTGGGTGAATCGCACTCCTATCTGTTCTTCACCCGTACCGACCGCATTAACTTCGCTCATCACGAACCAGTACGTCGTGTTGAAGATCGCGTCCGCATGAGCGTGAATCCACTTCCCGGCTTCTCGGAGATTCATGGCCTCGCGTTCCACGATCGATCCGTCCGCACGGGGTCCAATATCGAGGAGGAAGTTCCCGTTCTTGCTGACCATGTCTACGAGGTCAGTGACGATGGTGCTGGCGTTCATGTACGAGGATGGGACCGTGGCGCGGTTAAATCCGTAACTGTAGGGGTCCATGCCCATGTTTGATTCCCATTTGCGGAGTTGGGCGGAGCTGAAAGTCGCGTACTCGGGGGTATCGAAGTCGGAGATTTCGGCGACGCCGCAGCGCGAGTTTATTGTGACTTGACGGTTTTGGGAACGCGCGGTGTTGAACCAGTCTGCGGCGAAGGGGGCCGTGCCGTTGGCGGCACCGCAGTCGCACCAGAGGATGTCGGTGCTGTAGTTGTAGGCTATGATGGACATTTGGGGTACCATCAGGTCCCAGATGAAGTTGGAGACGGGGATGCGACCGGTGTAGGGCTCGTCGAGTCCGGTGTAGGGGTTTCGGGCGATGATGCCGGGCCAGCTGGTTGAGGTGTTGCCGGGGAGTTCGGCGAAGCCGTAGGGGCCGAAGTCCGGGTTGAACCATTCGGGGAGGGAGAAGTAGGTGCCGCGTTTGAGGGAGGGGTGGTAGGTCTCGGCGGCGGTGAAGAGTTCGGAGACGAGGTCGCGCTGGGGTCCGTAGTGGAGGGAGGAGCGGTTGGTGGTGTTTTGGGTGTCGAAGAGGGCAAAGCCGTCGTGGTGTTTGGTCGTTAGCACGAAGTATTTGGCCCCGGAAGCGTCGATGAGGTCGACCCAGGCTTTGGGGGAGAAGTTCGCTGCGGTAAAGGAGGGGAAACCGTCGTCGTAGTTCCAGTCTGGGCCGAAGGTGCGTAGGCGGTAGTCATATGTGTCGGACTTGTCAGCGGCGCGGTGCGTGGTGTACCACCTGATAGATTGGTTAGGGGCGGATGATGAAGGCGTGGGAATTGGAAGGCTTACCAGAACCACTCGGCATAGCTTTCGTAAGGAGTTGAATTGCCCCAACCCGGAACGGAGTATGGGCCCCAATGGATCATGATACCGAACTTGGCGTCGTCAAACCACTGCGGGCTCTCATGTTGGGAGAGGCTGGAAAGGTCGGTTGTCCAGTCGGTTAGACCGAGGGATAGGGGGTGAGCATAGGCTTGACGCTGGATGGACTGACGGTAGTCTAAAACAACCGTTGCTGTGCCGTTAGCTGTACCATTCACCCCGAGGTTGACCCGTTTCTGGTCGCCGGGGCAGAGTCGCTTGATGTATCCGGGCTCCACCGTTTGAATGCCAAACATGTCCAGAGATACGGTGACGCCGGATCCTGCGATGCACTCGGAGCCTGGGTTGTTGATGGTAATTTCGACTACTTGGTTGCCACTTTCTGTCCACTTCTGGGTCGGGCGTATGAATTGCACTTGTGCAGAGGCCAAAGGAGACTTCCACAAGGATACGGAAAACACGTGCAGTCGGCCCGTGGTGGAGTTCGTGGTTACTGGCAGAGTAATGGAGTGAAGCGTCTTGTTCGAGTCGAGCGCTGCGGTGTATTCGAAGATGTGAGAGGTGTTGAAATTGGTGTCATTGTCAGTATATCGGTAAGGGAAGATGATCTCGCCGCGGTTGATCGTCAGGAACGCCCACCACGGCAGGCTGCGCAATTCTGAAACAAGGGTGGAGTTGTCCGAGTACGTGTAAGTCACATTCCCAGAGACAGTGGACAATTGGACATCCGAAGTCACTAGCATTGAGGCAGAAAAATATTGTTCATCGGGTACGGTGATTGTCTGGCCGTCGCAGACGATATTATCTTTCAGGGTGGGCCCGCGATAGCCGGGAAAATCGTACACAATTCCGGTGTGTTTGGAGGTATATGTGCCATTGATTCCGATGATACTTGGGTCTGGATAAGACTGATTCAAGGCATCGAAAGAGGTCTCTCCGGGATATGTGCCAAATGCCTTGTTGTTGAAATAGGGGTCGAGGGAGATGAGGGTAGACTATCGCAATCAGTCATGGCGCAGAGAAGAATTGTTCCGATATGCTTGAAAAAGTCCCTTCCTACATATCAATAATACTGACCTGTGTTGTTGCTTTGGCATTTCCAGCCAGCTGCCATGCGATGGCCGTCAAGGCGGGGAAGTTGAGCTTCATTGCCTGTGTGGTTGACTGCGCATTGCCAGGAGAGGAGAAGGGCGGGGGCAACTAAGGGCAGAAGTAGTCGTCACTCACGGCTTCATATCTCTGTTTCCCCACCGGAAGAATGGCACAGTGACATCGTTGCAGACCGGTTAGTACTAAGGCCTCCACTGTGTGGCAAGCACTCATTGGAGGCAGGCCGATCGCCGTAGATTAAACGGCCGGCGTGCGGGGAGACCGACAGAAAATCATTGCGAGTTATCAGTCGGGGGAAAGATAGGCGATGATAAGCCCATCCCTGTCGGCCCAGCCGGGCACTAACCACGGAAAATAGTGTACTACTAACCTCTAATCTCCCCTCCCGCGAGGGGTACGCCGGATTGTTACATCGTCTGATGCCATCATGCAGCACGCAATGCGCCATCTCGCCTAATAAGAAGCCATTGTTTTCCGCATGATCGTGCCTGGCATCTGTCACTCCATGTGGACATAATGTGGACAAAAATCCTATCTGCTGCAGCCGCCTTGGCCAGCCTGCCATTGGCCCTGGCTTTCAACAACCCACCTGGGGTCGATATTTGGTGCGGGAAGGCCTACCGAGCCAGGTACATCTCCATCCCACGATCCATGGAACACCAACATAGCTAATGTCAACACAGCAATGCCTCTTTCAACCCCGGCGGCTGGTTTGAGAAGCCCTCCTACTCCCCAAGCCCTCTTCTTAACCTCAAAGTGCGACCCCGAATGAGCATCTATCTCGACACCGACACAGCAGGCAGTCTACTCATCGATACCTCCATCTCGCATCTCGTCGGCGACCCATTGCCCATCCACACCAGCACTTCATACTCGAGCCAACGCCTGCATCTCAACATCCACATCCTCACTGAAGATGGAGACCTCGTCGCCACGATCTCCAACCACAGCCTCCCCCTCAACGCCACCAATACCGAAATCCCTCTCCCCTTCAACAACCTCACCCCGCACCTGACCCCCTACACCATCACCACTATCGCATCCCTCTCCAATACCACCACCACAGTCACCACCACCTCCGAGCTATACTACCTCCCCCACCGCACAGACGGCGGCAGCGCCACCCGTATCGACCACCGCTACGGCAGCCTCTCCTACCTCCGAGGCTCATCCACCACCTGGACCCCCATCTTCCCCTACACCTACTACGGTACCCCCCCCCTCCCCCCCCCCCCCCCCCCCCCCCCCCCCCCCCCCCCCCCCCCCCCCCCCCCCCCCCCCCCCCCCCCCCCCCCCCCCCCCCACCTCCCAACTAACCTCTCCTCTCGAACCCAGTCCAATGGTCCCTCTACTGGGACACCAACACCAGCACCCTCCCCACCTTCGCCTCCGCCGGCTACAACGTAATCCACATCGTCCCGACCGGCACCCTCTCCGACACCCCGTTCCCCTGGTCCCAGTTCACCCCCTACCTCACCCTCGCCGACACCCTAAACCTCCACCTCCAATACGACGTCCTCTGGGACCCCACCAACCTCACAGCCATGATCGACCAAGTCTCCCACATCCACACCCACCCCTCTCTCCTCCTCTACTACACTGGCGACGAACCCGACGGCAAATCAAACCCCCTCAACAGTACCAAAATCGCCTACGACACCCTCCGCCGCTTAGACCCCTACCATCCCACTTCCCTCGCCCTGAACTGCAAGAACTTCTACTACGAGGAGTATGCCTCCGGCGCGGATATCATCCTCTCGGATGTGTACCCCGTCGCTACGAATACCTCCTGGTCGACGGTCTACGATACCCCGTGTAATGCGACGTATGGATGTTGTGGCTGTGATGACTGTGAAGGACGGTTTGAGGATATATCCTCCCGAATCGACCAATTCCATTCCTTTGACGATCTTCTCGGGTGGGAAAAGGTGCATTGGGGTGCGCCCCAGGCATTTGGGAATGAGACCTTTTGGACGAGATATCCCACCGCGGAGGAAGAGGTCGTTATGATCATGTTGAGTATTAATCATGGCGCCATGGGTATTGTGATGTGGGATTATCCGAGTAGTGAGGAGATTGAGCGGGTTACTAGGGAATTGGCGCCCGTGGTTACGGGAGAAGAGATGGTGGGGTTTTTGGTGGGGGCGGATAGGGAGAGGGGCGTAGTGAACGGCGCGGAGAGGGTGGATGTGGCGGTTTGGGTTAGCGGAGGGAAGGCGTTGGTGAGTATTTTAAATTTGAATTACGAGGGGGTCGAGGCAGAGGTTAAGGTGGTGTTGGCCGGAGGGTTGGGGGTGAAGAAATTGGAATGTGTGCTTTGGGGTGGTGAGGGATGGAGAGTTGAAGGTGGTGAATTGGTGAGTGATGGGTTGGGTGGTTTGGAGGTGAGTATTCTAGTTGTGGAGTTGGAGTAGAGTGTACTTGTTAATTGGGAGTTGTGTTGTCTGGTTGAGCATGCATCAACACATTATAACATTAATCGGAGCGTTCGGTCCGTGAAACTAGAATATTGGTATGGGTATGTACATCGGTCAAGCCGTCGTCATTACAAGACAAGAAGGAGGCCAGCGCCCGCAAGACCCGACAGCAAGTTGATCGGGTTGCTAGTAGGCAGGGCCGCAAAGCCCTTGGACGAGGTGCTCGTAGCCTCGGCCGAGTCACCGCTCGAGCCCTTGCCGGTCGAAGTACTCGTAGAGCCGGTGGCAGTCAAGGTAACGGTAGAGACTCCGGAGAGGGTGGGCACGGCGCCCTCAGTCGTAGCCACTCCGTTGCCGGTGGCAGACGAGACGGCAGACGGCACTGGAGTAGCACCGGGCACCGCCGAAGTTCCGGTGCCAATCTCCAGGATGTGGTCGTCGCCAGGGTTGAAGTTCGTGTTGGCAACGGAGATTTCATTGTTGGCCAGGTCGTAGACGACGTAGGCGCTGCGGAGGAAGGTGTCGCCCAGCAGGTTGACGCCCGGCTGGCTGGGCACGAGGCCGAGGACGCACGTTCCCTTGGGGAAATCGGGCTCGGTGGCTGGAATGATGAGCTGGCTCATTCCGACGGTGATCTTCGCTCCGGAGAAGCTGTAGGTCACGTTGTAGTCGGTGTCTCTCACGTCGCAGTCGATGTAGGGCAAATCATATTTCTCGACGTAGGTGGCGTTGAGCGCTTTGTAGATCTTGTCGACGAGATCGGACGGGAGGGCAGTCAGGGTCGTACCGCTGTCGAGGGACACCGAGAGGGGAAGGCTGTCGGTGTAGCTGGTCGAGTCGGAGTCGGTCTCCACGCCGACTTCGGTGAGGGCGATGGCGAGGGAGTAATAGTCACCGTAGACAGGCACAATGGGCAGGGTCTGAAGGTCGCCGTGGTACTTGGCCGTGTTCACACCGCCAAAAAGAATGGAGCCGCTGGTTGCCTCCAGTCCATCCAACCACAGACTGTAGGCGGCAGACTTGATCGCCCCGCTATCGACCAGGGCTTGTGGAAGATTGGCATACACCTTGCCGTCGTGTTCGGCCTGGTAGGTCGCGCTTTGGTAGCCGACACCCACAATACCATCTAAAGGAAGACTGATGTTAGCCATGACCACCGCGGAAGGTAAAGATACCTACGTGAAACAGTCGTCGAATCGGCAATCCCGAACTGCATTTTATCGATTGTCGTATTGCCAACAGTGACCTTGTCAGTCACATAAGGCCCGTAAAGGTTCGAGCCGTCCGCATACGTGTCGTTGAGATAGGTGCCCACAGTCTTCATGCTGGAAGAATCGCTGGGGGTGTACACGCCATAAGGACTGCACGGATCATCGTCGGCCGTGCAGTAGGTTGAGTTTGGTATGTTCACCCAGAGATCACTGCTACCGGTATCCAACGTCAACATCACCTGCTGCCCTGGGGTCCCCAGCGTCAGGTTTAGTGAGTAATACGAGTCCTCCTAGTTCATTGTCAGCGCCGATATATTTGACCCTAGAGCGGTGAAGTTACAATGTTCTGCAAGGACGCGCCAACCGTAGAGTCTCGCTTCTGTAGAGAGCCAGTAGTCTGTCTCCGCTCAATAGGGATTCTGACAACGGCCGGGACATCGCGCTTGTGGAGAGAGAGCGCGTCGACACAGGTAAAAGGAATACCCGCCAGGATGGGGAAGAAAGATGCGCCTCGCATCTTGACAGGATCAGTAGCTCGCTCTCGCTCTTCAGAGGGACCAAGATTGCAAAAGCCGCAGTAAATGGCTACAGCAATAAGCGCAAGAGTTTTCAACTGAATATATCGCTACCGGGGCCCGTGCAACCGGGGCAGGCAGCTTTTATGTTCTGCCTATTCCTCCTGATGTCGGCTCTACCGGCTTCGGGCTAAGTCAATAGCGCGCACATGGCGCTGACTCCTGCGGTGCCATGACCAGTCATCGTAGACGCAACAACAACTCAGCCCCAAGGACCAGAGCTAAGGCCAGGAACGAGCGTGGGACCACTCAGACAAACGCTGGGCCCCAAGGGTCTATCTAACACCGGCTAGTTCCGCCTAGGTCCGACTGATGCGCCAAATACGGCCACGCAGCCGGATGTTCGGGGGTTAACTGCTCTTCGGGCCTGGTTCCTGATTTGAGCAATTTCATCAGTCTCCATAGTAATCTTAGATTACAACGGTCATAAGTTTTCATTGGGCTGCCCGGCGACGGATTCTGCGACCAGTGGCTTGGCAGCGGGGGCCCTCTTCGGCCGGCGGGCTTTTGGATTGGCGCTAGTGCCCTGTCCTATCACGACGCTGGTTCATGCTGACTGCAGCAGTGCAGATTCTCTTCAGGCTGCAATTTCATCAGCACTCCTTTGGCTTCCATCGATCAGAAAATATTTGGTCCAGCTGGGCGAGGGAATCCAGGTCGCTCGAGCGTCTGTGCGGGCAGGATAATTGCACGCAATTCCGGATATGTTTCATTGCTAAGTGCAGCGTATATGAGCAGCTTAGGGGAAGTAAATCAACATGAGCGTTTTGGCAAGCAATCTGTTCCTTGTGGTGGCGGGCAACATCCACCACTACATTGGTCACCATACCCAGCGCCGATTGTGAGTAGTGCAACCACTGTATGTCGACCGTGTCTGGGGGGTGGTCTAGAATTTCTTCGTGAATAAGGGAAAGTGCCCTGTCTCATGGTCAGCGATGCATTCGAGTGGTTCTTTTAGCTCTGTGCGACGGCAGGATAGGCGCTAAGCCACAATAAAGAGGATGGGGCCGGCGAACCTCACAGCAGAAGCAATAGGACTGCAATCATGGCCTATTCTGACTTTGTCGGTGCTCATCAGCATTGACAAAAAGCCCTGGAGGTTCTCATCCAGTCGTCGTAATTCCACCACTTTGAATCCATCGCTCCATGGGAGACGTCTCACACTCAGTACCTTGTCAAGCAGGAAGACGGCCTGTGCCTGGCGCCCAAAGTTGCTCATTCGTGTAATCCGGACTGTACGGACACTGTCCAATGGAGCGGGGCTATTCTCGTCCGGATCAAGATCGCTTGGTAGGGGGAATCCGGAAGGTGGGTACTCGGTCCAAGGTCTTTGGGCTTTATCCTTGATTTCGCAAATAATGAGCCTGTATTGATCAGCACCGTGTCAATCAAAATCCACTGCCTATGGTCTACCTCTCTAGGATGACCACACCCCACCACAGATTACATCGCCCAAGCTTATCTGTTCCAAACTGATTGACCTTTGGGCCTGCCACTTTTAAGTCGACATTATGTAGTCCAAGCGCAAACGCGATCCTTGTTAGAGCACCCATGGTTATATGCGCTGCCGCTGGTCGGCCGTTGGCATATTCATAGGCCGCGATCAACAAGCCGGCCTGAAGGAGACGGTCAGATGCACACATTATGGCTTGTGTCTCTGCAAAAAGCATTTTCACGGTTCCGTATAGGCCCTGTGGCGTTATCTTCGTTTGAGAGTTCGACGGTTGCAGCGTTACAAGGCACATAGCTAGCATAAGAATGGAGAAATCCGTCGCCGGGGAGCCAGGCATCCCGAGATACCCAGCAGTTTCTTGGCAATATAGCTGGGGTAGCATTATGGGAAGCCATTTGTGAAAGTTACTGAAATACCGACGGCCGATCTCCTGCAATGATAGGTCTGCGAACTTTATTATGCCGTGAACTTGGTACCAAATCCTTTCTGGTACTGCTGACAGGTCCTGCGACGGTCCGAAGAGTGAGGTCATCTGCATGAGTACCGCATTTACACTTATCTCAGTGGCAGCAGCTCTCTCCAGCTCGTCCTTGGCCTGCGAGAATTCTCCGTAACGACATCGCAGGTTTCTTTTGGTGCAGTACCCACACTTTGGTACGGTCTTGTCGCAGCGCTTCTTTCGGAGCTTACAGGGAGAGCAGACCTGTGGAGCTCTGTGAGATATTGCAACTTTCATGCCTTTTTCGTTATTGTCGGTCATTTCGGTGTCAGAAGACCAATTGCGGCGCGAGATTTGTTGCGGGATAAGCTGTTGTTCAGCCTGCGGTCGGATTGTCTGGGAATTCCTAGGAGACACAGATCAGCCAAGGGTCAGCGCAAGGGCAAATATGCTTCTGGGACCAGCGGCCGCCACTAGCCCTTTTCAATAACCCTCGCCATGAAATTCCCTCTACTAGATAGATGGTCCAAGTGGAGAGGAAGCGCGATGGCAGTTGAAAGATCACCAAGCAGGTCACCTGCTTCGTGGGGCCGGCGGCCGCCACTAGTCCCTTTCAAGCCAGCTCAGGACCTTGTGGTCGCCCTACCCGTGTTTCTATTCGCCCGCCTGCAAACCGGAAATGCAAACACCTCCAGCTCAGCAGTGCAACACAACCGCAATAGTTGATGTCTATATTATCGCAAGCTCGCCTAGCTTTTTGGCAAAATGGCATTAAAATGTCGCTGCTCGCCTCTGCTGCGCTCATCATCATTTCACGCCCCGCTATCCCTTTCAATCTAATCTCGTTAGGTCCCCTTTGACATAAGATATATATTAATACACCATGACACATACGCGTCAGAGCGACAACTTTGCAAACCAGCAAAATATACCTTCAATCATACCTAAGAATCAACATGCACGTCAGGACAGATACAGGCCGGGATCTAGCTCCACACCCGCTAAAAAGCCCCCAAGTACAAAGACACCAGATCCTGCCTTCATGGTCAGGTTCGAAGAGGGTGACCCCGAGGATCCGCGAAATTTCAGCAGTGGGCGCAAGGCATTTATCACACTTCAAATGAGCATGCTTGCCCTTGTGGGTGCACTCGGGTCGTCTATCCTGTCCCCAGGACAGTCAGATATTGCAAGGTATACGCATATAAGCGAAGAGGTTGCAGTCCTGGCGACTTCGTTATATGTCCTTGGTTCGTCGTAACACAACTCCAGTATATGAGGTTTTGACTAACTTTTGAAGGCTGGGCAGTAGGTCCAGCACTCTGGGGTCCAATAAGCGAGGTTTACGGCCGAAGATGTGGAATGCTTCCTGCAGTATTCTGCCTAGGCCTGTTCAGTATCGGAACTGCGACAAGCAAGAACGCTGCCAGCATTTTCATAACCAGGTTCATTGGAGGTATCTTCGGGTCAGCCCCAGTCAGCAATGTTGGTGCCGCTCTGAGCGATCTATATACTCCGAAGGATAGAGGGACGGCGGTGACATTCTTGGCAGTGTGCATCTCTGGAGGCCCAACGCTTGGTCCCATTATTGGCTCTGCGTTGGTGACGAATTTCAAGCTTGGCTGGCGCTGTTAGTGAATTTTCACTGCCTTTTGTTGCATATACTAACTTTCCTAGGGACTATGTACATCGAAGCCATTTGCGCGTTCGCATTCTTCGCTTTTTCTACTCTAATGCTTCGGGAGACCTATCCGCCGGTCCTGTTGAAAAACAAGGCACAAAAGATGCGTCGGACAACGGGCGATGAGAGATACTGGCATCCACATGAGAAAGAGAGCATCAGGCTGGGTAATGCCGTTACCAAACACTTTGCTCGTCCGCTACGGTATGTCGTTCAAGTCTTCTGGCTACTTGTGTTTATTGTTGATTGCGTACTAGCATGCTGATCACCGAGAGCATTATGGCCTCGGTTGCTCTTTACGCATCCTTTACGTACAGTTTAATCTATCTCTGTTTGCAAGTATACCCCATTGTATTTGAGGAGGGACGTGGTTATAACCCCGTGATCTCCTGCTTGCCATTCCTCGGGATCCTAGTCGGGATTATGTCCTCCTTGGCGATCAATATTGCGAACCAAGCATGGTATGCAAAAGCCATGAGGGCGAATGGTGGAAAGATAGTCCCCGAGGCACGGCTCCCTCCGATGTTGATTGGTGGTATCCTACTCCCCACGGGACTCTTTTGGCTTGGTTGGACAGCGGCACCGAAATACTCATGGGCACTGCCCACAGTTGCGGGGGGTAAGCCAGCAGAAGATTCTTTCGGGAAATACAAGCAATAAAGTCAATATTACTAACACATGCTAGGCTTCGTCGGCGCTGGATTTAACATTATCTTCCAGCAATGCTTCAACTACCTCATCGATACATACGGTCCGTATGCAGCGAGTGCGATTGCGGCCAACACAATTCTGAGATCGTTGCTGGCGGCTTGTCTTCCTTTAGCTGCAAAGCCGATGTTCCATAACCTGGGCGTGGGACCTGCCGCTAGTTTGTTGGGCGGAATTGCTTGTCTGGCACTGCCGATACCCCTCATTTTCATGAAGTACGGGCCTGCGCTTCGGAGAAAATCAACACTGGCAGCAACAAGTTTGGAATAATTTTCACAGTGGAGGAGGACAAGTAGATGGAAGTAGCTCACTTCGTCGATCTCGTTGCGAGAGACTTCACTGCAGTTCTCTTTTGGTGAGATGATCTCCGAATTCCACCGTGAAATGGCATGGCATGCAAGTGTCACGATTCTAGAACATGCCAGCAAGCCAGACATGTGTACTTTGAATATATACCACTGCTATCACCCCTCGGAAGGGCTCCTTGACAATGGCTGCACGACGACTTAGGCGACTGAGTCGACCATATATAAATTTGATAATTCTATATGCGAGTGTCAAGCTTATTCTTACAGCAATGACCATGCTAAAGTAATTGCGAGCAGGACAGGTACACCAGAGCCAGCGTAAGCAGATGATAATCCCCATTCAAAATCATTCCCAAGGCCCTGTACAGCGACCGCTCTTCTTGATCCTCTATTCATTTAGATGATTAGCACTGATTTCTTCCCATTCCAAAATGGCCATCTCCCCACCGTGCTTTATCCCCTTAGAAGCACAGAGAAAATACTGTTTGGTTGGGGAATCTGTTTGGAGTGGAGGGTGATGACCGACGGTGAGACTAGATGAGAGTCTATGTTGAAGCAGGCAGTACTATTAAAGGCGTCGTAATATTGGGATGGAAGTAATAATGATTCTGCTTAGAGTTGAGGGATTTGATTGCATTATCTGGATACAGTACCTTTCCAGGTCGCTAGTCATGACAGGATAGATGTATACCTGTATCTACCAAGAAAACGCCTCCTCGAAGTACCGCAAATTTCTGTATCCATTTCGCATGGCTTCGTGGACTGCCAAGCGAGACTCGTCCACCATTTGAGGTGAGCCGGAGCAAAGCACGGCGAGGGTTGTGTTACTTTCGTCTGACCCCTTGGCTCCTTCGCAAGCCATGCAAGCGGAGGAATATTAGTAGATGACAACAGCCCCGTGCGTCTCATTCACTGGGTCTGGTCAGACACATCATGTATGCGTCCTATCAGGGACATTGGAGGTTGCTTGTCCCTGAGATGCCTACGACACATTTTCCGCGGGGGCAATTATTCGAACCCGCTGTCTATGTGCCTTGGGTTGCGTGGAATGTGTCCATGTAGCAAGCTAAGCAGCACCCAGGGGGTTGGGCATCATCCCAAGTGAGATATAGAATCCACGAATTGGTACATGTCATGCACCGCATTATTCAACGCTCTTCCGCGGCAACACATGAGCAAATTTCGCTCCCAGATGCTGCTCCAGCATCCGCCTATGCCCTTGCGAAATCCTCCCGGCTTCCTTCATCTTCTCCGTCAGTTTCTGGATTGACTCCTCCAAAGTAGGTCCCTCCTCATCCCAACTCTCCCTTCGATTCGTCTCTTCCTTCCTCTCCACAGCGTCAGCCCACATCCCCTCCAATTCGTCCCGCCATCCCAACGCATCTGCGAGCTGTCGGACTCCCTCATCACAAGTCCCAAGCAAACATACATCCGCCTCCCTCGTCCCTAGATCCCCGACCTTCTCCCGATTGATAAGTATCCTCGGAATACCCTCCCCGATTGACTGCGGCAACCTCGAGCAAGGCGCAACCTTCAAACTCGTCCCCATCACCAGCATCAGATCCACACCCTTTCCCGTCAGCCTCTTCTCCTCCACCTCAAACCTCTCCGGTAGGGCTTCCCCAAAAAAGACCACATCTGGTTTGACGGCACCCCCGCACCCCGCCTCCAAACAATAGGGGACGTCGCCTACCCGAATGGCCCGCTGCATCAGGTCATCTGGATACGGCACCTTGCATTTATGACATCGTTGCGTCTTCCAGCTGCCATGTGTCTGGAGGACTTTCTCTGCCGGAACCCCGGCATCCAGCTCCAGGCCATCGATGTTCTGTGTGAAGAGGAAGGAAAGCAGGTTCTTGCGGGCTAGAAGGGCGAGGAAGGCGTGCGAAATGGTGGGAAGTAGATTGCGGGGGTGGCGGGCCCGCGCGATGGCGTAGAACGGCTCGGGCGTGTGGCTGAAATAATTAATATGGAAGATGGCTTCCGGGTAGGGAAGCTTTAGAGGTGCCAGTTGGTCGTAAAGCCCGCTCGTCGGCGTCCGGAAGTCGGGGATTCCGGCTGCGGTCGAGATGCCGGCGCCCGTGAGAGCTACGATTCTCGTGATTTGGCCCGTTCGAATGCGGTCCACGATGTCGGTGATGGTGGTCAATGCAGATATCATTGTGCTGGTGCTGGGGAGGTGATGGACTTGATGGTCTGACAGTTGGTTCAAGAGTCGCAACGAACACTCCATACCCCTCAGAGCGATCGACAACTTGTCACCTGGGAAACCGGAACATCATGTGATGTGTGATCTACATTGATACTTTTTCAGGGCACTTTCACAATCTATATCCACTAACTTCCTTGGAGCCTCCCGTCTGTATACAGCGTCATCGACTTTTTCCTATACGCGTGGCTTTATGTGGCCTCATACTATACTGCGGGATTTGCTATGTGGTGTTCTGGTTCATATTCACGCTTCACATAGCTAGCATCATTTTGGCGGGCTCCATCAGAATGATAGAATACGACTTGACCTGAGTGATAAAAGTCCAAAACAGGGATCCGTCCACCATTTGCCTCAAAACGATCATGTATCATCCGAGTCCTGAGTTGCCATTTCTCTACTGGTTTGAAGGGTTCAAATTGAAGATAGATATCAAGTGTTACCACTACTCTCTCGGACTATAATGTGCGTTGGTATGAATAATCAAAGGGGGAAAGTATCCGACTACCTGAGCTATTCGAGCTATTCTGGGTATCGTCTTCAGCATTCGAATTCCCTGAAGGCAGAGAACTGCATCACGTATGCGTCGGGCCTAGACTGTAGCAGTTTTCAAAGTGCCCACTGAATATTGTAACAGGTTCTTCCGTTGGCCTGGGTTAGCCATACTACATCTGGCGTGGGGATCGCTCCCTGGAAGGAAAACTGTTACATTCAATTCACTCTCAGCTGTTAGGCACCTAGCTCATGAACTCATTACTTGCACTGACCGTAAAAGAGTGGAAAACCAAAGAAGTGGAGGGAATAAGGGCATGAAAGTCAGGGTAAGATTCAAATATGGATGAGTACGATATTAAGGGTATCAATGCAGCAAGACAAAATGATTGATGCTGCTACACTTCTGGTGTTGGCCGTTTCTATACACACAGGCTGCGTGTAGATGATCTATACTACTATCAACTAGAAGATATTTCGGAAGATACAAACAAGTGCCTCTTATTCACGTACTTATGTCTCACAATATGATCGATACAGACATGAAAGCCACTCGGCGTTCTATCTTTACCAATGTCAAGATATTCGAAAATCTGTCAACCGCTTTTGGAGTTCGTTGATAGTAGCATTTCTAGATGCAGTAGTGGGATGCATTTCCTGTTTTGTCTGGTGTTTAATAGTATTCCTACTACTGTACAAGTGTTCTCTGGGCTTCCGAATGTCAGGATCCGGTTGAGTAGTCGTGTAAGTGATGCTTGTTCTAAAGCTGGCGACTTAGAATTTGATTCCTACACTCGATGTTCAGTTCGGTTTGACCATCCAATGGCATGGAATCCGCTGTAGAGGCCTACCTTGCGTAGTTCCTAACACCAATGACAAAGATTGTTAAGAATACAGCTACAATTTAACTTTGGCGTTTGGTTGTAGGTAAAGGAAAGGTACTAGTGTTTCTCAGCACTAGCGCGCTTCGAAAACTAGGTACTATAATTCATGGTCTATAAATATATTCTGATCTTCTGACAGAATAGTCTATTAAGTCCAAAAACTGCTGAAAACCGGTTTTTATACAGAGGTTGGCGGCACATGACCGAACCAAAAGCTCGAGGCTCTCCGCCTTTTCCCACTAGTAGCAGAGAGCTTCTTCTTTGTCTTCCTCATCAATCCCAACTGGCTCGTCAGGGCCGATCCGTGACTTGTCCAGAGCGCCAAGTCACTGGATCCACCAGCGAAATGGCAATGGTCAGAACGCTGGAACACGTCGTACGCTCGATTCAGTCGCGTTGTCGAAGGCAGTCGGTCGGAAATCTCGTGGGACTGCCATGCGAGGCTATTCATGATAGGTGTGAGAGACCATACCCGCTCAGCCACTACCCCATTGCATCGAACTAACAGACGGCTGCTTCAGGCTCTTGGAATACCGATCTGCAAGCTCCTCACACACTCCCCAAATGCGCCTCCGGTTGGCAACACCAATCAGCTTCAGATCGTCCATCCCATACCGTGGAGCAGTCATCTTGTCGAGCCACATGTACATTTTCTTATAATTGAGGTCGTGCGAAACCTTCTGGAACTTTGCTGCCTGAAGCTCCCAAAACCATGGCATATCCCGTTGCATAAACTGCTTCCAGAAAAGGTTGTCCTGGGTAACGATGTGAATGTTGAGTGAAGCCTGTGCTAGCGCTTTCAGTGAATCGCCTGGCAAAAGCATGCAGATCTGATAAACGATCTCGAGTGGTAGTCTCCCGAACGGACTGGCAGGCTCTCGTCCGCGAAGGTCCAGCTCTGCGGATGGAGTCTTCAGCTCACTGTTCGTTTCCGCATTTTCCTGGACAAAATCTTCGAGCTGTGGAGTGTCCATCGGATGCGTGGCGCAGTACTGCTCCAGTTATTAATATATCCGAACCAGCGAGGGGATGTTTGCTAACCTCTGCACCCGGGATGCATTCCCAGTAGCGTCCCTGCGCGCGCTGAATGTCATCTCCGTAGCTCAATTGCAACGCAGAGCCGGACATGTTGCACAGTGGGGTCATGACACTGTACAAGACATCCAAATTTATGTTTTTAATCTCGGTCGAACCAGTGATCGTCCGAATCAATATCTCGAAACAGCACCAGTGGAACGGCAGAACGGGACCGGGGGCTTCTTCCGAACCATGGCCATAGCTTTGAACGGTCAGAATGGGTCAAATGGGCTACAAAGTGGGTTTATCACACCATGAAAAGACTTGCTGAGATCGGGGCCGATCGCCATCTGCCAAGGTCAGTATCCACATTTAGCTCATTCTCTGCTCGAGATGTACCTGATCTGGCCTTGACAACGAACTCTCCCTGTTGGGTAAGTAATTAGCTTTGATCATGCAACTCTACAAGCAGAGAAGACCTACAATATCGGCATAGTATCCTTCGTCCGAGATGAACGCTCTGAAAGATTGTTAAATGGGATCATGCGACCGCGTAACACACAGCAGCAATACATACTTTGTTGCACCGGTTTCTGCATTTTCATTCACTCCCAAACAGTGTGCCTTGTACAACCAGGAGATGTTGTCCCAGCCGACAATCCGAGGGTCATAACTGCGGACAGGATCCTCAGTTTCGTCTCCTTCGCGCGACACCTGCCCGAGGTCCTTTCCAGCCTGCAAAGCCCGACATCTCTTCTCGATCCACCGTCTGCGACGCTCGAGGGCCGTCTCAGACGGGGCCTCAATGTGCATGCCACAGAACCCGACACCGCAGATCGCACAGTAGCAATCGAACGCCATTGAGATAGATAGAGCCGCTACTGAATTGAGGTCAAAGAAACAGAAAGGGCGACAATTCACACTCCGATAAGTTTGGGAATTCCCCAGGAAGTGCCAGAATAAATACCGAAAGCGACGGGTGGCAGGGCCCACAGCGGCCACGATGGGCCGGAATCAATCCATTCAGGGGCTTCCATCGCGCCCGTACACTAAGAATGGGGAAAACTCTTCGCGGCGATCAGGCGACCTAAAAATATGACACCGACATTTCAACAGCGACCGGTTTCATGAACGCCATGTCATGGTTTTGGTGAGTTGGCAGGGATGATCTCCTGAGGTCTTTATTTTCAATTGATGATGAGGACTAGGATCTGCCCTTTGTGACCTTGGATAGGCAGGCGTGCATCCCACCTGCTCCGTAAATGATAGCAAGCCACGCCCCCCGTACCATGTACGACAGACTTTACCGAAGAAAGTTAACCTTATTACTAGCTGGCCTGGGGCTACCGAAAAGGCGGTGTTCTCCAAGACAGCCAACAGGCGATTTCCCGACCCGCATCCGGCTACAGCAATAATCCCCCTTGCCCATCGACATGTCCAAATCCAGAGTGGCATGACTGCTCCTGCTGAACTGGCAGGTAAGGCCACAATCGCATTGTTAGGGCCAGATGCAGAACCCCGGGATACCCTGAACAGGCAAATCCAGGAACACGAGACAGAATTTTCAACGGTCGGCCCGACCATTTGTTGGTTCAGGAACATGGATGGAGCCCCGTGACCGGACCTCGCCACCCCGATGGCCCAGCCGGGTCCAGAAGCTGGCCAATCCCAACCTCCCCGGATGGCTACGGATCAACATCTACTCCGTACCAAGCACCAGCAAATCGCCGATATAAGCAACTATTTCAGTCCACCACTTGGATCCCGTGTAGTGGAGTGTTGCTTATACCAAAAAATATGGGGGGAAGTCTAAATTCATCGGTTTGTGAAGGGTTCTTGTATTTTATGGTTTTTAGTGTAAGATATGCCTACCTGTGAAAATACTACTATTGGGATTTATATCTCTATCTAGCTCCACGGTTTCTCAGCACAGGCACTTATCTATGACAGAAGAGTAGAATTGGAACAATTGCCTAGTATTGGAGTTTGAAGCAATTGACCATGGAAAATCATCAGACCACTAACCAGATTGCCTAAAACGGACGATTGCTTGACCGCGTGGTTGCTTATATCGACAGTTTACTGTTATTGAGACATGTACGGAGTATGGCATGTCAATCTGAACGTCGAGAATTCTCAAATATAATACAAGCTATGCAATACAAATTTAATGAAACAAGATAACGGCCCATCAGGCAGTCTGGTCCTCATTTCTGACCTCCACCTCCACCGTGACTTTGGCCTCTTCGTCCTTTTCTCCTCATTTCTTCCCTTCTGTCCTCCTCTCTCGAGACGTTTGCGGCCTGCCTGGGAGCTAGAGGGGGGAGGGGCACAGGTACACCGAGGGGAAGCCATTGTGAGATGATTGTGGCAGGTGTGAGGGCGGGGAAGTTGAGGGTGAGGGAGGGAGAGTCATCGCGAACCATCACACACATGGCCCCGGGTTGGAACTGGGGGACAGGAACCGGGGTTGCGGGGGGGGCAGTGGTAGCAGCAGAGCTGGTAGCAACCCAGCAAATGCACTGATGGGGCTGCTGGCAGATTGAACACCGCTGTCAACGTTGGCCTTCACGACTAAGATTGCCGCATGACTGGCAGCAGCTCCGAAGTCTCTATATATCCCCGTTAACAATGCTATCCACACCGTATGTAGCACGCTTAATCTTGCCCTTTGGCGGGGGGGAATCAGATTCATTGGTGGTGGTCTCGGTGGGAGTCTTTGACGATCGGAGGCTCTTTGCTAGTACCGCCCGGAGCCGAGGAGGATTCCGGGGATGGGATGGGGGCGCTATCATCCGACAGTGAGCACTTATCAAGATATGGAATTTTTTCTCTGGGCGAAGATGCTCACCAGCGTTTCATCGCAGAACAGCACGGCTGAGTAGCTAGCCGTATGAAGCAGGGAGAACGACACTGGATCGACGAGGACTAACGGCGGAGAAGACGACGGGCAGCCTGACGTTGAGAGGTTTTACAGCTACCAACCATTTACTTGAAGAAAGTACAGCAGTGACCTGACAAATTGGGAGGCAGTGAATGACAGTAATACACACCTTCCACATCCATTTTCTTGGATACGCACAATGAATTCCGGCCGGAAATCAAATCCCGGTGCGGGGATCGACACTTAAATACTCACCACCCAGCACTGCTCTTCTACGAGCTGTCCAGGAACACGACTTTACCCTTCCACTTCACATCAGAGCACTACCACAATGCTGTCGAACAAGCAAGCAATAGGTACCCTCTCGTTGGGACAGCATCCCTCACATACACTCGAGCAAAAGATCCGCGTTGCCTCAAAGTACGGCTACACTGCGGTCGAAGTGGTCTATTCCGACTTGGAGAGGTACTCGAGTCTCCTGGGCATATCGATACAAGAAGCAGCCGAAAAAACAAAGACCCTGTGTTCTGACAATGGAGTCGAAGTCCTATCATTAGCTGCGTTCGAAAACTTTGAAGGCAGCCGCTCGCCATTGCATGAGCGGCTATCCCTCGCCAAACACTGGATAGACCTTGCACGAAAGCTGAATGCGCCATACGTTCAGGTCCCCGCCCAGTATGGCCAGGACGTCAGCACGGACAAGACCGTCATTGTCTCCGAACTGCAGCAATTGGCAGATTTGGCGAGTGCCGACGAACCAATTATCTCGATCGCATATGAGCCGATGTCCTGGAGTACATACTGTTCAACTTGGGACACGGCGTTGGAGCTCGTGGAGGCTATCGATCGCAAGAACTTCGGCCTGTGTCTCGACACGTTCCATGAAGCCACCAAGCTATGGGGCAGTCCCTTTGAGCCATCCGGGAAGTATCCAACCGCAGATAGGGACCTGAGCGAGTCTCTGGATCGGTTTCTCAAGAAATGCCCGCTGGAGAGGATCTTTTATATCCAGTTATCGGACGGCGAGCTCTTCGATCCACCGTACTCAAAGACACATCCGTGGCATCTGGAGGGTGAAGCACCGCAGTTCACCTGGTCTAAACATGCCAGACCGTTCCCACTTGAGACTGAGCTCGGAGGCTACTTGCCCGTGCTAGAAATTGTAAACGCATGGGTAATCGGGAAGGGTTACACTGGTTGGATCTCCATGGAAGTGTTTGACCGGCGAATGCGCAGTCCGAGCTTCAAGCCAGAGGAGGCTGGCAAGAGGGCGAGAGAGTCGTGGAGAAAGTTGCAGGAAGGCCTACATTCTGGAAGCCCGAAGATCTGATCTTCAACTAAGCGTATTAGTTAGCTCCTGTGGTTTCTCACTAGCAATGTAACCGTCGTGAACCCCATCAGGCCTCGGAGATAGGACCCTGGCGTAGACCGGATGAAGGAATTATCGCCGAGGAGGGCTTCCACGTGACTCGCCTCCTGCTTTCCCATCCCAACGGCTCCGACTACCATCCCATCGTCAACCAACTAATGCGTATCTGACCCGCCTATCACCTCTCATCTACCCCTTGCTGCACTCTCTTATCAGATCCAATGGCCCCAGACATCTCCAGACCCCCTACGCTACGCAGGTCATGCCAAGCCTGCGCCCGCGGCAAACGCCGCTGCGACCAGCGCTGGCCACGCTGCACTCGCTGCCAGACGCGGAGAATAGACTGCGAATACGTCAATATCCCTCTAACTGTGGGCACCGACAGCAGTCCCGGTACATCCAGAACCGCTCCGACGCTCCAGTTGACTCGCAAACGGCCCTGCACGCCATCCATCCACCTCCCTCTACCATTAGAAATCACAAAAGGCTACTCTCAAAACATCATCGCCTTTTTAGTCTCAGGAATGCGTGCATACCCGTCCTCCTTTGCAACTAACATGAAAACCCACTTCATCCACCCCGACCTCTGGCCTCATCCTTCCTCACCCCCGTCCCCAATCCGGGATATCCACACTCTATGTAAACTTCACAGCTCAACCAACACCGCCACCCTCATCCCACTGATCAAACAGAAATCCTCCTCTCTTCTCCGCCAAATCAATCATACCAGCAGCTTCGAGGAGATGCTCGCAACCGCTCAAGCCCTCCTTCTAGCGCAATGCATGCTCATCCTCGCAGAAGATGACCCCTCCACAGCCCGGTACTCGGAATCAATCAGCACAATGCTCTTTAACCTCGGTCAGAAGCTTTGGCAGCAGGCCCCGGTACAATTACCGAGGAGTCTGAGTCCGCGGAGAGCGTGGTTATTCGCGGAAAGCGTGCGCCGGACGATCATTGTGGGATTCATGCTTCGCAGTGTGTATTCCCTCAAGAAGAGGAATTATTCCGTCCGGACTCCGTTTGTGGATTCCTTGCCGTTTGATGTTCGAACGACGCTGTGGGATCAGGATTCTGAAGGCTGGAGTACTGGGGTCGGGGAACCGTTGGAGTCCATGGTCTCGTTGCATCAGTACTCCAGTATGATGGAGCAGGGCATGGTTCATGGCATCAACGATTTTGGAGGGTTGATTCTGGCGGCATGCAAGGGACGCGCTGTGGCGGGGGTTCCTTATCCGCCTGTTAATGGGTATAAGGTATACTAGCTGGTTTGGTTGCCAGCTCCCTTTGCGCTCAAGAACGAGTAAGAAAACCCCAAACAGGCCTATCATTAATTCATTCCAGTTCATTGCTAACTCACAGGCTCTAGCACTCGGCCTTCCCACATTCCCTCATCTCATCTCCTCACCGCAAAAACATCTTCAACACCCCCGCCAACATCTCCGTCATATCCTTATACAACTCCTGCCTCTTGATCTCAAATGCCTGATAAAGCTCCGCCGCCGACCCAACAGCAATCTGCACCTCCCCACCCTTCAATCTCCCCCACACCTCATCCACAAACTCTCCCAACGGCATCCCGATCAAATGCCCATCCTTCAAATCCGGCTGATGCTTCGCATCATGCAGCTCCGTCTGCACCGCGGGGGGATAAATCTCCAACACCTTCACATTCCCCGGCCCATCGGCGACCTGCGTCCGCAGAGAGAGAATAAAATGGTGCAGTGCGGCCTTCGAGGCGCCGTAATTGGGACAACGCATCATGGGGACAAGTGCCATCTGGGATGTTGTGTATGCGAGCGCGGTCTGCGTCGACTTGCTCTGGAGATGTGGGAGAAAAGCGTGGGTTATGCGGACGGCGGCGGTGTAGTTTGTAATGAGTTCCTGGTCAAAGATATCCAGATCAACGGATTCAGGTTTCGAGAAGTCAAAGGGGCGCTGAATGCCGGAGTTGATGAAGATGCAGTCGAGGTCGGGGTGGGCGGTCGTCACGTCAGAGGCAAAGCGGGGAATCTGCACGCATTTCCAACATCGTTAATTCCATGTCTTCTACACCGGTATAAAAGGGAGAGAAACGGGGGAAAAGGACGAACCTGGTCCAACTGCATCACATCAAAGACTCGTGAATCGACCTTCTCGCTTCCATACTGCTCCACGAACTCATCCAGGTTCTCCTTTCGCCTGCCGGCAATCACGAGCTGAGTACCGTTCTCGGCGATTCTGGTCGCAAGCGCTTTGCCAATGCCGGAGGTGGCGCCGATAATGAGGACTTTCTTGTAGGGAAATAACATGTTGGGTTTATTATCTGATCGGATATGTATGTGTATTATCGCTGGCGTTATATGTGAATGATATGGTACAAATTTCAAGGGAAGGAGTGTATTTGCTGATTAAATGAAGCGAGTAAAGATCCAACAAAATCCGCAGGGACTTCGCGCTGGCGCTACCGACTCCTTAAGTAGGACTCATCTACCTCTAGCCTCTAAGCGAAAGGGAGACCAGAACACAGCAAGGCAGCGGCGAGATTGAAGTCCGATCATTCGGTAAACCCCCGGCAGCGGAGACTAAGCCTGATGCGGTCCCACTTTTGGCGTGACATTCTCGCGGAGACTAGGCCGGATGGGGAGAAGGGTTCCGCTTAATCATCGCTGGGGTGCGACTCGCAGTAATGGAGGCGCTCGAATTGGTGGATTCTCTCCAGAAGGGGACAGGGTGTGACAATAGTGTAATTTCTCGGTGGAATGAAATGCGATCTGTCGTCATTGGAGTAAGGGGGAATTCCGACTGTACTCGGTGATATGCATCGTATGCCCGGGTTCGGCTCGGGGTCGCAATATAGGCCCGATATTCGTAAATATCTCCGATTAGTATGGCGTCATGATGGGTCTCCTTCGGAGTACGGGTCGGGGTCGGCTTGGGATGCTTTGTTGAGATGGAAGAAATTCCGAAATGTGGGGAGAGTTCGAGCCCCTGAGAACAGGCGGGACGGGCTATGTAAGGCGCGGTTGTTCTTATGAGACGGCTTTGATGGTCTGCAACAGTTCGTCTCTCTCCACGCTGCTCTCGATCAAGCCGCGGAATATCCCGTTTCGGTTAGACGCTAGCTCGGATGGCGTCCCGTACTCGACCATGCGGCCTGCGTCAAGCACGAGGACGCGGTCGAAGTCGATGATGGTGCTGATCCGATGGGCGATGACTAGCAGAGAAGAGCGGTTGCGGCCGAATTCAGCGCGGATGGACTTTTGAATTACTGCGTCCGTCGACTTGTCGATGGCCGAGGTGGCCTCATCCAGAACCAGGATTTTGGGCCGTCGCAAGATGGCGCGCGCGAGGCAGAGACACTGTCTCTGACCTTGTGAGAAATTGGAGCCCCGTTCTGTGACCTCGGCGTTGAGGATACTTGGTGGATGCTGGTATTCCAGTTCAAGAGCGTCGAGTGCATTGTTCGTGTCGCGGTCATTATCGTCTAAGTTGATCAAGGGAGAGCCGGGACGATTATCATCGGCGCGTTCTTCGATGTCGGGTACGGCCCAATGTACCCGTTTCAGTGCTGCGAGGAGTTCCTGGTCTGAGTGCTCGTCGAACGGGTCCAGATTGGATCGCACTGTCCCTGAGAACAATATCGGATCTTGTGGAACAATTGCGAGGCGGGTTCGCAGCTGATGAAGCGGGACTGTTGAGATGTCCACCCCGGCGACGTGGATGCTCCCCTGTTGGGCTTCCAGGAAACGGAAAAGGGCCATTGCTAGTGACGACTTTCCCGCGCCTGTACGGCCGACAACTCCGACTCTGGTGTTTGGTGGAACTGAGAATGACAGGTTCGAGAGGACAGGTGGCGAATCAGGCGAATAGCAGACAACCAAGTCGGACACGTCCAACTGACCCTCTGTAGGCCAGGACTCCGGAGTCGGATCACCCGAGTCGTACTTTTCCTCCGGGACGTCGAGAGACCATGATACGCGCTCAACGCTGTTGAGAGATATTTCGAGGTTTGCGTACTGTCTGATAACGTGCGACATGACTCCACTATATCGCATGATAAAGGTGATGGCAAACCCGGCTGTCGAGGCAGTGACGCTGCTAGAGGACAGAATGAGTAGAGAACCCGCCGTGGTAAACATGGCCCCAATGGTACTTGCACGGACGCCAATCCAGCGCGTGAGAAGCCAAAGGCTCCAGGAGGCACGGCAATGACGGTCAATTTTGCCGTACATTTCCTCCCGGTATGTTTCTTCTTGTCCGTAAGCGCGCACCGTCATGATGCCATCCATCGTAGCGCACAAATGGTGAAGTACGGGACCCCGCATGGTGCTCTCAAGTTCCTTGATGGCACGGATCTTCCTGATGAACATTCTACCGTAGTAGAAGGCGAGTAGGAGCGAGCAAGCAGAGAGAAGGTTTAACCAAGCATTCACTAATGATGCCGCCAAAACAATGGCAAGGAGGTCAACTACAACACCAAGTGCATAGTTGAGGTCGTACCCAAGCCGCGAGTCGATAAGACTGAAGTCAGCGGAGAAGTTATTGAGGACATTCCCTGCTGGCAGCTTGTCCAGCCACTGGAGGGGAGCGTGTAATATCGACGAAAGGAACTTCTCGAAGAGTTTCCGCGACATTTCGAGGGTTATACGAACGGCCATGAAGCTCCTGGTGACTGCGACGATACACGAACTGCTCGACAACAGCAGGTAGATGAGCAAGAACAATGTGACATTCCCTCCAGTAGACTGAACAGCCCCTGAGGTGTCCACTGCTTCGGAATATCCGCTATCGTTCCTGCTACTACTCCAGACCATCATCCACAAACCTCGACCAACTGCGAGCCCGCTATAGCTCAGGTGAAGGAATACAAGAAAAAGGCAGCGATATTGAGCGTCGGTCAAGCGGAATATCCGCTGCCGGTTTCGCCATTTCCGGTTTCGTGCAGTGAGATCCTCGAGCAAGCCAGCTTGCCCAGCTGCATCTTCTAACTGCTCCTGCTCACTAGGTAGAAGCGTTCCAATCCAGTTCTCCGATGCATGGATGCTAGAGACTAACGAGCCTTTCCTCATGTGTAATGGAACCTTCTCCAGTCCTGCTGCAGCATGAGGCATATCCTTGAATATCCCCATCTCCCGGAGATTCTTTCTAGGTCCAGCATAACGCAGACCGCCAGCGTCCAGAGCGACTACATATTCAGCTCTTGGTAAGCATAATTCGAGATGATAGGTTGCCAGTATCCGAGTTCGCCCCTTGACAAGGCTCCCTGTCAGCGCATACTGGTATAGGTGCTGCGCCGTCTGAGTATCAATAGAACTGAATATATCATCCAAAACGATGATCTCTGCACTCGAATAAAGTGCCCGCGCCAGTGAGATTCGCCATTTCTGACCACCACTAAAGTTGGTCCCTTGAATGTCCATTTGCGTTTCGTCTTTCGACACCAGGCCTTCAATATCACTGTCCAAGGCACAGGCAAAAATAACACGCCGGTACCGCTCCGGCTCAAAGGAAAGACCGTAGAGTATATTCTCCCTGATAGTGCCGTCTTTCAAACATGGCTCCTGAGCAACATAGGCAATTCCAGTCGGACAACGTCGTACGCAACCCTGGATAAAGTCACATTCCCCAAGAATGCTAGCGAGGACGAGACTCTTGCCAGAGCCCGAGGGGCCGGTGATGATGCTCAAGGCGTCGGGCGGGAAAGTAAGAGTAAGGTCTTTTAACGTAAAGCATTTGGCAAACCGAGTCCCATTCCAGGAAATGGTCGCCTGCTCGAGGACAACACCGTCTGCGGGTGAAACATGAACGTCCTTCTCCGGGGAGTGAAGGAAGCGCTCGATCCGCCGCAGGCTGATCTGCGCCCCCGTTGCGTTTAAGAGAATCTGTGGAAGGATGGCAAGGGGTGTTTCGAGTGCACCAAGCATGGAAACTGAGGTGAAAACGAGGGACGCTGGCATGTCCTCATGTAGGAGCGCATACGTTCCTAGGCAAGCGGCTGACACCACGACCGGGGTGATATTATATGCGACAAACATGAGAAGTTCCCATTTGTATACCTGCCACTGTTTTCGCAGCTCCGTCCCCCGCGAGTCGTTAATACGCCCCTCCCATTTCTGCTCCAGGGCGGAAAGTTTGACCTGGCGAATGCCTTGCAAAAGCTCGTTGATGATGGCCATTTTGCTGTCACGAGATCTCAGTAGACCCTTTTGCTCTGTCGCAAACATTTTCACTGAGTATACGTTTCCAGCTGAGACAAGAAAAAGCACCAAACCTCCAACCAAAAGGGATTGAGGTCCGAGTAACTGGCCTATCGCAATCGCTGCAATGCAAAGTTTCAGTGGTGCCTCATAAAGATGAAATCCAACTGCCGAAAAGTCTGCCACCTTCTTTGCATCCACCGCCACCAGATTCATGGTACTCTGACTAGATGGGCTGGATCCACCGTTGGCGCTAAAAGAATCACTTTCGGCATTGTCCACCGCACGACACCGTAACGCCTTGTCATAGATGGCAGCAGATAGCTGTTCCTGCAGCCTGACTGCAATCAGATTAGAGGAGAGGTAAAGGTTCCAATTCTCCAGAAGAGCCGAGACCATGGTCGAGGCGCCGAGTGCGGGAACAAAGAGCCATAGCCCTGGGTCACTCGGGTCGTTTTCGAGACGCTTCAGGATTGCCAGGACACAGAATTGGGGCACAAATGACATGGAGGCGTTTAGCATCGTCAGAATGAGTTGAATAAGCAAGGTTTTCCGGTGGCTGCGAACAAGAGCCTTCCAGAGGCTCGGGGTCGAGGAAGCCATGCGTGCCTGACTTAACGCGGAGAACAGATGAGGTGAGCGACTGCTATGTTCCAGCTCGGGCAGATGACAGATTTCGAGCTCATATTTCTGGCCTGCAGAGAGCAACTCGCCGACCCAGCCAAAGAACAGTTGGTTCAACAGTGATGTCGATGCTCTTCGATCCACCACTGTACCATTGTGAAATACATCCGGTCGACGAGGCAGCGAAATTCCGGCCATGCATGCACCCAGGGCAGCACATGACTGACCAAGCAGAAAGAACCACGGCAGGAAAGAGAATTCCAAGGCCTTGTAACATTCATACTGGTCGGCGGCTAGGATGAACATCATAGCAAGGCAGCCTATGCTTGTTTGTAGACCGTATTTGAACCGACGCGCGCATTTCTGTTCCATCCATAACTCGAACGTGCTAGCAGCAAGCATCCCCCAGGCCCCCAGTCGCATCCATCGTGAAGAACCGTTGGTCGAAGAAGAGACAATGGCGAGTACGACGACTTCGGATAGAGACAGCCAAACTCCGAAGACGATGCCGATTGCAAGTGCGATGCGGGATGGCTTGTCGGAAAAAGCCTTGATCGATTGTTCCGTGGCGATTCCATCCCGATCTTCATACCGATCCGCTGGTCTTGTTGTACCGAGGGTCAATTGTCGATATCGTAATCGATTCGCGATGGCGACGGAAGCCTTTCCCCCAATCAGAGCGATCAGACCGAATTCAATAACGGTGGATGTAATGGTGAGCCCCTCGATTGTCGTCTGGGAAGACATCTTCCTGTTGAGAGACTACCGAGAACAACTCGGTAGCAGTGTCCCGCACGAGCATTGTTGAAAGAGCCAAGATAAGACGCCAAAGCGTCTTTCATGCGATGTTGGTAGGCTGCAGGATTAATATAGGATAGCGGACTCGTCGTCGAGTCGGCGCAGGCGCTGGAGTGGATCTGGAGTCGGAGGTCGGGTTGGATTCTCTGCCCGGCTGACGTACCCCTCGGCGCCATCGCCCCCACTCCGGCCCCCGACTGTGCACATGGTTGGTAGACGAGGATATCTGATTTGGAGGGACTTTGCGATTCCCACGATATTGGACTAGGGCTGGACTAGTGCTGCATCTAGTTCTGTAGCGGTGGTTGCACTGGCGAGGATTGCTGTGGTGGTGAGGAATCTGATGACGACGGCCACCCTCCAGAAATCCAGAGGCGACGGCTCCAGGCATGCAAACCTGGCAAAACCGGCGAGATCCACGTGACTTCACATCAACAGACTGCATTCCAACCCTTTCTAAATAGCATGATGTACACCATACGCTGTCACTGAGCCGGGTCACTGGTGCCCTTCTGGTCGGAGCAAAAGCCTGAAGGGGCCCGACCACCACGTGGCTACGCCCGAGAAACCGAGCATCGGCCTTCGGTACTGTAACAGGCAAGCAGAATGGCGCATCCGTGATGCAATGCCAGACTAAGCCACCATCTCCTTCTGTCAGGGCTGATAAGCACGGTATATATCGGTGCCGAACGGAAAGGACATCTTCATGGATCTTGGGTCGACTGCTACCGCCGAATCCTGGCAAGGATGATCCGTGTCGGATACGGAAGAACCCGAGAGTCTATTGCATAAGCAGCCCGCCTCGATTACCAATGGGGTCAAGACCGTGCTTACTAAAATATAGATGTCTTTGGCAGCATTATCAATCGGTTCAATGATATATACGCTTATATAGATCTATACGAAATGCCCACTCAGTCCCACCCAGACTTCACTGTCCCGATTGCCCGGTGACCCACCTTACCATCCCGCAAGATGGTGGTCCTAGCCAAAGTTCAATCCTCCAACACCCAAATCGCTACGTCGCTGCCAGAGGGCATCGTAGCTCTTTTTGTCGGAGCGACCAATGGAATCGGTGAGGCTACTTTGAAGCAATTCGCCAAGCATACCAAGCGTCCCCGCGTCTACTTCGTGGGTCGCAGTCAGGACGCGGGCCAGCGCATCGCCGCCGAATGCAGGGCCTTGAACCCAGATGGAGAGTATATCTTCATCGCAGCAGATATAAGCTTGCTCAACCGTGTTGACGATGTCTGCCACGAGATCAAGAGCAAAGAAAGCTCCGTCAATCTTTTGTTTCTTTCGCCCGGAATTTCAGCTATACACCAGGGTAAGTGGCGCCAGGTAAATATATTAGCAGTGGGGGAGAGGGCTAAGTCATCTGCAGAAACAAGTGAAGGTCTTCGCAAGATAACCTCCTTATTATATTATTCCCGCATCAGGTTTATCCTAAACCTTCTCCCCTTACTCCAACATGCTACCGGGCTTCGGCGGGTTATCAGCGTTGGGGCAGGCGGATCTGAAGGCCCTATCGACACGGCCGATTTTGAAGGCCGGATGGCACCCGCGGCATTCTTCCGCGGACACATCACTTCAATGACCACACTGACACTTGAGACTCTGGCCAAGCAGGTGCCAGCCGTCTCCTTTATCAATGGGCATCCTGGGCCTGTCAAGACTGGGTTGATGCGAGAGGCAGATAATATCCGAATGTGGATTGTATGGCTCGTTCTGCTGCTTTTTCATCGCTGGGTCTGCGTCCCGCTCACGGAGAGCGGAGACAGGCACCTATTTCTCACCACGAGTGCAAAGTACCCGGCTCGACAGGGCGACGACGGAGTGCCAATGCCGGAGGGGGTCTCGGTTGCACGGGGAGTTGATGGGAAGGCGGGAAGTGGGGTATATTCGGTGAAGTGGGACGGAGAGAGTGCAGACAATGTGATAGAGATTCTGGATTTATTGCGAGAGAAGGGTGTCAGGGAGATCGTCTGGAGGTATACTGAGAGTCAGTTCAAACGGATCACGGGGGTGGTTTCGCAGTAACAAGCCTTATCGCAGCCCGCTCGGATCCACTGGAACTGGCTGTGTGGGTGAGTAGGTGGAGTCTGCGATCCCGCGAGTAAGTTATCTGATTGTGTGAGGGAAATGGTTGTCGGATCAGTGGTGACAAGTCAGAGGACTGTAGCAAAATAGCAGTCGAATACTCTGAAGTGACTCTATCGAAATCGGCGATCACGTGCAGCAGCGTCCCAATCCGGAAGCACCATGTAATGACGTCATTCACGCGGCCTTCCCAATTGGGGGTTCCCGCGACGCGATCTCTGCGGTCGAATGGACGGAGCCGTCAACAACCTTAATCCGATCGATGCTTACGTCGATTCCGACCAGGGACGAGCGTTACTCCAGCTGAGTTACCTCTCGCTCGGTCACTCTGGGATTGGAGAATGCCACCGACACCACCAGTGCGCGCGATGACGTCTGCAGCCAGAGGTCCGAGATCAAGGCTCGATTTGAAGCCTTGGCGTCCATAGTGCGACGACAGGCTGAAAAGCTTCGAGAGCCAAGGTTGGTCTCGACCTCGCTCATCAGGGTAAGAGTCGATCACTGTCCATGCTACCCAGCTTGTCACGGGTGGATCCAAAGCCGCCGATCAAAGTTGCCATCGGTCACCGGGCGGATATCTCACCGGTGCAAGGAACGGGTACGTTTCCACCAACCCTACCAGAGCAGCTACCGCTTAGCACTTACTGTGCAGCTCGGCCATGACCTAGTAGTTCTTTGACTGGCTGGCAAACATCCCGTTTCCCACTGGCTCGACCAATGACGAGCTCCTTCCATCATGGCCTCAGATCTGACTGTTGTGTGCCATTAGCAGGAATGACACCAGATAGGATGCCTCAGCAAGCAAAACTGGCCCTGGCATGATGCTGTTGTTATCAACAAGACGGACAGTGGCCGAGAACGCAGTGTGGCGTGCCCGATGGTTTGGAAGTGAAGCCGCCAATGGTTGCAGCGGGTCGTTTCCCGATATCCATCTGTGACGCAATCTTGACCAACTATATAACACCGGCTTATCCAACACACCCCCACGCACGCAGACGCACCAGTCTTGCAGCAGAGCATCTTCATCTTCATCTCCATCTCCATCTTCGTCGCAGTCTCCTTGATCTCGGTCGATCTCTAACGCGCCAATCATTCTGCCATGGTGCACCCAATCAGGTCTCTCAACAACGAGCTTGATCGTAAGTGCACGCAGCCGGACGAAATGTCTGCTGCTAATCACAATATAGAAGTGGATACCGAGTCGAGAGGCTACCGCTCGTCCGACACAACGGAGGGAGCACCTTCCCACCCGGAACCCGATGATGAGTTCGACGAAAAAAATTCCAGGCGGGGCACATCTCGACACAAAAGCTATGGCACTCAGCGCACTAACTTCTCGCGAAATAAAAGCCACGGTACTCAGGGCACCGCACCATCCCAGAATCGGAGCCGTCGCAGTCAACCCCCAGACATTGACCGAAACTTGAGTTACGACACTCAAGCCCAGTTCTCCGTGGCCGGGCGCAATGCATATCATGCCCCACTCGCTCAACGGGGTGCCTATATGCACCCTGACTATGAGTCCTTGAACCCTCAATATGGGATCCAAGGGGACAGGCCGGTATGGAGTTTGGCACAACCACTTCCCCATGTGGTTCGCGATGGTATGCGCTATGGAGCCTTGCCGGAGGATAGAAAGGAAGAGCGAGAAGAAGGACGAGAGGGACGAGAGGGACGAGAGGAGGGATGGCAAGAGGGGCAGGAAGAGGAGCGAGAAGAGGAACGAGAACGACCACCTCCTGCGGCGGATGAACCACCTACTGACATGCCCCAAAATGAGGTACCCCCCAATGAGGCAGCCTTTTTCAACACCTGGTCCAAGATCCGTTGGCATCTCAAGGAGCCATTGGGTGAGTGGTTAGGGGTGAGTACCTGCATAAATTTCTATGGTACTAGAATGGCTCACTGACATCAATTACCCACAGACAACCATTGCCATCACTCTCGGTCTGTGCGGCGGGTTGGCCACCTACACATCTCAAGAGCAGGCTGGTTCGTTCGTGTCCATGAGCGCCTGTTGGGGGTTCAGTTTCATGATCGGTATCTATATCGTTGGTGGAATCTCTGGTGGCCATCTCAATCCCGCTATTACCATTCCCATGTCTCTTTGGCGAGGATTTCCCGCCCGCAAGTGTGTGATCTACATCATCGCCCAGATCATCGGCGCCATTACAGCGGGTGGATTCGCCTACGCCATTTACCATGACGCTATTATGAATCTAGCAGCCGAGACCAAGGTGCCACAGAGCCAGACTACAGCTAGTCAAGCGATGCTCACTCTTCCGAAACAATTCGTCAGCCCCGCCACGGCCTTCTTCAACGAGTTCCTCGGCACCGCAATCCTGGTGGGGGCCATCATGGCACTGGGCGATGATTCCAACGCGCCACCCGGAGCAGGCATGCAGGCCTTCATCATCGGAATCCTCATCACCGTTCTGATTCTCGCACTCGGCTACAACACCGGAGGGTACGTCTCTCATCCTCCCCCCAGTATTCACAACTAACCAAACATAGAGCCTTCAACGGACCCCGCGACTTCGGCCCTCGCCTCGTCGCCGTAATGGCCGGCTGGGGCGGTCACTTATTCACCGAATACCATGCCTGGTGGATCTGGGGGCCGTGGGTAGCCGATATCTTCGGCGGATTATTCGGTGCATTCATGTACGATCTGGTGGTATTCACCGGGGGCGAAAGTCCCATCAACTACCCGCCCCGTCGCCGCAAGCGCGCACTGTTGATCAAAGAGAAGAACCTCCGCAGTAAGCTGCGCCTGGGGCGTCGGAAGATCGGGGATCTCGAACGCGCCGTGGAGGAGAATCAGGATTGATACATTTCCTCGGGTTAATCGGTATCAATAGGGAAGGAGTCAGAAAGCATCTCAGCGCAGGCATCAATTATCGGATTATATAGACATAGATAGATGCATGAACTCCGACAAAAACGAAAGATCATAAAGTATGACTATATAATTGGTTCTTTACTCGGCACCTTACCCTTATCCCTCCCTGCCTCCCGATTTCTAAAACCTCCCATACTCGAAGTCTCGCAACATAGTATCATACCTCCTACATTTTCCGATGTGACCACCAGTTGAACCCAGTTTTGTTGACCCAAGTTCATATCCCGCCTTTCCCAACGAATCCACTCCTGTATTCAGCCCCCACGCAACCTTCACACATGTAATAACATTGACACCCCGATCACAAACCCTCAAGAATCATCTACCCCACGCAATCCCAGTCCACCTCCACCCCTCCCAGAACCAATCCTCATCTAGACTAATCACGGTTGGATAGTACCATCCCATCCCAGAAAGACCTCTATATATCTAAGCAGATATATACAATGAGGATGTTATATGATATCTCTTAGGGCTTTCTCTCAACGTGGATATTCTATTTCTTAAAATCCGGGTACACTCAATTGGGGAGGTTTGGTCTAGTTGTTCGTCGTAACGTGTCGGCTCAAGGGGTAGGTAGATCATAACTAAGACACGGGAGGGGTACGCTACATCAGTATGATACTACAGTTACTACCGATATTCCAAGCAAGATGTTTACATCATCAATCTCATTATCAATGAACGTATGAGTTAGCTTTTGTAGTAAAGGAAGTATTTCTATTTCTGCTTCCTGCGGTTCATGACAGACAAGCAAATCCCAATTCATCCTTCGCATCCATCTCACCCATGCGAGTCTACTCTATTGAAACACAAAGAACCCCCATACTTCTCACTAATCCAGATACTCTGACTCAGCCTCCTCCTCCTCCTTCCACTCGCCATCCATCGCCCTCGCCAAATCCGCAAACCCCAGATTCGACGCCTCGACCAAGGGTGACAGATGCGTAAACGGATGCGGACAGTGCGGATCCGCGCCACTCTGGGCCAAAAAGCTCGCCATGCGACACAGATCATTGGCGAACTTCGGAATCTTGCCGAAATGCTGCATCTCGAGGGCGCCGCGCACGAGAGCATGTAGTATTGTGCCCCCGAGTGGTGTGATGTAATCGATGGATGCGGGACCGGTGTCCGGGACGTTGGGGAACTGGGTGGCGCGGACGTGGCCGGCGCTGGAGGTGACTTGGGTGTGGGGGATGGTGCGGGGTTCATCGCCGGTGATGATCTTGAAGCATTCGATGTTGATGTAGCGGGCGGCGAGGTAGAGGGGGGTGTAGCCTGGGTCGTTGGGGCGGGCGATGCCGGCGGGGCCCATGAGATCGGCGAGACGGCGGGCGGCGATGGGGTTTTGGTAGATGATGGCGGTGGTGAAGGGGGTGAGGTTAGGGGGGCGGGCGGGGATTTTGGCTTCGATGGTGAGCCAGTAGGGGAGGCGGTGGGCGATGGTTGGGGGGAGGGCTTCGCATTGGTCGAGGAAAAGCTGGAAGAAGCGGTCGAAGACGATGCGGTCCGGGTTCATGAGGATGCTGTGGAGGGGGGTGATGTTGCTGCGCGGGGCGGATATGAGAAGGTTGGGGATCGGGGTGAGGGTGAGGATCTGTTCGATGTAGTGGATGTCGTAGGCCGCGAGGATATAGTTGAGCACTTCAGCAGGGATGCACCAGTCGTTGAGTTCGTAGAGCCGCTTGAAGAGTTCGAGCCCCCTGGTTCGAGTAGCGAGGAACATGGGGTGGACTTCCATGAAGGTTAATTGTCGGAGGCATTTGCCCATGTTTAAGCGATCCAGGTTGTTGTCCTGGAGGAGGAAACGGACGACAGCCCAACAGGCGTCGTTGATGGAGGCGCTCAGAATGTTCCAGGGGAATGGCAACATCTCGTCGGGGTCGCCGCCCTGCTGGAGAATCCTTTCCAGGAGGGCGAGGTTTTGGGATCGGATTACCCTCAAGATGGAATGGTTGTTGGACAAAAGGAGTTGCACGGAGGCCAGCCCGTTAGGGAGACGCTCCCTCACGATCCTGATACTGTGTGGCAAATGCACTTTGTCCATGTGGTTACTGAAGCCAACGTCGTCCACTTCTTCATGACGCGACTCACAGACACTGCAGAGCGGTCGGTTGGCGAACATGATGTCCGTTTAATGATTCGAGACAAGTTACTTGATCTATTCTAAAGCTTGCGGTGGAAACCCTTGTTGGCTATGATACGAAGCAATTGGGAAGGAGGCCTCGAGATCTTTATACCATCGTCACAGCAATCCTGCCTATGACTGAGTCGGTCCTTTGCCTTCCAAGGAAGGAAGGCATCGCGCAGGAGTCTGGGTACAGCCAGTCAAGCGACTGCTCGACCCTGTGAAGAATGGCAAGAATGATTCGACCGGCTGGTCTCTCTTAGGGCTGGGATGCTCAGGTGCTGCATGTTCATGAGAATCCTAGGATAGGTTTCAAAGGAGAGCTGAGAATATCTGTGCTGGTCGTTTGAGCTGAGGGCATTAGAGTCTAGGGGGATTTGAGAAAACGGGTCTGCTGTATTCAGCGTAAAGGGATCTTGGGTGTGTGGTGGTGAGCTTGGTAATAGCTTCGGATATACGAACTGCTAGTATAGGATCAAGTTATGGCATAGTACTAGCTACTGATGTCTAAGCCTATATTAGTCGTGACCAATATGAATGGCTGAGAACTGCAACAGTTACGCGATCTTGATATATGAGCTAATTGTAGAATGGATAAATATCTATTGTACGAGTTCTGCGCGCTCTACAGATTGCATGTACATCGAGCAACTGGTCACCTATTGCCACCCTAGATTACGCAGTGATACACCACAGTATGTCTCTAACAATACCAGACACGACACCGGAGAGGGACCAGTATCAGATGACTGATCATCAGGAATGAGGACGCCCGACAGCGTTGATCAAATCTGTGATACCGATACACACACGAAACGTAGTGGTCACTGTAGAAGTAGAAGGGGTATGTTTACAAAAGCATCCGTGTACGCGGTAGCTCGTTAACAATTAAGGATGGTATCGATGGCTGCGTATGCCAGGTTCTTATACAAAATGCCAATTTTCATTCTCGTCAATACCTCGAGAGTAGGTTAAGTAGCCTTAACCCTATGCAATATCCGAAATCCCAACAAGCTGGTTCCTTCGTCCATTTCACTATCCCACCAGTATCCACTTATCACTATCTAGACCATAGAACCTACCGTGTCTGTCTGGTAGAAGACAGTTAATAGTACGTGCAGTCCTCATGGGCACAGTCCTACTGGACCGTATAGCTGTTCAAAATTCATAGGTTTTTAACAGGGTCGGGACATCATCGTTCGAATCGGCCGAGTACGCCTCCCCGGAGCTCTCGCTGGGCGGAGACGGACCGGTGTCCCTTCTTTCAAAAGGTGGGATGTAACCTGCAATATGCAAGTCAAGCGTATGCGCATAGCGGTTAAACTTGCACGGCTTTGTGCCCCGGCATCCGTCTTTCTGACAGAGATGGCCCAGGTAGCACTTCAGAGACCGGCAAGACGGGCCCGTCTGGCACGGGTGTTGTCGAAGAATGTATTTCATCACATCGAGTGAGCTGGGGTCGAGGCGGGTGTGGTCATATTCACAGCTCACATTGCCGCAGTCGCCCCCTAGATGGTACTTGTTGCAGGGCTTATGGATCTTGGCCCGGCGGGTATACGTATCCCAGGCGTCGTGCGATGGCATCGGGCAGTATGTGTCAATGCGATCGCCGACCGAGTTAGTGGGAATACAGTCGTGCCATACTGGATTAATATTGGGGACAAGGTTCGAGGCATAGTATTCTTGGTTCCTCGTCGGAGTGGGAGATTCTCTCCCGGGTGGAGACGGAGGATGATCGTCCGCTTTAGAGATTTGTTGTCCTTGCGGTATGTGGACCTTAATGCAAGCGTTGCCGTACCGGCAAGTGCCCTGCAAATCGAGTTAGCCATAGGCAGAGGACCCAAGGGACCCTTCAACATACCTTTTGAAAGTGTTTGCAGATCTGTCTGGATCCGTTGGACACGGAAGGCGTATGGTTCGGCACCATGCTCCCATTTGCGCCTAGGGGGGTAGACATGAAGACCGAAGGGAGCTCCCGCACCGGCAAGTCCAGTCTTTCATATTCGCTATGGAAACCGGCGGCTTTTAAAAGGGTAATACGGTCGGTCCGGCCACGATAAGGCGTCAAGAGGTTGGAATAGCCAGAGTCATGGCAGCCAGCGAAGAAGATATGCTTGCACTGGTTATTATCGGCAAATAGGCGAAACATTTCTACTGGAATCAGCGGACAGCTCTCGAAGACCTCGGCTAACCATACCTCTAATTTTATAGTCGGCGCCCTCTTTCTTATCGCCAGCGTCCACAAAGTCAAATAGGTCCTGAGCCCGAGTAAAGCTGGCCGCAAAGGGCGCCAGAGAGCGGGCTTCATGTCCCACAAATCCCGAGCGCGCCAGCGATTTGGAAAGACCCAGCACGTTGGCATAGATACGGACCATGATCCGGCATTGATCGGCCTGGCTGCCTAAACGATCATGGATGAGTTCTCGAATCGAATCGTGGAGCAATCGAGCAGCTGTAATGCCACCCTCGCTTCCGGCTTTTACGAGGTGTTCTTTGAACTAATGTCTGGGTTAACGATGATCTCATCCAAGGGCCAGAACCACCCACCAGATAGCCATCCCCATCCACCAACACTAAGACAAACGGATTACGCTCCTAAGCACCAATCAGACCTGACAACGGCGCTGATGACAATATCTCGTACCTGCCCCCTCGCCATCCGCTTGTATTTTTCCCTCGCTTCCTTCTCCTCCTCATAGTCACTTTTGAGGTTGTTGTAGCTGTCTAGGAGCTGACGGAACTTGTCTAGGAGGTTCTGCAAATCGGTATGGTGCTGCTGGTTCTGTTGGATTATCAAGCCCAGATTGCCATCGAGGGCGTGGATTTCGGCATCGCCTAACATGTTGGTCGATTGGTATCTGTGCCGTTAGTCTAAGGATAGTGTGTATGGAAGGATAGCGAGGAGGGATCTGCTAAGACCACCATGGGTGGGTGGCCGCGTGTCCCGGATGGTAAGAATAGGAAAAGCCACCGGCATTCAAGCACGGCAAGGGGGGAGGGTGGATGGAAGCAGAGAATCAACTGATGAAAAGAGGAGAGATGCGGGAGAAGAAAGAAGACGGCCGACTAGTTGGAAACTAGTTTGCTTTGGTTGTGCTGGCGGTCGCTTACTGCTGCTCATTGGCTTATCGATAAGTCGGATGGTCGAGATGGGTAGGCGGTCTGTGAATGAGCTGGCAGCCTGGCGCGGGGCAGGGCTAACCGGATCGGGAGGGTGCAGAGGATTGGTGGATTGGGGGAGTGCGCACGTGAGGCTGCTCCCAGTATTGCAGAGGCCGACAGATCAGCCCGAATGCTACCAGGTCTCTTATATGAGTTACAGAGACAAATCGCATTGCACCCGGCACTGTTGCCAACGAGGCGCACGCGTGCTCCCTGGGTGATCAACACTTATATTGGAACCTGTGCGTAGCATCAAAGCCTAGGGTATCACCAGCTTCTGGCCGCATTGCTCCGATTGCTGCTCTATATATATCCGGAATTCCCTGGCAACATCCTAGTTGGCCATTACATATGTATCGCTGAACATGCAGCCACCACGTAGGTGATCAGCGGCTGTTCGGAACCTCTCACAAATGACAGTTACAGCAGGGTGAACCCATAGATTTTGTGTAACGGCTTGACTAGGATGGTGACTCAACTTTCTTATTCACTCTATACGTTAGAATTGTGTCTTCGGCAGAGCACTTAAAGAGAGAATGAGGAAAGACAAGGGAATAATCCCCAACGCTGGGTGAATAAGCATCATAGTGCAGTTGTCACGCAGAAAACCTTCAATGCAATCCCCGCTTAGGTATCTGGGCAGGTGGCCCTCCACTCATGGTAATAAGATTGATACTTAGTCAGATTCAGACTTAGAAGATTCAAGTGAGTTGTTTAGATAAAGCACCAGTGCCTAAAACAATTGCTACGTTCAATTATATGTCTTCAAGTAGCCACAATAGGAAAAAAGGTTGGATTGAATCGTGACTTTGTCATCTGGACATTGAGAGATATAATATGAGACGGTTTGCTCCCAAGTTGGTACTAGGATTGAATACAATAATGGAAGCCTGTACTCCATGCTTACCAACTTTCTACGTTGAATTGGCGAAGCTTATGTGTTGGAATATCTCCTTTACTCGAAGGACTGGCTATATCTGGGTAGAAGGGCAGGATGTGCATACAAATCACCTTGGCAATATAAACGAACAGCATGAGCCTCCCATTGTACAAGTGGGAGTCCAACAGATCCAACATTGGATCTAGAACATGTGAAGGTTCCCCGGATTTGACTCCCGGGGGAAGCCTCGGCAGGTGCAGATCGGCGATCGGCTCGCAAGGGATGCCCTTTTCGTGCAATATCCCCTCCCACTTGATTCCAGAGCACGGGGAATACTTAAAAGACTACTTGACCTGACTCTGGTCATCGAAATCAGAGCAATCCTCTGACAACCACCATGTCCGCTAAGTTCATCCTCCCGCTCTTCAGCCTCTTTACTCTCTATGCGATCTGGTACTATGCTGAAGTGAACGGCCTCCTCTCCCTTGCAAGGGAGAGCATCGCGCGCAACACCCTCCCTGGCAGTGATGCACCGCTTCGGACTACCTACACCGGTCTTCCTCAGTTAGACTCCCTGCTTACCACTTTGACTACCTTTTTTTGGCCCACCACTGATGGAAGTCACCCCGCCCTGACCCTCCACACTCTTGGTTTTGCCGGAACATTTGGGTCCGCCTGGATTTTGATCACTCTGGAATCCTGGAGGAGGGGTAATGCCTGGACACTTGCTGCCTAGTAAGCTGATTCTCGTCACTACAGTCTATCGAGCATCCGCTGACACATTTACAGCCCCCTGATCTTTGGCCTCTCCGCTCAAACTCTCACCTTTGCCTTCGCAGCGCCGCTCTACTGCGCCTTGCAGCTCTCTACGTCCATTACATCCCATGCCCCTACCGCAGTGAATGTCCACATTCCCCGCTCCGTCCTCTATGCGCTGCCCTGGGTATTTGCAGTCTCCTACGTGCTTCCCAGCACGCTTATGATTCTCCCCATTTCTGAAACCATCACCACCGATCTGAAACAGATCTTCATAGCCCTCTGGCAACCGTTCCCGGCCTATATCTCGATCCTTTTGACGGTCATCAATGCCGTTTTGTCACCCTTTATTAGCGTGGATAAAACCGGCCGGAAAGACCACCACGCCCTTCGCTTCGTCTACGCATTTGCGTTTGCGCACACAGCCATCACGCACCTCGTCACCTGGACGATATCACTGATTACTGTCTTGGCCCCAGCCATTCTTGATGAACGCTTCCGAGGAGAGCTGCACCCGAGCATTGTGTTCGGGATCCCGACGCCGTGGACATCGCCCGTAGTGCAGGTTCAGAGTGTCGCAGAGGGGGTGCATGCTTTTCTGCGATGGGACTACCTGATTGGATCGGTCGGGATGGTGGTTTGGGCGGGCGCACTGTATGCGGGAGCGCAGAGGGTGGTGTATGGGACAGTCGGGTGGTGGCGGTTGATTGTGCAGGTGGTCTTGTTGACGTTGGTTGCTGGGCCGGTGGGTGCAGCGGTGGGATTGGTATGGGAGAGGGATGAGCTGGTGGAGACGGGCATGAAGAGGGTTTCAGAAAAGGCGAGGTAAACTCTTGGTGGTTGAGGTATGAGTGGCCGGAGGGTCGAAGTAAACTTCGAATATGCCTATCCCCAGTCATAACTCAATAAACATGAATGAGGGCCCAGAGGTCTTGGACGAGCTGAGACATAGGAATTGAGTCAACAGACACTCATTGCGAGACAATTGAGGGGACCTCTTGGGTAGGCCCAACCTCTGGAGAGGCCCGCGGAGCATGCTTCCTTCATGGGAAGTCCTAGGACGGAACAGTTGCAGCCTTCAATTCCCCTACATAGCAGGAAAACGAATTCAAGTGCGCTATGATCTTGATATGCCACGGCTAAGCGGAAGCACGGCTCGCCAGTTCATGCCATCAACCGACCAGCGGCAAGCACCTTCGGCATCGAGACCGAGCCCCACCCAAAAAAGAGCTTATTGTAGAGAATAACCTCATTTGATGTCTCCTGCTTTCGCCCTACTCCGCTCTATCCGGGTTCGTATAAGCAATCCATTCAGCTTCCGCCGTCCGCCGAACCCGACGAGGTAACCATGGATCGCACCCCCAATGACAGCATCACTCTCCCGACCGGACCTCTCAATAAATTCACCCGGCCACCCGGACGATACATGATAAAGGCACCGTCAAAATGCCGTCAAGTTCAGAAAGCTCATTATCTAGCATTCCGACCGCTCAGGGGAGCTTCGAGCCCATCCGTAGCTCGACCCTTAGTCGGCCTCAGACCAACGTTGAGATCTGCCGGATCGAGACCCTGCGGCTGACCCACGAGTCAACCGTCGGATCTAAAGCACCCCAGACTCCGCGGGAAGAATGGCTGCCAATGGGTGGGGGAAAAGAGTTTCCCCCAATGTTGCCAGATCCAAATCGCTATGTTGTCGAGTTCGTCGAAGAGCATGATCCGATGCATCCACATAACTGGCCAACTCGAACCAAGTAAGTTAGAGTCCGGTGACTCGCAGTATCAAACTGACCAGGTAGGATATTGCTGTCGGGCCTTTTAGCTTATGTAACCTTTGTTGCCTCGTTTGCCAGTGCAATCTTCTCCTCCACTGTCGGCGCCATCAGTCTTAATTATGGGATCAGCACCGAGGTCGCAACCTTAGGCGTCACATTATATGTCCTAGGATTCGCGGCGGGCCCAACGTTCTGGGCACCAGCCTCGGAGCTGTCCGGTCGACGGTGGCCGATCACAGCAGGGGTCTTTGGCTACAGTATCTTCACAATCGCCACGGCCACGGCCAAAGACGTCCAGACAATCATGTTAACGCGGTTCTTTGCAGGGCTGTTTGCTGCCTGCCCGTTATCCATCGTGCCGGCTGCGTTTTCCGATATGTTCAATAACCGGACGCGCGGCATAGCCATTGCCATGTTCGCCATGGCCGTCTTTGTCGGACCATTCGCCTCTCCCTTCACGGGAGGCTTTATCGTGATGAGTTACCTTGGCTGGCGCTGGACCATGTATATAGTGGCCATCATGGGATTCTTCGGTTCGGTTCTGCTCCTACTTTTCTATAAGGAGACATACGCCCCGGCGTTGCTGGTCTCCAAGGCAGCCACTGTGCGCCGGCAAACGCGCAACTGGGGAATCCATGCCAAGCAAGAGGAGGTCGAGATCGACTTCAGTGAGTTGATTACAGTCAACTTCAGCCGGCCATTCCGCATGCTATTCACCGAACCAATCGTGTTCCTGGTAACTTTGTATATGTCGTTCATCTATGGGCTCATGTATGCCTTACTAGCGGCATATCCAGTTGTATTCCAGGAAATTCATGGGATGAACCTGGGGGTGGGCAGTCTACCGTTTATTGGACTGATCATCGGTGAGCTCCTTGGGGGTGTATTTGTCCTGACGAGCCAGGGCTCGTACACCAAGAAGTTGAAGGCCAATAATGATATTCCGATCCCCGAGTGGCGGCTCCCCCCGGCCATCGTGGGAGGCATCGCGTTCACTATTGGGCTCTTCTGGTACAATCCCTTTCCCCTGGACACAAACTTGACTGACGAGTTAGGTACGGCTGGACCGGGTGGACACAATCGATCCATTGGATGGCCCCGACAGCATCTGGAGTGTTCACAGGATTCGGTATTTATTGCATCTTCCTGCAGTGCTTCAACTATCTCATTGATTCGTATCTGCAATTGTGAGTATCCCAAGGCTTATCTAGCTACTTATCTGACCGGTCAGCGCCGCCTCGGTCTTTGCCGCCAACACGATTCTCCGGTCCGCCGTCGGAGCATGCTTCCCGCTCTTTGCGAAGCAGATGTTTGTCAATCTGGGGGTACAGTGGGCAGGCACCTTACTGGGGTGTCTGGCGGCTATCATGATTCCGATTCCGCTAGGGTTCATCATTTTTGGGCCTGCATTGCGACGGAAGAGCAAGTTTGCGCCGTCGCCGGCTGTGTTCCAGGAGAAATCGTCCTAGTAAATATTAGGTAGTGCTGCGAGCAATGTAGTATCACTCTGAATGGACGTTTGATGACTGCCAAGTCCGCCAAGGCAGCGAACAAATCCCGCTGATAAGCAATTGCCTCGTGGTGTTCTGCCAAGGGCACCATCCACGGTATGACCCTCGGCACTGGCTTTGCCAAGCTGCCAAGGTGACCGCGATAAGGATTCTGACAAGGACTAGATTTTGTCATGCGCTTTGGTGTTCCAAATTTTTCCGGTCGTAGTTTTTGCTTTAAAACCCGGGGGCCCGCGGGGAGACCTTCTGCTCTCAACCCACCTTAAGGCATCATGCGCTACACGGACTGGACAACCCGGGTCAACTTGGCAGTGGCTCGCAGCCCTGTCGGGAAATGGTTTCGTCTGGAGAATTCGGGTCACGTATGTCTGATTTCTGGATTGCAGGCCGCGGGCCACAGGCTAATTGCGCACAGCCCAAGGAACGAAAAGGCAGTTTTTTCTTTACCGAGCTTCGCGCTGGCTTAGCTACCTTTTTCGCCATGGCCTATATTATTAGCGTTAATGCAACCATCACGTCCGACACCGGCGGAACCTGCGTCTGTCCGCCCGAAAGTTATGCTGACCAATGTGACACCAACACCGAGTATCTGCTGTGCGTGCAGGAGGTCAAGCGCGATATTGTCACCGCCACGGCCGCAATCGCGGCGCTGTCTACCTTCTGCATGGGCGTCTTCTCGAATTTGCCGGTGGCCCTAGCCCCGGGCATGGGGCTGAACGCATACTTTGCGTACACCGTGGTCGGACACCACGGATTTGGCATGATCCCGTACAGAGTGGCTCTGACGGCGGTCTTCGTGGAGGGGTTCGTCTTCTTGGCCCTGACGCTGTTGGGTATCCGCCAGTGGCTGGCCCGCGCACTGCCGGCGTCGATCAAGCTGGCCACCGGAACCGGCATTGGGCTATATCTTACATTGATCGGCCTGACTTACAGTGCGGGAATTGGTCTAGTGACGGGAGCCACCGACTCACCTATTGAACTGGCTGGTTGCGTCGACGGTGTCCGCGATGCGACCACTGGCCTGTGTCCGTCTGATGCAAAGATGCGCAATCCGGCCATGTGGATCGGAATTTTCTGCGGTGGAGTCCTGACGGCGGTGCTGATGCTGTATCGAGTGAAGGGCGCCGTTATCATTGGAATACTGTTGGTGTCCATCATCTCGTGGCCACGGCCGACGTCGGTGACGTACTTCCCGCATACCGAGCTTGGAGATAGCATGTTTGATTTCTTCAAGCAAGTTGTCACGTTCCATCCGATCAAGCATACTCTTGTTGCACAAGACTGGGATATCTCGGGACATGGATCGCAGTTTGGGCTGGCCTTTATCACGTTCTTGGTTGGTCCTATGATGTAATCGCAGGTGACGCAGCTAACCGATGCAGTATGTGGATATCCTCGATACCACCGGCACGCTGTACTCCATGGCCCGGTTTGCAGGAACGATTGATGCACGCACGCAGGACTTTGAGGGAAGCGCTCTGGCCTATGTAAGTCTTTACCCTTATCGCTCAGCCCCGGCTGACCAAAAAGATGGTTGATGCCATTTCCATCTCGATCGGATCCCTCTTCGGCACGTCTCCAGTTACAGCATTTGTTGAAAGTGGTGCCGGAATTTCTGAAGGTGGCAAAACCGGTCTCACCTCTTGCATGACGGGTATCTGCTTCTTCATTGCCGTGTTCTTTGCGCCAATCTTCGCGTCCATTCCACCTTGGGCGACCGGCTGCACCCTCGTCATCGTGGGGGCTCTGATGGCCAAGGCAGCGGCTGAAATCAATTGGCGGTACTATGGCGACGCGATTCCGGCCTTCCTGACCATTGCCATCATGCCTTTCACGTACAGTATTGCGTACGGGCTGATCGCCGGGATTCTGAGCTACATCACCCTGAACGGCATCGTGTGGCTCATCGAGAAAGCGACTTTCGGACGGGCCGTACCAGCTAACAAAGACGAGAAAGAACCGTGGACGTGGAAGATCCCGGGAGGGTTCTTCCCGCCATGGCTGCGCCGGGCCGCTCGGGGGAAGAAGGACTTTTGGCGGGAGGACGAAGAGGGCCGCGCGCTGGATGGGGGATCAGTCGAGTCTCAGGAGAAAAGGAGCGTAGATGTGGCTGGGAAAGAGGGGTGAAGTTCTGTACTTTTGTAGATTCAGTAGCTCATTGGAATGTAAAGGAATGGTGAAGTAACACAGGCATTGAACCAGGAGAGGCGTTGTTGCACCAATCGTAGGGGGCTAAGCGTGTTGCGCGTGTGCTGGGCTGACGTGACGGCGCAGTGTTGGTGTTGGGCTCACTAGTGGTGTTGGAACCAGACACGATCCTTGTAAGCTGAGCTTAGTTGGGAAGCTATCGGCCAGGTTGTACGGCTTACCCGAAGGAATTGAATTCCGGTCGCACAGGATGACGGAAGCGATCCGGGAACAGTCTGTGCTCGAATAGCTTCCGGATGGATGACCCAAGCCACCGTGCGGATCGTAGATGAGTTGCGATCGAGTTCGTGCGGGAATGGCGAATTGTTGGAGAAAGGAGAAAGGCTGGTCGGCCAAGCTGCCGCAATACCACTGGATACCGCGAAACGGCGGGCGGTACCTGGCGCAGGCCGCCAATCAGTGTCTGGTATGGTAATTCCGAGCGGGGAAGGCTGGACGTGATCCGTTGACCAATCACACACCAAAGACGCAACAGGGCGGCGGGGCCAGCAATCACGGGCAGGCTCTCGGGGACTGGAACTCTCTTCCATCCACTCACGCGATGCCGTTTCTTCCCTCCTGTCCCTGTCTCTGGCCCCCCCAATAGTTCAGTCCATCATGGTAGGTCCCGAAATGCTTGTTCACTCACTTAGCTGTTCCTCTCTCGCCCCTTCGCTTCTTTCCTCTCCTCTCTTCTCTTTTCCTCCTTTCTTTCCCGGCCCTTTCTCATCCCTGCTCCTGCTCCTCCTTCTCCACCATGGCCGACCACCATGTCCGATACTAAGTCGCGCCCTTTGGCTCCCGCCCCGCCGGGTGCCAACGCTGCCCTCGATGCCCAACAACGCAGGAAAAATGTAGGCACCGCCTGTGCAGCCTGCAAAGCGCGAAAGCTCAAGGTATGCCCTCTGTGGCCGTCGTTTTCTGGTCGAGAACTGATGTCCCTAGTGCACAGGTTCCGTTCCCTGCGCCAACTGTGTCAAGAGCAAAGTCGAATGTACCCTCGATCGCAGTGCCGATAAACGCCGCCGTGGCGCCCTCAAACGCAAAATCGACCAGCTTGCAGACCAGGAGGAGCTCCTGGTTCGGCTGGTCGGAGTTCTCCGCGAAAGCGGCAACCGTCGCGCCGTGCCTTTAATCAACATCATCCGTAGTGACGCCTCCCTCGACGAGATCCGCTATTACATCAACCACCAGCTGCCTCGGTTGGAGCTGGCCCAGACTCCGGAACTAGTCGAAGTGTGCGAGGAAGTAAAGCAACTGCAGCCGTCACAGTCACGGTCCATGCGGAGGATTCTGGACGCTAAACGTTTATCCGACATCCCTCGGTTCCAGGTCCCCGCTCGACCCTGGACGACCGTCGTCTCCGATAACGATTTCGTCTCGCATCTCCTCTCGCTATGGTTCACATGGTCGCACCCGTTTCGAAACTGGATCGATAAAGATTTGTTTGTGCGGGACATGCAGGAGGGGTCACTGTCGGCTCGATTCTGCTCGCCGTTTCTGGTCAACATCATTCTCGCGGATGCTTGCGTACGTTCTTCGCTTTCTATGCTGGCCTCTCTAACTGGTCTAGGCGTACTCTGATTATCCGGAAATCTATGCTATCCCGGGAGATCCGTCTTCGAAGGGGGCCCGCTTTTACGAGGAGGCCAAACGACTACTGGACAAGGAGGAGGGGCGGATCACACTGCCGACCGTTCAAGGACTGGGGGTCTTGTGGGCATGGTATGCTTCGTGTTCCTCAGAAAGGGTTCCGATACTGACGACTCAGTGCGTCCATGACCGGTCGAGACCGACAAGGCTGGATCCATCGGGGTCAGCTCGCCTACGCTGTACAGGAACTGTTACAGAAGAATTCCGTCCTAGCCGCTGACGCCGATGAAGATACGCTGCGCATGGTCCCGGTGATCAACCGAACCGTCTGGGGGCTATTTAACATTTCTACGTAGGATCCAGCATCCCTCCAGCAAAGCATGCGCTGACTAGGACAGGAGTCACGCTCTGGCCGATAAGAGTCGCCCTCTGATCAAGCCGCCACAACGTCACAGCCTGCCACCCGTCGGTCATGAGGGCGGCCCGGATGAATGGCGACCGTACCCGGACCACGCGGATGGGACCGAGGGACATTCCATTTGCTTGTTCAATACGCTCTCCTGCTTGAGTCTGATTGCCTACGATGTTGCCACATTCTTCCACGGAGAGGCTCTGCACCGACCGCGAGCGGAGATAGAAAGCAAAGTGATAGAACTTCGTGAAGGTCTCCGTCTTTGCTCCGATCGCTGGCCTGCTTGTTTGAAGACCAACCTCGAGGCTCCGCATATTCTCTGTTTACAGTAGGTGTAGCTGACGGCCTGTCTGAGTCTCGCTAACTGGCCTAGTATGTACCACGATTCAATCATCATGGCGATGTACGAACACTTGAAGGACCCTGCCCCGACCATTGGTCCTCCTCCCACGATCTCGCCCGCGCAAGCCCGTGAGACATGCTTCTCGTCGGCACGTAATGTCGCCCGTCTAATCCGGAGCCACCGCTCCTGCTGGGGTTTCGATCGCATGCCTGTGAGCAACATCCAGTGTATCACGGCGGCGTTGTTCACGCTGCTGGATGATCTGGAGGAACCTAACAATCGCGAAGCATTTATCACGCTCAGTGTCGCCGCCAAAGCGTTTTCCCGACGGTGGGAGTCAAGCCGGACGGTCTTGGGAACGCTTCGCACCACGGCGCACGAACGGGGGGTGACACTACCGAGTGAAACGGACTCTCTGTTTACCACGCTGGTTACACCACGGCGGCTTGGCGTGCGGGACAGTGTTGATACACTGGATGACAGCGAGGAGGCGTAGTAAAGTGACTCGATCCACGATACAGTAGGACAGTAGACGCCCTGAACTGGCACTGCCTCGTTGCAGGGTGATGACCTTCCAGGATGGATGTGTGTTTGGCCGACGACAGCGGCCTCATTGGTACCACCTGCAGTGGCTTAGATGACATCCCTGTCTAGCCTGATGATGCTGCTGGTGCGAGGACATGACTGGGACACGGCGTTGTTTTCTTCACAATATATAGTAATACTGAGAGCCGGCAGGTGGATGCCTGGGCGTAATATGATGAATTGGATGAAGCCAGCAGCATGCGTGAATTGCTGTAGTGCGACGAGGCCGGTCACGTGGCAGGCTCGGGATGGATTTACTCCTGGCGGCTGTCAGTCACCCACAGCGTTCCTTGGTTGGCTGCACCACTCCATAGCCTCGTCTGGCATGCTGGATGACTGCAGCTGTCAGGCAGCCGTGCGCTCCAACAGCTCCGACTTGCCTGACAGCATTGCTGCACAGCACGCAGCATCGTTGGGCATCATGGTTGGACGCACGCATTTAAGCGCTGACCGGTCGGCGGCTACGACAAAGTCCAGCCTTGCGAGTTCAGTCGGTCGGCCTATAAATCCACGCCGCCGCCGTCACCGGTCAGCTTGTTTCCCCGATCTGCTCGGCATTCATGAGGATTTTGGCCCCATATTGCCGTGAATGGAGAAGGTTTCCACTAGCACGAGTGATATGTCCGACGGCATTACGATATACCAGGAAGAAGGTGCGTCTGCTGATCAATCTGCTGATGACTGGTTGTGGATAAGGCTGATCAGTCAGGAACCGGTCAGTGGCTCGAGCAGAGGGCGTCCCTGTTAGACTTGAATATCGAGGTATGTATGCTTCCTAGAATTTCACGGCAGACATTGACGAGACCAGCGCCTAGAAAAGTCGCTCATTATGTAGGTGCCTTCACCACTGCAAGAGCATTGTTAACATGAAAAGATTCGCCAAACCCGAGAGTCTTAGACTCCAGTACAGCCACTTCTTTCCTGAGGCGTTCGCGCCCGTCATTTGCACGGACATTAATGGTTCATTCTTCTGCGATGATGTCCTCGACGACAATGATAACCTCATCAAACATGGTGAGTTTTCAACGTTGTTACCATACCATCTAGGAAGCTAATTGGGCAGTGTCCTGGTCCTGCTTCAAAATCAAATTCGTTGATAACCCACGTATTTACAATTGGGTCCAGCCCGCCATCTTCATGATATGGTTCCCGGACACACTCAAGCATGTCATTTTTATTATTGACCATCCGCTCTCACCAGGCGAACTCCTCCCGCTTCTGCCTACACAGCGAGCAACCCGCAATCCGTATACTTGGCACGCTGCGTTTGCGGGCACCATGATGGGTCAATACGACAAATCGTTCTGGGGGCTGCGAAATATAGTGCGGGACACCGAAAAGGTACGATTCTTCAGGATACCCATGTACTGTCTGACACGATCAGGCAAGAGACAACCCCAACGACCTCGACCCGGGTTTTTTCCCCAATTTGCACGACATTGCTCGGCACGTCTTCCACTCAAACGAAACGCTTGAGATAGCCGAGCATACGCTGCAGAGCCTGGTGAAAGAGCAGTGCCGCTGCCGCGAGCTGTATTCCAGTGTCAGCAAGGGCGACTGGCTCCATAATGAACGACTGCTGCTTTTCCGGGCGAAGCAATTGCATTCGTTGAAGACGAGGAGTCGGTCTTTAGCGGAGCGGTTGCACAACGAGATCAATCTGGTGCGTTTTATCCCTTGCTCCTGGTCTACGCTAACTGTGGTAGGGATTCAATCTTGTGTCCCAACGGTTTGGTAGCGATGCCAAGTCGGATAATGCCATGATGAAGACGGTTGCGATCGTCAGTATGGTGTATCTGCCAGGGACATTTGTCTCGGTGTGTATCCCTAATCTAGGGCTGTGAAGAAGCTAATGGTTTCAGGGCCTGTTTGGCACCAATTTCTTCGACTACTCCGATGGAAAGGAGGTTATGACGGACTCCTTCTGGATCTATTGGGCTATCACAATCCCATTGACCCTGCTGACGATGCTGATCTGGGCATGTTGGCATTATTATCCGAAGAAGAAGCCGACTCCGGGGAAGAAAAGGATGGATACATTTCCAGTTAAGCCTTGATGCTCGACTACGATCTGATATGGTAATATGATGTTGATACAAGTTGGATACGATTGATGTATACGATATAATGAGTTACGAATATATTTTGGATGATCAGTGTCATTGACTTCGGATCGTTTCCACAACAGGCAGTACCATCAACTGACAATGGTTCTAGAACGCAATCTTGTCGATGATAATTTTCCTTTACTTGTTTAGGGTTCCTGTTCCAGCTTTGGCCACCCGTCATCTATGGTAGAGTTTATGACTACGCGCCACATACGATACTAATAGTGCAGTACCTTGCAGGCTCCAGATGCCTGTCATACCTACCTTAGCCTTTTCCCCGAATACTCTACACCACCATGCAATCCACCACCTCCAACACCAAGCACAACCACATCCGCTCTCACCTCCCCCTTCCTTCCAACACCAACACTACATCAACGGCGGAAACCAAAATTGACACCCTCTACCACGAAACCCTTGGCACCGGTCCCCCTCTCCTCCTCATCCCCGGCGCTCACAGCACCGGCCTCATCTACACCAACCTGGCGCAACAACTATCCCGGTACTTCCGAGTAACCCTTTACGACCTCCGGGGCTTCGCCCGAAGCTTCAGCTCCTCCTCTGTCCGAACCACCCTCCAAACACACATTGACGACGCAAAGACCCTAATCCACCACATCACCGCCTCCCCCACACCCGATCCCAAGAAGCCGAACAAGAAAAGGTACAGAAGCATCCACATCTTCTCCTCCTCCTCCAGCGCTTCCATCGCCCTCTCCCTGCTGAAGAACCCCGACATCCACATCAAAAACCTCATCCTCCACGAACCCGTCCTCCCCACCCTCCTCCCGCGTCCATATCTCACGCACATCCAAACCCAACTCCAACTCCACGTCTTCTCGCCCGCGCGTCCCTGCATGGCAGAGATAAACCGACATTTAGTGTCTATGACGCAAACGAGAGAAGGATGGGAGGATTTTAAGCGTACGGATGCGTATAAAGCAATCGAGAGGTTTCCGGGGGATTATTCGTTGGGGTTTTTTGGGGATGTTTTGCCGGATGTGCTGGAGTGGGAGGTGGATGTGGGAATGGTGAGGGAGTGGATGGGTGGGGAGGGGCATGGCGGAGGAGGGAAATTGGCATTGGTGAGAGGGAAGGTGTGGATTTGGTTGGGGAGTGGGCCGGTTTCTGTTCTTGGGAGAGAGGTCGGGGTGGAGGTTAATGTTGTAGGAGGGGATCATTTGGGGTTTGTGAGCGTGGAGGGGGCGCGGGAGGTCGCGGGGTTCGTTAGGGGGGTTTGCTTTGGAGATCAAGGAGATGGGATGAGAACTGGGGAGGGGAAGGGGAGGCAGGTGAGATTGTGAGTTGGGATACTGATGAGTGGATGAGTGATGTGGTTGTGGTTGTGGATGATATATCTGGGATAGAGTTAGTATATAAAGCGTAGACTACATCATGGTAGGGCTGTACGGGAGCAGGCTATGATAGTCTACTGGATAGTTAGGGCTTACCTGGCATGTCTGTAAATTGGCCAGTCATGGACGCATCAGACTGCTAGTGGATCATGCTACTAGACCCCTCGACTGCAGACAATAGCATATAGAAAATAGCGTGCTTAATACCCACCTCAACCCTGATAAGCTTATGCTATCTCCATCAGAATCATCAGCTATCGGAGCTCAATCGGGGTTCGGAACTCGGAGTCAGCATCCTCAGACACTATAGTATAATACCGCTTATCCCAACAACTGCACTTCCCATCTCCAGTAACTCTCCACTACCTCAGTAACAATCTGACCACCATGTCCCCACCCCATCCCGGCTTCCCCATCGAGAACCCAATAACCTCATATTGGCTCAAAACCCCCCATCCCCTCGCATCCTACCGCTCGTCACCCACCGTCCCGAACCACTGCGACATCGCCATCATTGGGACCGGCTTGGCTGGCGTAGCCACCGCGTATCATATCCTGTCCGGTCCACACGCTGAGGGAGTCAAGCCAAGCGTTGTGCTTCTCGAGGCACGTCAGGTTTGTTCCGGTGCGACCGGGCGCAATGGTACGAATGCATCAGATACCATACTACTCCGTACCAAGGCTAACAGTCCAGGCGGGCATACCAAACTGGCAATAACCATTGCCAAAGAACTCTACGATAGTTATGACGAGGAAGCTGCAGCGCAGGTGACGTATCACCAGCTGGAACAACTCTCTGCTTTGAAGGAGGTAGTTGAGAAAGAGGGGATCGAGTGCGAGTTGAAGGTGACTCGATCGTTTGATGTGTTCTTTGATGGGAACCATGCAAGGGATATACGTGAGTTCCTGTATGTGAAGAAATCAGAAGGTGTCGCGTGGGCGAGGGAGGTGGAGTGGATTGAGGAGGCGGATGTGGAGAGGGTAAGTTTGTGTCCATTTTACTTGAGGTGCATACTTATGCTGGTAGATTACCGGTGTGGTGAATGGTAAAGGCGCTGTTGGTGTCCCTGCGGTTTCGTTGTGGCCGTATAAGCTCGTTACTGCTCTACTCTCCCGAGTATTGGAACTGGGTGGTCAGCTTTACACGGAGACTCTTGTCACCAACATGGAGGGATCCAGCCCAACCACGTTACTCACATCCCGAGGCACATTAATCGCCAAAAAGACCATCTTCGCAACCAACGCCTACACCGGTGCTCTACTCCCCCAATACAAAGGATTCATCACTCCCGTCAAAGGACAAAACTCACATCTAGCTCCGTTACCATCTTTCAGGCCCCCAATCCCTCTTAAAAACACCTACAATCTACGGTTCAGCACAGAATACGCAGACTATCTCGTCCCACAACCAAACGGAACCATCATTCTCGGTGGCGCCAAATGGACATATGATACCGATCAAGCCAGCTGGTGGAACACCGTCGATGACAGAACGGTCATTAACAACGGTGCTACCGCGCATTTTGATTCGGTCATGGCGAGACACTTTCACGGGTGGGAGGATGCGAATGCGAATCATGATATGGTTTGGAGTGGGAGTAAGTTTCCATATATTGTTCAGGGAATCAAGCTAATAGACAGTCATGGGCTATACGCCGGATACATTGCCCCATGTGGGCCGGGTGCCGGGTTCACAGTGCCAGTGGATTCTGGCGGGCTTCAATGGTGCTGGAATGGTGATGATCTTCACAATGACTCGGGCCATTGCTAGCATGGTTGTAAAGGGGTTGGAGTATGAAGAGACGGGCCTGCCAGGGCTATTCAAGTCGACGTCTGAACGGTTGGCTGTGAGACAGTGATGTATGAGGCAGTGAGTATTCCAAAGTAATCTCTTTTGATGTGATCGCATGCAACAGACAAGTCAGCGACATTGAGTAGATAGACCCTAACTCACAGAATTGCATTTCTGGCTATCATACCCCTCCTCCTCCCCCTCCTCAACATCAACCCTCCCCACGACCCCCTTCACACCCCACCTCCCTAACAACCTTCCCCACCATCCGTCTACTAATTCCCAACCCCAACCCCAACTCCTCCATCATCATCTCATACGTCTCCCCCAGCCGCGTCCTCATATACCTCACAATCCGCCTCTTCATCCTCTCATCGGTGACTTTCGGCCGCCCTAACCGTGCATAGGTGTCTCGTGCTTTGAAGCGCCGGATGGTCGTGTAGATGGTTTGCGGGGCGCGGTTCAGGTGCCGCGCCATTTCGGTGGATGCTGCTGTTGTAGGGGTTATGATGGCGCGGTCGGTAGGGGGGAGGTCTTGGTTGTGGTGGGGGGCGTGGTGGGTTTTGGAATGGGGATGAGGTGGGCAGGGTGGTTGGGTTTGGATGGGGATGGGAGGAGGGATACGCGTGATGGGGAAGGGAGTGTGGTTTGTTGTGATTCATACTTTTTTGTGGTGATGGTGTTCGGTGTGGGGGAATTATTTTGCGTTGTTGGATAGGGAGGGGGGTTGATTTGGTCTTACTCTGCTATAGGATGGAAGATGGCTTTTTTCTTTTGCTTTTGTTTCTTTTCTATTGTATATAGTACCTGGTCCAATGGATTCGTTGTGGTTCGGTATATCTGTTGGTGGTTTCATCAGATGCATATTGGCATTTTGACATGGCATGTTGACGACAGGTCCACAGGCCAAAGATACAGATGAGTGGTTCGCTCTGCCGTGCCGATCTAGTAGTTACATGCAAATAAGGTGAAAGATGTCTGGAGACAGAACTAAGCATATTCAGCCCGAGTGCAATCTACATGTTGTAGCATGCACTGGCTGGTCCATGCTAGTGGGATCAAGTGCTAATGAAGGCCATTTTTGTTGGAGCTGAAGGCTTGAGGTTGTTTCTAGTGGTTGCCTGATGATGGATGTCATGAAATGGATGGAAGGCATAGGCCACTCGCATAGATAACAACTATTTGCAGGTTGGTATGTATGGAAGCATCATTGGTCTAGTGGTAGAATTCATCGTTGCCATCGATGAGGCCCGTGTTCGATTCACGGATGATGCACTTCTTTTTGCATTTGTTTTTCTCGAACGGGAGACGGACGGACCACCCAGCGGGGCCACCTTTTGGTCCTGCAACATGACTTGCCTCCATTGTCACGTATCCTGGCAGCGAACTTGATATCGGATAATCAACTCCTTCTCCCCTGATCCTACACGGTACCCCGCACCTTAGCGCGGTAAGCAGCCCGGCTTACCCGTCGACTGATCGCGAGACTGCCCTTTCTCGGCCGGACTCAGGCTGCTCAATATCCAATGACTTGCATGAATGGACGGAGTATCTCGCTGACTCTGACATGATCATCACTGCTGACACCACCTTAGCTTTTGATGCATTATTTCCCTCCCGCCGTTTATATTGTACTGCCATGCTTTCAGGTCGCACGGTCATCAGGGTGGGCCACGGGTGGCCTGATGACATGCAGATGCATCCCACACCCTCTGCAGAACCCGGGGCCCCTGAAGAACTGCAGCGACCCCGCAGGAGAGTTGGAGCTTAATCGTCGTTCCCAGTTGAGGGGTTCCCCTGATCATCGGAACCCGCCAATCGGTGAATTCTATTGCTGAGACAACCCGGTTAATAGCCTCCACCGGAGAAATAACAAGTTGGGAGTGTCTATTAATTTAACGAGCATGTTTCTCATGGGACATGGTGCAGTCAGACAACATGCGGTCTATGCTCATTGCCCTCGCGGGCTTCCTCGGGGCCTCTGCCCTAGATGCCGACACCATCTTGACCGATTACTTTGGCAATGACGCCCCATGGTATAGCGACCGCATTCCTCTCTTCGAGACCGACCTCTCCGATATCCAGGATGTCTACTACTACCGCTGGGGTGTGTTCCGGGCCCACCAGCGTGACCTGGGTTCCTACGGCTACATCACGACCGAGTTTCTCAACGATGTCAGCTGGCAGGAAGAACCCTGGGCCCTCCTGATCGATGCTGCCAACTTTCACCTGCGTGAGGGCCGCTGGTGCCGCGACCGTCGCTTCACCAGTGACTATTCATCATTCCTCTTCGGACCCAACGGTGACCCTTACCAATTTTCCGAGTCCATGGCCGATGGTGTCTGGCAGGCCTACCTCGTCAACGGCGCGGCCGACGATGCCACGCCACTGCTGGCCTCGATGCAAACCGTCTACGCTGGGTGGAATTCCACCACCCTCGGAGTGGGCGGTTACGACACCTCCAAAGGCCTCTACTGGATCCAGCCGCTGACCGACGCGACCGAGTACACCATTGCCAGTATCGACGCCTCGGGGGGCGAAGACGGCTTCACCGGCGGATATGCCTTTCGTCCCAGCATCAACAGCTACCAGTACGCGAACGCTCTGGCCATCGCCCACATTGCCAATCTCACCGGGGACACCTCCGTCCGCGAGGAATACCTCCAACTGGCGAGTGCTCTCAAAACGCGCCTCCAAGACGACCTCTGGAACAGCACCTTTGAGCACTTCATCGACCGCTACAAGGAGGACAACGACTATGTCACATACTGGGACTTTATCCGGGGTCGCGAACTGGTCGGCTACGTGCCGTGGGCGTATGATGTTCCTGACGACAATGTGACTTATGCAGCAGCATGGAGTCACCTCCTCAACTCGAGCGAGCTGGCGGGCGTGCACGGGCTTCGCACCAACGAGCCAAGCTATCAATATTATATGGTCCAGTATCGTTACGACGGCACCCACCCGGAATGCCAATGGAACGGGCCGGCTTGGCCATACCAGACCACCCAGGCGCTGACCGGGCTGGCCAACCTGCTCGACCACTATCCCCGCTCCGCCGCGACGGGGGTCGTTACCACCGCCGATTACACCAACATTCTCCTCCAATACGCCAAGCTGCACTACAACCCCGACCGCGGCGGCATCCTCGATATCGAAGAAGACTACTACTCGGACACCGGCAGCCCGATCGTGGGGCTTCCACGTTCACCACACTACTTCCACTCGGGATTCGCAGACCTGATTCTCACGGGCTACGTGGGAATCCGGCCGCGCGCCGACAATGTACTGGAAGTCAACCCGCAGGCGGATGCATCCACGGTCGGCTATTTCCGGGCCGAGCGGATTCTCTACCACGGACACGAGGTGGCCGTACAATGGGACGCGACGGGGGATCAGTATGGTACTGCGGGCCTGGTGGTGGAAGTGGATGGCACCACCGTCGCGACCAGCGCCAAACTCACTCGACTCACCGCTGACCTCACCTCCGCATCGGCGCCGGCATTCTCCAGTCCCATCGCCGTGTCCGTCCAGTTGGCTTCTGATACTGAGTATCCCCGAGGCAGCGTGTCCGTGGCGGATGCCGACACGGATGCAGTGCACGGGGCCATTGACGGACGGATCTGGTTCTATCCGCAGGTCGAGGTCGCGAATGGGTGGGACAGTCCGACCGGCAATGGAACGGAAGTGTGGTACCAGGTGGATTTCGGAAATGTGACGCAGACCGCGCGCGCCGAGATTGCGTTTTTTGCGAACAGTACGCAGGGGTATGATGTGCCGGAGACGTATCGGGTGCAGAGTAATGCCACGGGAGAGTGGACGGATGTGAGCAGGGGAAATTATAGTACGGCGGTGGCAAATGGGATTACCACGGCATCATGGGAGGAGGTCAGCACGGAGGCGTTGCGGTTGGTATTTACTCCCACGTCAGGGGAGATGGTGCGGTTGGTGGAGTGGAAGGTATTTTCTAGTTAATTCCGTACAGTTTTCAGTCCAGTTGCTTGGAAACAATGTACATATCTGCCATTAAGGAGTGGCTTCCAGGCATGCCCCGCTGAGGCATTTTGCTTCAGGGGTGGACATGGTGCCCACTCAATCAAGTTCTGTCTGATGTGCGCTTCGGATGTCTCGTCACTACATATATCCGGTCAGAATCCATCATGGATAAGCTGTCGACATTTGATTCATCGGTAAGAAGAAGGCTCACAGCAGCACCAATGTATACAATGATCTAATGACATTGAACTGCAAACCTACGAATCATATAAAGGAAATCATAATCTAAACTCTGATACCAAGTCACCCCACATACAAGACAGTAGACACATAAAGCCGCGTTGTATACCCTACCCTCATACCGCAGACGTCACCCACTTCTTCTTCCGCAGCATATTACCCGACTGGGACCCGAAGCCCCGTTATCAGTCCACCTTATCAGCATTCTCTCAGCATATTACCCAACACAGCTAGCCCACCCACCAATTTTAACCAATCACGATACCCACGCAGCATATTCCCCTTTCCAGCATGCCGACATCCGACTGCCCTGCTTCCAACCGGATCCTCAATCTTATCCCACAGACGTTGGGGATAACTTCCGCCCCACTGCAGTTTCATTTTCCCGGCAATGACTCGGTTTGCCGTGCTGGAGAATCTATTCTCGTGGAGAGACTAGGGGAAGGTGGGTGACGAAGGAGGGAAATTCTCTTCGCGCAGACGGTGGCGGGTCAAACAGGTTACAGTATAGCTTACAGCTAACATTTCGAGGTGGATTGGTGATGACACGAGTCCAGAGCACCATACTATAACACTGTGTAAAACAAGAGAAACCAAGCCGGATATCCCGCCGCCACTGCCGCGTCCTATACTTCCCACATCGAGACTTCTTCCGGAGTAGATACTAGTGGTTAAGCTTTCGGGGCGAGCCCAGTGGACACGCCAAGGCATGTTCCTGATCCGGGCATCTATTATACGCAGTAAAAGGAGAATAAATCCCAACAGGGGTGGTACTATGTACGTACGGAAACCCCCCGACGGGGTCTGCAGGAATCCAAGGTTCCATCCCGTCGCAGCCGTCCCGATCCACCGCATATCCAACCCTAGTGTGGCAGGGCGCCCTGGATAATCGGCTCCGTGCTGCCACTGCCATACATCATTGGGGTTCGGGTAGCACTGGTTGGTATAAATATCTGGACTCGCTCGCCATCATGAGGGTATACTATTCCGCACCGCGCATTCATCGTTTGTTCGTTTTAGCATCGTTCGCATATAGACTTGCATAGACTGATTCTACTACTTTCTACTACTCTAATACTGCCACCACCGACACAATGACCACCACAGCCCCCAGCCAGCGCCTCCTCCCCAGCCAGCGCCTCCTCCCCATCCTCGTCGACCAGCTCGCCCAAACCAACCCGACTCAACGCGTCGGTCTCATTCCTCAGGGTGCCGATGTCGCGGACGGCTACGAGACCCTCACTATGCAGCGTCTCGCTCGTGCCGTCGACGCGTTCGCATTCTGGATCGAGAAGAAAGTCGGCCGGGCCGAGAAACCAGAAACGATCGCCTATATGGCGAGTAATGATGTGCGATACTTGATCTTCTTGTTGGCGGCGCATAAGACGGGATATAAGGTATGATCCAGTTGTTAGGGATGGGTCTGAGAGGGGGGAGCTGACGGGAATAGCCGCTTCTTCCCTCGACCAGACTATCGGATGATGCGTATCAGCATATTCTGAACGCGACGGATTGTCATATCTTTCTCTACACGCCGGAGAAGCAGCGTCGTGTGGCGGAGATTCAGGCTTTCCAACAGGATACCGCGTTTCATGAGGTGCCGTCGGTTGTGGAGTTGCTGAATGCTGAGGGGGGGCATTATTCGTATACCAAGACGTACCGTGAAGCAGAGGATGATGTGGCGATTATTATTCACAGCTCGGGCACAACCGGTACGTCCCCTGCATGAATATACTAGATGAAAGCTAAGAAAATAGGCATGCCCAAACCCGTCCCCTTGACGCATGGCTTCCTGGCCACCATCGACTACGGGGCGTATCTGTCCCGTCCGCCAACCCGCCAAGGCACCCTCTTCAACGACCTTCCCCCGGATACTCTGGTTCTCTCCACCACCCCCTTCTTCCACCTCATGGGTCTCCTCGCCTTCACCGAGTCCATCTTCCACCACACTCCCTTCGTCGTCCTCCCCGACAAGCCTCTCTCCGTGGACCTCATCTCCTCCGTCATCACCACCACCCGGCCCACCGGCGCCTTACTCCCCCCGTCGATCCTCGAAGACATCTCGCATGTCCCGTCCGCGCGCGCCGCCCTCAGCACCCTCCAATATGTCTATTTCGCGGGAGCCCCTCTCTCCCCGGAAGTCGGCGACGACTTGTCCCAACTCACCCAGATCATCACCGTTCTCGGATCCAGTGAAATGGGACTCATTTCCTCCTTCGTGCCCCAAGGAACGGGGGTCTGGGGGTACTTCGAATGGAACCCCGCCTACGGAGTGGACATGCAGCACGTCAACGACGGTCTATACGAGTTAGTGATTCCCCGTCGAGCGGACAGTCGTCAGGTCCACGGCATCTTCCACACCTTCCCCGAGCGAACCGAGTACCGCTCGAACGATCTATTCGTGCGACACCCGGAGCGTCCGGAACTATGGAAGTACCACGGTCGCCTGGACGATGTGATTGTGCTCAGTAACGGGGAGAAACTTAACCCCGTGACGCTGGAGAAGATCGTCGAGGGACATCCGCGCGTGCAGCGGGCGCTGTTGATCGGACAGGCGCGGTTCGAGACGGCGTTGTTGGTGGAACCGAATTGGGCAGTTGAAGGCGAGAATGTCGATGAAAAGGCCTTCGTGGAGAGTATCTGGGATACGGTGGAACGGGCCAACGAGGCGGTGCCCAAGTATGGTCGCATCGCGAAGAGCAAGATTCGTCTGGCCGATCGAAGCAAGCCGTTCAAGGTGACGCCCAAGGGCACGACGCAGCGTCATGCCGTCAATAAGGAGTATCAGGAGGAGATTGAGGCCATTTATGCGGCTGCGGAGGAGGAGGCGGCAGTCGAGATGCCCGAGACTTTGGATGCGAAGAGTTTGAAAGGGTTTGTGCACGGCCTCGTGGCTGGTTTGTTGGAGCGCGAGGATGTTCGCGACGAGGAGGATCTCTATGCGGCTGGGCTGGACTCGCTGCAGACGATCCAGTTGGCCAAGACGTTGAATCAAGCGGTTTCAGCGCGCTGCGAGGCTGGTCGTGAGATCTCCCAGCAGCAGATTTACTCGCATCCCTCGGTGGCCCAGTTGGCGCAGTACCTGCTCGACCTGGTGACGGGCAACGTGGGTGCCACTGTTTCTCGCGCGGAGCGCATCAACGCGATGCTGGAAAAGTACACCAGCCAGCTGCCGCAGCGCCATACTCCGGCGGCACCGCTGTCGGACAAGTCGACGGTCATTCTGACCGGCTCGACCGGCTCACTGGGCACGTACCTCCTGCACGCCTTGCTGGCGGACCCCACCATCGCCAAGGTCTACTGCTTCAACCGGTCGGAGGCAGCAGAGCGTCAGAAGCGCGGGTTTGCCGAGAAGGGCTTAGACGTGAGTCTCCTGGAGAGCCCGCGGGTCGAGTTCTTGCAGGTCGGTTTCGGAGCCGAACACTTTGGCCTTCCTGAGGCCAAATACACCGAACTTCTGCAGAGCGTGGACTTTATCATCCACAACGCGTGGAAAGTCAACTTCAACCACCCTCTCGAGTCTTTCGAGGATCCGCACCTGCAGGGTGTGTTCGAGTTCATCCGGTTCAGCACGCAGAGCACCCACAACGCACATCTGTCTTTCGTGTCTTCCGTGGGCACCATCGGCGGCTGGACCGCATCCATGGGCCCGGCTGTGCCTGAGACACCTCTCGAAACCGCTGATGCCGTGCTGGACCAGGGCTACGGCGAATCGAAGCACGTCGCCGAGCGAATGTGTCTGGCTGCCTCTAGACAGTCCGGCGTACCCACGACCGTCTTCCGGGTAGGCCAGATCGCAGGACCCACGAGGGTCCAGGGACTGTGGAATCTGGACGAATGGGTCCCAACGCTGGTGAAGACCTCCAAAGCCGTAGGGAAGGTCCCGGGCGATTTGGGCGGATACCTAGTGGACTGGGTGCCGGTGGTAAGCTGCCTCACTACCCACCTCTCTCGAAAATGCTAACAAGAACAGGACACCCTGGCCACCATCACCACCGAACTCATGCACACGCGTCGGGCAACGCAATCCCACACCCCCCACGCCGTATACCACCTCGTGAACCCGAGCAAAACCGCCTGGTCGACGCTCGTCCCCGCCATCGCGGCCCGATACCCCGGCATCGAAGTCATCCCGCTGGATGTCTGGTTGACCGAGCTGGAAGGAATTCAGTCGCCGTCGGAGAGTGAAGTGCGCGAGAAGCCCGCCCTCAAACTGTTGGACTTTTATCGGGGATTGGCGGGCGAGGTGCTGTCCGCGGAGATTAGTGTGGAGCGGACGCGCGGGGGGAGCCAGACCATGGCGGGTTTGGGAGCGGTGACGCCTGAATTGATGGGGAATTGGTTGAAGCAGTGGGGGTTTTAGCAGGTGAGCAGCTGGGCAGTTGAGTGAGTTGTTAGTGTCTATCCCTTGCGGGAGTAAGGGAGTTTGTTCGTTGGTTTGGCATAGCGATAAACTTATAGACATGCACATTCTTAGACTGAATGATACTATCCTTGTACTCGGTACAGAATCGTCGATCCGTAGAAAGCGTTAAAAACAGGGAGGACATGCAGGTACCCCTGACATGAGTTAGACATGCAGCACCATCATACCTTGCCGAGATCGTGAGCGATTAATAGACCTCCAGGATATATAACTGGGTCACTCCGTGGCCGTGACTGTACGAAACTAAATCCTACTAACTCCCCGTGTCATCACCATCTACAACCCTAATCACCAAGGTATCCCCCCCCCAAACCCTAACAATTGAACAACAACTAACAGCCCTACCTACTAGCCAGTCCACCCACAACCAAAATGCATCTCCTCTCCCTCCTCGCCCTTGCCACCCCCGCCCTCAGCGCCATCTGCTACACCGAACCCTTCTCATCCGGCAAAAACTGCGCCTCCCTCCTCAGCATCAAAAACTTCTACAGCGTGCAATACTGCAACTACCGCTGGAACATCCTCTACGGGGACTGGGACCACTTCACCTCCGACAACGTGAGTTCGGTGGTGCGCGCGAGTGTGGGCAAAACCGGCACGTTTGATTCCATGGAGGATTGTTTGGATGGGTTTCGCGATGTCGTGGAGACGTGTCATGGGGAGTTTTTGGGGGGGGTGTTGGTGGGAGAGGGGGAGGTTAGTTTGGATGTGAGGTTTTGTGATTTTTAATCTTATCTTTATACTTTGGGGGGATTAGGGGGGTTGGGTTATGAGTTATGATTATGCAAGGTACCAGGTGATGAAATACTACTATCCATTTTATGATGATCACTCGGGAATGTACTCGTTTAGAGTCACGATATGTTCACTGTACATCATATATCCTCGCCAGGGAGGAGGTGGCACCCTAATCAGTATTGAAATCATAAAAACTGTTCCCATTCCACCCATCCACCAAACTATAATCCGCCAACGGGGTCGTGCCATGCAATGTGGCATAATGTTTCCGACCCGCGCAAGTGGAATTACCCGCACACGTTCCATTCAGAATGCGACTGATCTCTTTTCCGGCCGCCTGCCCCTCGAACCACGCGCCATGCAAGAACCCAAAGTACGTTGGACTGGTGGCTTCCCCCGCGAACCAAAGTCGACCCGTATTGGCCCGTAGATTCTCATGCATCTCGAGCGTCACGCTGGGCGGCCAGTTCGAGTACGTGCCGTAGGCCCACGGCTCCGAGGTCCAGCGTGGGTACAGAAAGTCAATCGGGTCCGGGACGGTCTTGTCCGGGAACATCTTGCGGAGCACGGCCATGATCTCCGACTTGGTTTGGTCGTCGGATTGGCGTTCCGCGCGCCAGGCGTATTGTTCCGTGACGGTGACGAAGATGATGTTGGAGCCCGGGAAGAAGCCCTCTGTGCTAAGGGATTGGAAGAGTGGGTAGTAGCCGCGGGCGTAGGGGTCGGCGTAGAGGAAGTATTGGGTGTCGGTGGGCCAGAAGGTTTCGTTGAATTGCAGGAAGATTTTGGTGTAGGTGGCCATGGTGAAGCCTTGGATGGATTCTTGCTTCCATTGGGGGAGAGAGGGGGTGAAGGTGACGGCGTCGTTTTGCAACACGCCCAGACTGAAGGTGCAGATGGCGTAGGCGGCGCGCACGCAGGAGCCGTCGGCGTTGTGGATGGTCACGCCCGAGTCGCTGTAGGAGATGTTGGTGATTTGGGTGTTCAGGGACAGTCGGGTGTCGTTGGGGCGGAGGAAGGTGGATGCCATGCCGTGGATGATGGTGCTGAAGCCGCGTTGGTCAATCACGAAGTTGTCCTGGTCGCTGAAGCCGTTGGAGGTGAGGTTGGTGCCGGCGACGCCGAAGACGAAGGAACTTTCCAGGGGGGTGTAGGCGTCCTCGAAGTCTGACTCGTTAGCGATGTTTATTTTCGAGGAGGAATGGACGCACCCCATTCCCACCAGTCCACGGCCTGCGCTTCCATGTCGTGCTCCTTGGGTCGCCAGCCTGCCATGGCCAGGCCGGTTTTGGCCGTCTGGTCTTGCAGGTTGTCGAGCAGGATCATGCCTGCGTGGGCGGCAGCCGTGTCGTATGCGTCGTCGTAGAGGTCCATCAGGTAGGAGTAGTCTTTGTAACCATTTTCGTTGTAGGTGGACACATTGCTGTAGTTGGAATACACCGTGGAGAGGTTGTAGACTTGGGCCTGTCGGGATTAGATGTTATTCAATGGCTGTAGTGGTGTCTTACCAGTGTCCAGACAGGGTTCTGCGGGCCCCCAGGGACGCCTAGTCCTTGGACCTGCGATGGTCAGTGTGATAATGCAGGCCGTGGCAAACCGACTCACCCAATTGCAGCCCATCTCAATAATGTAGGGTTTGCCCTCTTCATTCTGGCCAAACGGCACGTGCCAGGCGCGACCGCCGATGGTGTCGCGGTACTCGAGGATCATAAAGTCGTCCATGGAGGCATTGTGCAGCGTTTGCTAAACAATGAGCTTCATTCAAAACATAGGAATTGAGCTACCTACCGCAGCCGCAATACCAGCCATCCCTCCACCCCTAAACAATTAGCCTACGTCGAGACAGTGGGCCAGTAACTTACAGAATAGCAACCGTGGTCTGCTTGCATTGTCCCTCATCGCGGTGCACGACATGGGCGGCACAGGGCAGGGCCAGGGCCCCCAGAAGAGCCAAGCGGAGCTGCATGATGTGTGACAGTGCAGTAGCAGCAGCAGGAGCAGCAGCAGCAATGCGTGGAATATATACGGATGAGAGCTCCGGAGTCGGACACAGTGATAAGAGCGGAGGAATACTGATCGGGCAAGTCCATGCGGATCGCGGGTGCTATCGCAGGTGCTATGGTGGCTTATCCGGTCTGCAGCTGGAAGCTCTTCATGATCCTGCAGCAATCAATTGATTCTTCGCTCAGCAGATGGAGCAGCTGCCTCAGCCATTGGCCCAACCTCGCTGCAGTCGGCGATAAGCACCGCTAGTCGGCGGGGCTGCGACGGCCGAATCCCGCGGTCGGCGATCGTTGCGACCTGCAGAGCTACCTTGGGTGGAACGCCGGTTTCGAAGTCCGAGGTTCGTCAGTTGATTCTATCGAGGAGTACGGAGTAATGGCGGAGGTTTAAATTGATACTATGGGTTGGTCTGCGATAGGGTTGAAGCAGTAACAGGCCGGGAAGAGGAAAAGTGGGGGAAACTCGGCAGAGGAGGCAAAAACAAAAAGAAGTGCATCATCCGTGAATCGAACACGGGCCTCATCGATGGCAACGATGAATTCTACCACTAGACCAATGATGCTTGATGAAGTTTCTTTCTAACTTTAAGCCTTATGGCATTGTTCTAAGATAGGTGGTCAGTCCTCTGCCACCTCAGCAGAAAGCCACGAAACCATATTATTCATATCAGCCATTGTTCTTTGTTAATACCATTGTTATACCCTCAATAACAGTAGCTAGAAGACATATGTCTTTTTTTAGTCTACTTGGTATTAACTCTGCCACAATTCAACATTTTTGAACCTTCCAGTAGTCATCTCATTGTAGCTTGCAAAACCGGAGATATGATCATGAATATAATGTGCTTTAAATAATGTACAATCCTTTATTGTCCATGACCTTTGCCAGTCTTTGAAGAACAAAAAGATTATGATGAGCAAAAGAGACAAAGGCATATGCGCAAAGCAAAGTGCAACTGAATGATCTGTCTGCCCTAGGACAGAGCTCTTTGTTGTTCATCGGACCCATGGCAAAAATAACAATCAGTCATATTGAATGTCCCTTGGCCTGCTTCAGCAACATATCACGACAATTGCCTTGTTCCCAAAGAACCCATATGAATGCAGTCCATCCATTCAACCTTCATCCATGATATATAAGATGCCTCTCATCCTAAATCCTGATCAACATCTCCTCACCTCGAACATCTCTACCACTCACATATCTACAACATCTCTACCACCAAAATGCCCGAGAACCCCCTATCCCGTTACGAATCCTACATAACCCGGCTCCTCGAACAAGCCGAAATCCCCAACTTCATCTACGGCGGCAGGGTCTGGTATCTCCGCGGCGACACCTGCAGTACCAGAAAAATCAGAGTACGATCCATATCCATGATCCCCTCTCACTACCCCCGCTAATCAAACCAGTACCTCGCCTGGATCATCCCCGACGAGCTCTTCTCCAAGGCCTGCGAAGTCCTCGACGTGGCTGGCTTCCCCCGCGACAATAAATCCCGCTGGAAGATGATCAAACTGGCAGAAAGAGATCACACTGTTCAAGTCGGGGACGCGATCTATTCCTGTGCGGCGGAGTTGAAGATCCCGTATGGGGCTCATCTAGTTCGAAAGTCACGACTCTTGATGAAGATGCCGAATCCTGGGCTGGGGCGCATTTCGCCGTATGATCGGAATTATATGCTCACTACGGATGATAGGGTCAAGAATCAGGGAAAGGAGGAACCCCGTCTGTTGTGTTTTCGGCCGCCGGTGGTGTTCGATTGTCAGACTGAGGATGATTATCCGGTGAAGATGATTCGATTTGGAGGCCCCGTAACTGTTCGGGAGCCTTTCGATGACTTTAGTGGCTTGTGGACGTTGGATGAAGTGTTCTGAATCCGGTGATTCAGAGAGGGTACTTGGATGCCCGTGCTGTGGTGGTATGAGCTCATTCGAGGACATGGCGATTGAAGGCTGGTATTGTTGTCGCATGAGCCACTGTTGGTTATTTGACGGGTGCCATTCAGGTTGCTTGTTTACTTGCCTTCATTTGCTGGATCATTTCGGGTTCAATATCAAGTTCCGCAGCTACCCGAACATCACCGGAGACAGTACTATAGTTGCGGTGGTAGAGTGAGGAGATGTTATGGAGTTTAGAAATTTGGCATACCTCGTAGAGTTCTTTCTACCAAGGATCTAGCGTAGAAAGCTATTGTAGTTTTTTTATTATCACCCTCATACACGGACTTAGTAGGCTCTTATCTACAATCTCTACAATCACAGCTGTTAAGAGATATAAGGGCTGTTAGAGTGGTTAAGACATTGTAAAACACTGACTTTTCATCCTTCAAATTTGTTGAAATAATTGGAAGATGTTGAGACTGATAGAGAGTATAGACTTTCATCAGCCTCTTGCCTAGGATGCATAGGCAGACTGGAATGAGGAGAAAATGAGTCACTAGCATGGTGCTATCCACAGTGATCGCATGGCAACAATGTCTCAGAGAATGAGCTGCTCATAGCCAGGATGAAAATATAAAGCCTCTGGTGCTGAACTAGTAGCAACTGGAATTGACAAACGACCTGATAGGCTTTACTTGACAATACCAGCTGATACACTTTCATTGTCTCATATACTCCCAGATATAATATCTCTATGACAAAATTTATCTTAGTCCATGTATCTCATCACATCTACCCAACTACCCTCCATCAACCACGGACGATACCAAAGACCACTAATCAATGTTTTCCAGATACCCATCCGGATGACAAACCCACTACTCTTTGATATGAGACCCCATCTAAGATCCTTTACTTCCCCTCTCCACCTCAATTCAAAATACGACCCCTATTTATCCATCACCTCACCTAAAGACCCATACGCCCGACTTGCGTGATTACAGATCCACTAAGAAAACTGACAAACATCTAGCACATCAAGGATAGATATACCACCTCCCGACAAAGAAGAATTGGCACATATTGACCCAGTTACCTCGGCACCACTCATTCCCCAACTCAAATCAAACTCAATAGTACATAGCACAGGTCATGAATCATCGACTCAGAAGTCTACCCTCTACCTCTGCCAGTACATCAATACGAATCATGAATCCATCTTACCTAAATCCAGCCACGATATGCATAATACCATACTCCATCCTGCCCAATCCGGACCTACAACCCTGTTTCCTACTCCTAGAGACGATAACATGCATATCCTCATTTCCACGCCGATCCCAACCTACCTATCCATCTATCCCCTCAGTATCACAACTACACCCACCTAGCGCACGTCACCCCCCAATCCCAATCCCTCCAAAACATCCCCCAGTATAATCCCCCCCGAACGTGTTCTTTTTTTTTTTCCCCCCCCACCCCCCCCCCCCCAAAAACCCCCCCCAAAAAAAACCCCCGAACGTGTTCCCCCCCCCCCCCAACCCAATCATTCCTCCGTAATCATCCTCGGCAAAAATAAACTTCAATCTTAGCACCCGCACCAGTGGATAGGCTGCAGATCGGGGGATAATCCCGGATTACCGGTTCCGGGAGGCGATGATCTCAACCTATCGGGTAAATGGCTGTGTCGATCATTTTCAGGGTCTGGTTTTTCGATTGCTTACATGGTAAGTTTGTCTAGTGGCTACGTACTGTGGTGGGTAGGTGGCGGGTGTGGCTGTTACTGGATTTGGTATTAGGGGTTTTGGGTTGTGTCTGTTGGTGTGGCGTTTGGGGATGTACTGTAGGGAGGATGGATTGGTTCGGGAGAGATTTCCTGGCTGATGGACTGACTGACTGTCTTGGATTATTCTCTTGCGTGGGGAGGTATATCGTGAAGGTATGTATCGATTCCATGAGATAGAAAATGTATATTATGAAAAGATGGTATATACCATAGCTCTATGCGAATAGAAAGAACGAAACAATAACACCCAAAAACCCCAACCATGATACCTAAGAAACCAAATCAAACCGTAACAACCCGTACCTCCCTCTTCACACTAATCCCCGCAAACGCTCTCCCTCCCCCCCCCTCGACATCCCCATCCACGCCCTTCGGTAGGATCGGCAAATGATCCAACACCATCTGCGACTCGCGCTGTTCGCCCGTCTCAATACTATACATCGTCGTCCCGTATAGCCGATCATCCGGGTTATGTATTCGCGCGCCGTCGTGCGGGGTTTCTAGTGAATGTAGGGGCACGGAGCGACTGCGTTTGTTGTTTCGGGAGCTGGGCCAGCCGGAGGAGTCGGAGGTCGAGGGGTTGAATGTGCGGAGGAGCGGGCGGAGGGTGGCGAGGCTGCCGGCGAAGATTCCGAGGCCGGTTTCGATGTTCGACCAGACGGCAATGGGGGTTGTTGCCCCTGTTTCAATTTCATGCTTGGTTAGTTTGGGGAAGAGGGAGGTTTTGGAGGGAGGAGGGGGGGAGGGCGTACAGAGGTAGTCGATGTTGTAGAGAGTGTTGATGTATGGGATGCGGATGATCACGGCGATGGATGCACTGTATATCTCATTAGCCAGACTTCGTATAAAAGAGAAAGAAAAAAGGTATTGGGCATACACGCAAGCCATCCCTAACAACCCGGCCACCGCAATCTTAACATCCCGACGCATCTTCAATTTCCGAACCAGCATAATCGGCAACACGGCAATGGTGAAATCAAACAGCGCCGACGAGGCACTAAAAGCATATAATCCCCCAATGATAATGCTCATGTCCATGCAATGTCCGGTACCGGCGTACTCGGTTGACAGCTGCATCCAGAAATATGACATCGGGCGACATTGCACCAGCACCATGATAAAGAAGATGAGTCCGGCGATGACGACGATGCCTCCGACCAGGCAGATGACGAAGCGGTGGACTCGATCGATGGTGATGCGCAGGAGGAAGATGCTGACGGAGACTTTACACAGGATGGAGCCGAGCGCGTAGCCGATGTCGCAGTAGTACCAGTACTATGCATTGTTCGCATCAATGGGTGGTAAATGGTATGGGGGATGCTTACGTGCATGGCGGTCGTTCGCTGGTCATTGGATAACTCGGTCAAGTGTTTCCCTGTACCGTAGAGACTGCCGCCAATCATACATCCGGATAACATGGTATAGAAGACCTAGTCCGTCAGTTGCCTTGTCTAGGATATCTGTTGGATGGAATTACCATAGCCAACAACATAATCCCATCATCCCACCCAAACGCCTTGACAATCGTCAGCCGGACATAACATCGTAGAATGATCGTCACGGCCGCCAACGAGAAAAACACCGCGGCCACCGCGCGCACTTCCAACGTTCGATCCACCATGATGTGCTGTGGTGGTCGAAGAAACCACGATGGTGGCACGATGCGGAAAACAGGCAAGATATGAAACGGATCGTGTCTGGGGCGTAAGCGAACATGACGTACCAGACTCGCGATGCGCTCCGCGAGGCGTTAGGGTTCTGGAGATTCCATGGGTGCACGCCGCCCGGGTCCGCGCTGATTCGAGGAGACGGTATTCCCGGAAAAGGCAGAGGCCACCATCGGGGAGAAAAGTTAAAACACGCGATGGGGCAATTTCCTGCGTCGGACCAACGGGTTCTGATCGCACTACTGCTGCTCTGAGCCAGTAGTTTCTTATTATCAATCTCAGTCTATGGCCATGTGGGGCTCGTAATCACCCACATGGGAAGTTTTTTCAGCTACCATGTGCATTTCAGTTCGCTAGTGGCCAATCGCTAATATTTAATCTATTGCCTCTCTATAACTTGGGGAACCCACTTGGTAGTACCAGCGCTCAGGCCTGCCGGGTCCCTAGCACGGCAAGTTGGGGCACACAAGTCCCGATGTAGTTCATTCGCACACGTTCAACAAGGCCACGGTGGGATCGTGGTCCGACAGCTCGTCGGCAGTTGACACCCAGGTGTTGACATGGATGTGCTCCATCTGGGCCCCAGACGTCAATGCCGAACTAATGAAGATGTGGTCCAGCGATTCGCAGTTTTGATTGTACAAATAAGTATACCTCTCCGTCGCAGGAATCCCAGTCACCTCCTCCAGGTCTTGCAGCGTCGACTCAGAGGCAAAGACCTCGACAGGCTCCACAAACGCATACTCGTTGAAGTCGCCCGCGGTGACTATCTTCGCGTCAGAATTGACAGCGAGGATAGACGTGACAAATTTCTACCACGGTCAGAATCTTTCGGTCTAGAAACCAGACACGGGTGGACTCACCGCAACCACTTCAGCCTGCTCCACGCGGTTCTCCACCCACCCGTTGATCGGGGGTCGCGGGTCCCCCTCGAGGGAAGTGCTGTCATACTTGGATGTGAAGTGGACGTTGATGGTATAGAAACTGTTCTTGCCATCTAATGTCTCCCACTCGGCTGCCAATGGCTTGCGACTGTCGTTCCAGGCCTCGTTGGTGGGATCGATCAGGCCCGGGTTGTAGCTCAGGCCGCCACTCGCGAGGACCTCCGTAGCGTCGGTACTGGACCCAGGGTTGTAATTTCGCAGGCGGACCACCGACGGGTCGTACAGGTAGGCCACGCGGATATTACCGCCTTTTTCTCCGCCGTTCGTGTCGTTGATGGGGTCAATGTCCGTGTAGCTATATTGAACTCCGCCTTGTTCCTTGATCGCGCTAGCCAGCTTCGACAGTGTCAAATTGGCGGACACAACTGTCACTGTCAGTGCCTGACCCTTCTACATAAAGTGGGAGGACCTACCGCCATCATCGGTTGACCCGCTATCGTCCTGGATCTCCTGCAGGAACACGATGGTGGGGCTCTTCAGGTAATTGGCAATGTGGTCGGCAATCCCGCTCATCCGGGTGGTATCTGGCGAGAAGTTGTCAACGTTATAATCGCCGATGGTGATGGCACTACAGGTTCCATCCGAGCTGAGAGTCGTGGCCGCCGCCTGTGTCGAATTCGACCCTGTCCTCTCCAATGCGGTCAAAGGAAGCAGCGTATAGAATCCATATGCCTGCGTGATGATTCCCGTGACGTCCTCGAAGGTGTCGCCCAGTTGGGTATCAGTGGGGTTATCGCTTCCGTCCAGGGGGGATCCGATCACGATGGATTCCGGATTCGAATCTGTGTCGCCATTAGCTTCACCACCATGACGCGAAAGAGGACCAACCGTTGGCGCGCATGGTCAACCCTCCTCGGTCATTCCTCCCCGTCACCGGCCAGTTGCCCGTCACCCAGGTGTCTCCATACTTGTTGGCCTTACCGATGGCAGTGACCCCCATCAAGGTAGCCAACTCCCCACTCAGACTCTGCCAAAAGTCCATGCCGTACTCCGTCGGGTCCAACACGGGGTTGGCGGTGGAAAGCAGACTCGAACCGCCGGGCAAACTGAAGACATCACCATTGTCCAGAGAGGAGTATTGCTCCGTGGGAGGGTCCAAGTCATCCTGTCCGATTACAATGGGGGTGACCTCATTGCCGCTGGAAAGGACGGTGATGTCGGAAGGCGACTCGATCTCTGTGGTGTACACATACGATGAGTCCGAACGGTATTCGGACACCTTGCCACTCAGGGTGACAATGTCGCCGACCGCGACTTGGGACACCCCGCTACTGCCGTAGACGTACACGGAGTTGGAGGTCCGGTCGTCCGAGTCAGCATCCGTCGAGCGGAGGTAGAACCCACTGGAACCTTTGGCGGTCACGAGGCCTTTGACACCCGAAACTCGTTCGCCGTCGTACGGGGAGATATACTGGTCGCCGTTGATGTCGGAAATGGTCACTGCCCACGCGCTCGGGAGGAGCAGCGCGGCTGCGCAAAGAGAAGGGAACGCGCGCATTGCGATGATGTCTGGAGCGATGTCGACTATCGGGTCAACATGCGGTCTTATATCTTCCACCAGCTCTGCTGATTAGATAGCGATGTCTTACCTGTGGACCTACCAGAGACATCAGGGACCGACCAAAGCGGCGAAGGAAATTACAAGCAACTACTAGAGCACGGAAGTGAAGGGTCGGCAGCCACTGAGATCACGCAGGATCGCCCACGTTCCGGCAGCCAAGCCTTCGGCTCCAGACGATGTCACGTCGATCGGAGCTGACCGGTCTGAAGAACTTGCAGGATCCTATTGTCTTATCTATGTCGCGGGTCGGTCCGCCAAATAATATACCCATATAGATGAATCATCCCATAGTCTCTCTTCATGCAGGAAATTCTCTTTCAAACAGCAAGACACTTCGCTGTCACGCGGGAAAATCAAACCAAATCATTCGCCAACCTTTAATGACTTCTTAATTGCCCTTGCTCACATCCTGTTTCAATGACACAATCCGGTTCAACACCACCCGGTCCTCCGTCGAGTCCGAATCCACCGCCTACATCATTAGCAAGGATTCATACAACAAGAGAAAAGAAGCAAAGTAAAAGAGGGGTACTCACAAAGTAAGCCACACGCATCGCCTGGAACCGAACACTTTCCGGTCCACTCTTGCCGGCCTCCTTCTCACCCGCAGCTTCTGGCCAGGGCGCCCGGCGACGCACTTCATCGAAGCCCGCTTCAATCAAGGCTTCCGTGTGGATGCTCTCACTGTTGGGGTTGATATCGTTCAAGAAGCCACCCTCCACGGAGTTGGGGTCATCCGACTTGAAGAGTGGGTCGTGGATGCGAACCTCCACCTTGCGCGAGTTGTCCGGAACCCAATGGATGTACGTCTTGGGCTTCGCACCTGAACGGTCCAAGACGGCCCGGATCTCGGTGACCTTGCCGTCGGCATCCTTGGTGAATGTGGTGGCCTTAATGGGGTAAGGCACCCGCCACAGACCCACACTCTTGCCCGGAGCAAGGCGGAAGTATCCCTTGCTGTCCTCCTCGCGGAAGTCCGACCGGTCGATATAGACCTTCTTCGTGAACTTGAGCTGGTGAGATCCCATGGCAGGATCCTTGGGCGAGAAGGGAACGTCTAGGTCAAGCTCCGAGGCCTCCAGGGTTTCGAAATCCTCCACAACAATGGGGACAGGGTCAAGGACCAGCATCAAGCGGGGCACCCGGGTCTCCAGGTAAGTCCGCACCGACTGCTCAAAGCGAGAGATTTGGATGACCGACTGGGAAGTGGTCACACCCAGTTCGTTGATAAACGAAAGGATGGCCTCGGGAGGCACACCACGACGACGGAGCGCAATCAGGGTGTACAGGCGGGGATCGTCCCAGCCACGCACGTAGCCTTCATCCACGAGTTTCTTCAACTTTCTCTTGCTCATGACCGTTCCACTAACCTCCATGCGACTGTACTCGCGCTGCATGGGCTCGTAGACGCCGAGTGTCGAGTTGAGCCATTCATAGCTCTCACGCGACAGCACGAACTCGGTCGTACAAAGACTGTGGGTGATGCCTTCGAAGCTATCACACAGGCAGTGGGCAAAGTCATAGGTGGGGTAGATCTTCCACTGGTCCTTGGTACGGTGGTGCTCCTTCTTCAGGACGCGATACGCAGCCAGATCCGAGTACATCTGGGGGTTGGGGTTGTCGAGTTCCTGCTTCATGCGCAGGAAGGCGGTCTGGGGTTCGTATTTGCCATCCCTCATGTCGCGGAACTTTTGCAGATTCGTCTCCACATCCTGCTCGGCGTCCTTGCAGCGGAATCTCGGTCCGTTCTTCTCGCCACCGCGCTGCAGCTTGATCTCGGCGTCGCTGCAATGGCAGACATAGGCTCTTCCCAGCTTGATCAGCTTCTCGGCCAGCTCGTACAGCTTATCGAAGTGGTCACTCGAGTGGGTGATCGCATGGGGTTTGAATCCTAGCACCGTAAGCACCCCTGCATAGCAATATCCACATCGCCTTACCAAGCCATTGGATGATCTCCTCGATAGCCACAAAGTATTTCTCCTCCTCTGCCTCCGGGTTGGTATCATCGAAACGCAAGATCGTCTTTCCTCCATGGTGTCTCGCAAATCCAAAGTTGATGGCGATCGCCTTCGAGTGACCGAGGTGGAGGTATCCGTTGGGCTCGGGGGGGAATCGGGTCAAGGGCGTGACGGGTCGCTCATTGTAGACGGCGGCGCAGAAACCCTGCTTGAACATGGCATCCGGATCGATAGGGGCCTCCTCCTGCTTCGGGGCGACCGGTCCTTGAGGCTTCGGGGTGGCAGCAGGCTTGGGAGCGTTGGCTTTGGCGGCTTTTTTGGCGCGCTTCTGCATGCGCTTCTTCAGCTCGCCCTTGGAGACATACTCACCGGTCTCCTCGTCGAGGTGAAGCTTGGCGGTAGCTTCGGTGATAGCGTCGGCCATGTTGACTGCGCCTGGAACTGGGATAAGCAGAGTCGCGTGAGGTGTGTGTGAGTCAAGATTCTGAGCAGTCAGAAAGTCTTATCGCGATCGGCGGGGGAGGGGAATTTGGTGTGATTATGTCATCATTGGGCAGGATCACATGACTGCAGCAAGCCTGATCCCAATCAATATTATTCCAATCGAAATAAAGACTTGTGGGTTCGTCCAGATAGTCTCAGCAGACTGGCTGTTTATATTGCCGCTGGGAGACTACGAATCATCTCCCTGCAGTCGACGTAGATATTGTTCAAGAATCCAGCGCCTGGGGAGCTGCCTGAGGATCCCGAGGACCCCCACCTTCCTACGAAGGAAGTGAAGGCTCCCTGCCTGGAGGTTTGGTGATCTGGCTCATGCCTACGACTAGAAAAGGGCACTGATCCTCCTGTTCGTGTTAGCTAGATTGTTATCCGTTAGTGTCTCACTCAAAACATTGATGTCGCATAGAAAAGACATACCGATATATATATATATTTTGGACAGGTCTACGGTGAGACGTCCGACATCAAAATAAAAAACATAATCATTATTAACGTATTTCTATCGCAGCCATTGACTTTAGCCTTACCGATACACTAGGTGAGATATGAGATCAACAAGTGTAGCAGGTAACAGAACTTTTACCTGAACTAGATTCTCATATAGTACGGAGGACTATGCATAAGCGAGATAACATGGTGCTTGAAATTGTTCTGCTACTTAGTCACTCAGAGTGAGACCTTTACTGAAGCCTGGCAAGAAGATATCAATCATTGCTGAATGCTGATACCGGTACTTTCCGTGGTGCTGCTGCTAAGGCTAAGGAGGACTTGATGTAAGAAATATTGATATATGACAGAAGCCATTGTGATTGCTCTTCAAATGATCAGGTACACCGGTGGGATGTTAAATTGTCCGATTTCTATATCGCGATTGTTACGATATCTGTGATCAATGCTACCTACTCTGCTCCCAGCCCCAGACTCTCCAACAGGTCACTCGTCTCCCGCCTGGTGACCTTGAACCCGATCCCAAGAACGATTATGAAGCTCACCACCGTAACAGACATCGAAGTCCAAAACATAAGATGGTCCTCCATTGACCAGACACTGACAATAGATCACACCCCCATCCACTGACAGCCTGCGTAGCAGAATGACACCAGGCCACATCGCTGATCAGTATAGCCGCATGCAAGAGCCTCCACAATTGCTCATCATCAGGCGCAGCACGACCGCCTCCACGAGCGAAATACAGGCAGGCCCCAGCTCGGTATGAAGAAAGGCCAACTGTGGAGCGAAGGAATTCTGCCGCGAGTCATGCTGGTCATGTACTTGGTGGGATATGATAATGGCCGCAGGTGCTCTAGAAAGCGAAGAAGGGTTATGATCAAGCGATGGATGAAGGGAATTGATTGGGCCTGGGATGAGGGATGATTCTGGTGTAGGCCATAGCGACGGATATCAGATGTTGCTTGGAGCGGGTGGGTTTTGTTTGCAGTTCAGTCAGAAATGGTGATCTGCAACGGCCATAGTAAACATCCCACGGCACCTACGGAGTACGCTGGTCGTTCTGTTTCTCGGGGTCAGGGCTACCTGCAAAACATGACTGTACCGGGGGCACAACTGTTAATGATCGTGAGCTTCCCGATGGTCGACCGCAATAAGGTAGAGAGTCGAGTAGTCGTCTCAAGATAGAGTTGGCGACTGCTGCTCCGAGATTCTTCCTCAGGCGTGGAGGATCTTCCTGGCGCTTATCAGGGGGCAGGGATTGGCCAATTCCACAGACAAGGTAGATCGACAGGCAAGTCAACGCCAATATTGCGGTAAATCCATCGTTACTCCACAGATGCTGATGATCAACCCTTCGCTTCGTTGGCAGCTCAGTTGAGCAGCTGATTGTTACCTATGAACCTCGTGGCATCCCCAGACCTGCGAGGGGCGGCAGAAAGTAGAGCCGCCGATGTGGGCAGTAGCCATGCTAGTCCCGTTTGGGACCCGGCTGTCTGATGATTCAGCCGTGCACAATGCATCCATCCCTAATGCTCATTCATCTTCATCTGTACCCCGACGAGCCATCTAGCCTCTTGCTCAGCTGCTATCTCAGCGGCACTCTTTTCCGCGGTCTTTCTCTCGGTCGACAAAGGGGGAGGCTGGCCAAACTCAAAACCGCTCTATACGAAAGCAATACGGAGTGCTTCGTACCAAAATTGGGTTTGAAGGGTGGGGGTTAATTTAATGAAGGGATTTCGCCTTCATTGCATTTCAATTTGGCTTCACGCTAAGCGACTCTGTGCGACGTGCCAACTGCGAACAGATAATGCCCCACTGTTCAAGCGGAGGGTCCACCCATTTGCCACTGCGCCGCCTGAGGTTGCATTGCATTGGAAGCCAGGCGGTTTCAGATGTCACCGGAAACCATGGTCAATTCTCACTGGACTTGTGTCTGTCCTGTGACATGACATATCATCAGATATACGGAGTACTCCGGACGTCATACTGCATTGTAACCTGCTTGGGTTTGACTAACAATAGTAGTCATTTCTCACGATTTTTGGCCGTGTCATGGATGCTGACCCTCTGGACCCTAGTCTCATCGATAGGCAACCTATCTAGAGTCGGAATGGTTCCCCGGTGTAGTAGTGTCTAATCAACTATCTAGTCGGATACTCCGTACGGAGTAGGATTCAAAGTGCTTATGATGGCTTCCCAATCAGGCCCCGGCCACTAAGCCCGTCTGGGGTAGTGCATGCCTGGGCTGTCGCAAGGCTCGCAGCTGCGCCATCCGACTTTGACGCATCCCGACATATGACAGGACAGAGCCAGACAGCCACTGATAGCGAGAACCAAGAAATAGATTGCCGTCGGACTTCCAGATCACGTCATGAAGGCTACAGTGAGTTCACAGGGATCGTATCTGACACTAATGCTCCAATCCAAGTCAATCGGGGTTACAATGGAGTATAAGATCAGCTGATGCGCTAAGCAGCACCTGCAAGGAGCTTAACCCCGGTCACGGAGGGCCCTACATTCGTCTAGTAGTTCGGCCTCATCGGTGCTATCTATAGGAACACCAATTTCATGGCGTCGGATGCCCGGGCCCTGGGGGTTTAGTGTATTTTACTGCGTACTCGTATGGATTCGCCGTGTCCCGTACGTGGTGGTACCGGCGAACGCCTCCAGTGGGGCGACTTCCATCGTGATTCGCTGGCTGGGATACGATCCTTGCCCCCCTAGCCACTAGACAGTACGATCCAGACGCAACGACCTTGTCTACGGCCTTCGAGTTATCTTGCCATTGGATTGGTAATGGCGACCAATTCTCCGGGAGTGGCCGTACGACACCGACACGGTGGGCGGGCCCTGGTTTATCTGGCACGCACATGCAGGAGCACTAGGGTACCATGTGGTTAGGCTCCGGTGGGCATGATTGGTGTGCCTGTCCATGGTGGATCACTTCAGTGTGTGGATAGGGGATATGAGATGTGTACACGTTCAGATCCCAGAATTATTATTAATGACTCCCAAGTCTCCGAAAAACTCGGCGGGACTCCACCAAGGAGATTGAACTTGCACACGGCCATACTACTTATTATCGATGCTTGCTATCGTTGATGCATACTGATTGCTCTTGTTGCCCTGATTTCTTGCCCCTGGTTGACCGTCGCCATGGTGTTGCGAGACACCCTGCTGTCGTGGGTATCGGCAGATCCTTTCGTCCCGTTCAAAACCATCACGACCCTAACGGTGATCGTCGTTGCCGTTCTTGCCTTTACCTATCTCATCTTGAATGCTCGAGATGCACCATCACTCCCTCGAGATCAACTCTCTCCGCCTGAGCTGCTCGGGCCGGCCGGGAAAATCACACACACCTTCTTTGACAACCAATTTGATTTTCTGGCCGACGGGTTCCGAACCACTGCATCTGCAGTTTTTCGGTTCCGGCTGTTCCACAATGAAGTCATGGCGGTCTCGGGCGAGGAGGCGCGGCAGACCTTTTTTCGCGAAAAGGCCCTGAATCTATATCAAGGATTTCAGGTGCTGATCGGCACGGTATGACTGCAGCTGGATGTCCGAAAGCATTGTAAAGTAATTCTTTTGCAGATCCCGACTGGTCTCGACCCCCATGCGCTCAGCGGTATCTATAAGCGTTTGAACGTTTTGCAGCGTCCGGATAACCTCCAGTTCCGTAAGTCTTCAGCCTAGGTAAATGGACAATACTGACAGTATGCAGTCCTGCCTCGATTACTGTTGGATTGCCATCGTAAGATGGACTCCTGGGGGAATGAGGGTCTATTGGACCCAACCTCGACCGTACATGATGTATGTCTCCACCTGATATTTCCGACTCTTTGACAGTGTGCTTATGGTTTCAGGTTACTTTTCAAATGATCGTCCGCGCAGTCTCGTCGTTTGACGTTGCCGATAACGCCGCGCTCGTAGCCCGTCTGAAGAAATTCTACGACATCATTGATGCTTCTGTGAAGCCTCTCACCACGAATCTTGCATGGGTGCCTGGGTTTGCCACGTTCCGCAAGGTGTGGGCTTCCATGAATGTCTACCGGATTTTCTCCAAGGCCCTGGAGGAGAGGAAGAGCAGTGGGATAAAGAGAGAGGATGCTTTGCAGCAGCTCTTGGACTCGGGAGAGAGTTCCAAATGTATTGTGGGGGTGAGCGATATTCCCAATTTTCTCTTGGGTATATGCTGATCAGTACCAGTTCATGATGGGACTTCCAATTGCTGGAGCGCGTTCGACCGGAACAATTGGTATGCACTCCACATTTCAGCAACCGTACTCTACTAATCGTTTGCAGGCACCTGGCTCCTCCTCTTCCTTTCTCACGAACACGAATGGCTCGCCGCCGTCCGCAAAGAAATCGAAACCCTGATCTCCACCTACACCACGGACCCATTGCCTACATTCTCCCCGCAATCGATCGTGGACGTTCTCTCCCGCATCCCTCTTTCGGCCTGGGAATCCCAAACGCCCAACCTCGACCTCTGCATCCGCGAGACCCTCCGTCGCGCACAGCCCCACACCGCCGTGCGCAAAAACACCGGCCCCGACATCAAACTCGGCTCCTACACGATCCCCTCCGGATCCTTCGTCCTCTACCCCTTCGCCGACACCTTTTTCGACGCCTCCGTCTACTCCGAGCCCTTCCGATGGAACCCGGCCCGCAGCCTGGCCAAAGAACAACTGTTCCTCGGCTGGGGCGGCGGCACCCACATGTGCAAAGGGCAGCGTCTCGCCAGTCTGACCATGAAACTCGTGGTCGCCTACGCGTGCTTACGCTTCAAGCTGGACCTGGTGAACCACCTCGGCCAACCAATCTCGGAACCGCCGGTTCCCGATATGAACGACTTCCTGACCTGTCAACCGAAGAACGATTGCACGATCAAATTCTCGGAACGACCGGACTGGACCGATTCACGTGCTTGATGACAGTAGCTGGGTGGTTGATTGATTGATTGATTCCTACTTAATTAATGTTCTAGTATATACTACAGTATGGCGATACGGAAACGGAGCGGAATAATACCCTAGTCATGTTTAACTTCAGAGTACTCCGTATAGTTATTAATTGACTGTCTGACATATCTCAGTGAACTTCACTAAAAAGAACTAAAGTAAGAGCACAAACCCTTTTCGGATAAAGCTCGATAAATGGTCTGTGCGGTGGGTCAGATTAGGTACTCCGTACCTCTTTCGCTTTCCTCCGGATGACACGGACCTGCCACTGTGAATGGTTAGTGTTTGCCTAAATTCCGTCCGACTCGACTCGACTCGACTCCTTATGACACCCTCCATTCCTCTCACTTAGTACTTACTCTCCGTAACTCTAAGTCGAACATTAGATCCATCCCCGCCAAGATCCTACACCTCCGCCCTTTTATCTCTCCATCTCCCGAGCGACTACGCCAGCGCAGCACCAGTACCTAGACTAAATAAGTAGATAGCCACTAGCCACTAGCAACACCGCGTTAACTCAATCGACCCTATCCCATCCAACTGATCCCAATTCCTCCGGAACTAATAACTCCGTCGATAGATACAAGATAGATACCTGTCTATATTAGACCACGTATGGTTCGCACTTCGCACCCCAAAGCTAAATAAATTAATGTTTCACTTTCACTCATTGTTCCCCCATCCCCCAATCCCATATATAGTACTCCGTACAATCACATGTCAGATCTTAAACCCCGGAGTCCGATGAGTACATACGGAGTGGATACGGAGGAGATATTTCCGCCCTTCGCCAAGCAGCAAGAATCTAAAAAAGGGTTCGGAAGGATTTTCTTAGTTGGGTGGTTTCGGTTCGGAGGAGGGTGAACTTGTTGCCTGTTTCGAAGTTACTGGGTAGATAGGTAGGAGGACAAAAGTACGTACGGAGGACTTAATTTAGGTCCGTTGTTCCTGATCGAAGGTTATTTTGTGGGGGTTGTTCGGGGGTCGTCGGGGGAGTCCGAAGGTTGGTACGGATAGGGAGGTAGACGCTAGATACTAGATAGATTAACTCCGGAGGAGTTGGTTTTTTTTTTCCGAGGATGCGAGGCGATGGTACCTTAGGGGCTGGGGGTTGGGAGCCCGTACGGACAACGGAGTAAGGTAGATTGTTTGTAGATACGAATGGAGGATTTAGGGTACTACTCCGTGGATATCCGAGTGGTCTTGAGGGATGAGTCGAGGTAGTCGGTTTGCATGTGAATTGTTCTTATCGTTCTTTGTTGGAATGCGTTTATTAGAGCCTTGGTAGGGTTAATAGTGACCTGGACGTCCAGAATCTGGCGTCAACTGCAGCTGCGCAGGGATGATGGATAGGATCGTCTTGGGTTCTTGTCGCGACAAGGATGTAGATTGTGGTACTCCGTACTGTAGGATACATTGACCAAGTTGGGTTCTAGGGTTCTTCTCGCCGAGCAAGTTGACTGATGATGTACGGAATTCTCAATTTGCGCTGAATCCAAGGGCATTTGATACAGGGTATTGCTTGAATCTATGGCTACGGTTAGGAACAAGATGGCCCAGTGAGGGTTTATTGAGCGGTTACTATCTACTGGTTGTATGGTGGTATGTATCTGTGTGGTAGCTCTTGGATTCGAAAAGATATGGAGATAGATAAGGGCTGGAAAGGGAGAGAGAGTGTGTGTGGACAAAGCTGATGCTTATGCAGGAGGTGACTGAATATCAGACTGATGCTCCAGATAGTATTGAGTGAATAGCAGGCATTGTGTGGCCTCGGTCATTACTGTAACAAGGATAACAGTGAGCTGACTTGATGTTGTCAGTGCTAAGGGGCATTTACAGCCAGGAGTATAGCTCAGGACTACAGTGGAGCTGTGGATAATCTCTCCCTGAATCAGAATGTACATCTTGATCAAGCATCTGTCTACTCCGGAACACTCTAGAATCTAGGCAGAGGCACATGGTTGCCAAGTGCCAACTGTTCATCGCTCGACCACGGCTGGTCTCATCGCAGCCCCACCCGCCCCACCGAGGGCCGACTACGAAGACTAGTTGATACCGGTATCGTGACAGCCTGACAGTACCAGGGGCAGGGGGTCGATGACGCGGCCTAGTAATTTTTCTGCAGGGCAACTGCTCTTTGTCCACTCCCACGGTACTGCAGAGGGCTGTTAGTATTCCGTATTATGATTCCAGGGTATCCGTGGAACTGTTCAACAAACTGCAGCCCCTCGCCACATCTGATCGATCCGCTGCTGCTGAGATCCAGTACCAAAATACATAGTACTCCGTACTATCAGAGTGCTTACCCAGGATAAGATCGGCGTTGATTCCACCAGTGGACCCCGATGCGAATGGCTATAGGCAGGACTACTGGCACTAGGGCCATCGGCGTCCTTTTGTCTCATCCTCCATCTCTCATAGGGACTGGCCGTCCCCACCTCACCCTGCCCAGCTGAGTGGTAGTACTAGCCAACTAGCAATCCCTGTACAATTGCTGTTTCTGGTTTATTAATCCCAGTCGGCCATGCACGACTTCCAGCGCGGCCATGGTTCGGCCGAGGACCAGATGGCATTCATCCTTCAATTCCAGTCCAATTCCAGGTGACCATACATATATTAGACTAGTAGCTCGAGATCAATCAGCTCGTCGTCGCCTTGGTCAGTTGACTTGTCCAGGGATTTTGATTATTGATCATTGAGTGTGATCGCAGTTGCAGCACGGCGCCATCCCTCGACCCGCGATGATGAACCTACTGGAGGGCCAGGAGATGGTCTCGAGTGCCTACCAACCATGCTTCAAAGAGGACAGCCAGGTATACTGCCCTCTTCCATGGCCCCGTGACGACCTTCTGACGATTCACCAGCAGGTGAATCCGGACCAAACGCTGGTGCCCCTAGGTGCAACAATTATTCCGGAGCACTATCCCCCGAGCTACCAGTCGAAAACCCCATCATTGTCAATCTCTCCATCGTCACCTTCAGCCGTCTCGGAACTGTGCGAATCTGCAGCTCCAAATCCAGCCGACAGCGATTATCTTTGCGCCCGCGAGTCTGACGCCTGCACTCTCTGCCCAGATGACCTGAAGCTCTTGGCAAATTGGTGTTCCACCACTTGTCGATCCCTCACTCCAGATGGCAAAAACGTCTCCTTCTGGAGAAGCGTCATTGTCCGAGACGCAATGTACGATTCCGCATTGCGACAGAGCATGCTTGCCTTGTCAGCCCTTCACTTAGCCCACCGCAGTGACGACGACAGCCTGCAGCGACACGACTTCCAGAGTGCGGCATACCAGCATTGGGCCCTAGCGCGCGCTGGCCTGGACGACGCCCTCTGCCAGCATGCCTTGGACCTTCCCGAAAGCTGCCACCCAATGTTTGCGCTTTGCAGCATCTTGGTGGTCCTCGCCTTTGGACATACACGACTGCAATCATCGATATCACCCCCATCCGCTCTGGATGACCTGTGCCAGATCTTTCAACAGATCCGGGGGTCGCCAGAAGTTCTGATTGTCCTTATCGATCGAGTTCGAGAGGGAGAGATGGCCTCGCTAGTCAGCCAGGACGAATCCGGGCCACCGATGCCCAACACATCCGCATTGGCCATCCACACCCTGAGACAGCTCAATGCGGAGCACGAAGATGAAGATCCGGAATTGCACGCGATATACGCTCAAGCCATCGACGACCTGGTATGCTGCTTGCGCTATGTGGCATGGGGCAGCAATCCCGGAATGGTTGGCCTTTCGTGGATTCTGGAGATCCCTGAAGAGTTTTTAGATCTGGTTGTCGAGCGCCAGCCATTGGCGTTGAGCATCCTGGCGCATTACTGCGTGGTGTTGTACCACCTGCGGAAACAGTGGTGGATGGGCAACCGAGGCATTCAGGCCCTGCAAGAAATCTGCGAAACCCTGGGACGCGACCGGATATCCACCATTCATTGGGCGTTGGATTCGACGGGAATTAGCCTCACCGGAGATTTTATTTGATCTAGATGCATTGTTGAGATGTCTATGATCTGCTCGCACTTGCAGTACGCCATTCCAGTCAGTTAGTCAGTCAGCCACTTGGCTCATTATTGGACTGGTTCTGCTTGACAATGACTCCGGCCGACAGTCTGTTCATCCCGTCACGACAGGTGAACCATGGCCTCGCGTGCCTCAGACACTTGGGTGACTGCGACCGCTCTTTACCGATCGAGGGCTTCCCCTCAGGGCAGCCTAGTCATCTAGATGATCATCATCCTCGATCGACACGGGATCTCCACCGACTGCAAATCATACGGTCTCTACTCAAAGGGAGCCGAAGCAGGATGAAGGTGCCAGAGACCTCCAACGCCAGTGTCCGTGCCTTCCTGATATATATCCTACAACTGATATTTCGTGCCCGGGTCTCGCAACATCCGAGATCCGCCTCGTCAGAGATCGTACGGAAACCGGTAAAATTACCGCGGAGTCAAGCTCGGCCGGCTTACGGAAAAGAAAAGGAAGGAAGGACTGCCGGGCCGGGAGTCTTGCAAATTGGGACTGGGGATGGATGGATGTGAATGAGTTGGGGATCAGTCTAGACACTCCTGTCTATCTATATACCTCTTACATCACCCACAGATAGATCAAGGCTAGGCTATTGCAAGAACTGGCGATGGGATCCATCTGCGCCGGGTTTTTCTAAGCCCTGTCACTGACCCACGTCTTTTCACTCTCATTGTGATCTGCATGATTCCAATGTCACCCTTCTTTCAGTTTATATCCACCCAACTAGTGTCACTCCCCGAATGCTATTAATCCATATCATATACCCCCCTCAACAAGTCGCACGAAAGTTATGACTGCCTTGGATGACCGCCAGGCTCTGTCTCTCTTGCCATGGCCATGTCATAGACCCTGCTTAGAGATCTATGATACAATAGTTCCAACATCGTACGCCAACGTCTATCACAGTATGAATCGGAAGTTGACCTCCAGTTCCAGTCCAGCTCAAGATGGCTTGACTACATCTGTGTGGCCTCATCAGGTATTTCCTAGGTGATGAGAGATTCTCCTCGTGGGTTCAAGCCAGCCGTCCAGTGGCAGCTTCTCGACGCCTTCTATCATTGAGAATTCAGTCCGACTCTGAATGGAGGTCTACCGGATCCGATCAAGCGGCCATTCAGGGTGTTATTACCGTCGTTTTCATACCTCTGACCATAGTGTCCATGTCCTGTGACCATTGGAGGCTAAATTGAGTACAACTTATGTGACGAGGAGACCGACATTATCTCAATGCAAAGTCTTAATATGTGGGATACACTTTACACAGCAGTCGCTACGTTCAGAACGGAGATTCCGCAGGCAACGCATTTATGAAGGGTGCATCCATCTATAGCGCCTTCTATTCCATAACACCATCTTCTGGGAGTGGTGTCCTGCAAAGGCAGTCATCTCCTAAATCATTAATAGCCCTCCAGTGGCTCCTGGAACGGCTGTTTCGTCTGCCCACTTCTACTCGTGTCGGTACGTCGATCTAAACGCTGGTTATGGGCGCCTGCAGCTTTGATTCCATGATAATCCACCAGCGCGGCTACGTTGTGACAGAACTAGCGCATGCGACCTTAGATCCCGGCATTCATTGCTAGCAAGGCCTTTGTGCGCTTCCAATGAGGATTTTCTTTCTCCATCGCACCATTCTGCCCTTGAGGGGCCTGTGGGATGAGCTTCGAACGGCTACAATTTCGATCGCTGGCAGTGGCCTCATGAAATGGTGGCATCACATTGCGTTTAATGTAAGATCCTAGATCTCTTGTGGCCAGTCTCCGCCAATGATTGGGTGAACGACTCAGCCTTTCATTCAAGGACACCCGCCGATCGCTCTGCATTAAGCATCAATAATCCCACCAAACTAGCCATTCACCTGCCAGAAATCCAACGACAGTACGTATGCATTCTCATGCCATTAGTCACACCCTGCAGCCCAGGGTCTATCACGGGATGCCTTACCCAGTGAAGCAGGGAACTGGCCGATCATTATCTTATGGGGTCGTGCGACATTAGGTTATCTGATCCGCTGCCTGCCATTCCCGCCAGTAGCATGCCGCATTCCATGTGTCGATTCACTTGATCGACATCGGGAAGCGCGCTTAAGTGAAAGCACGCGGTCAGTGTCCGTGTTCAGCCGCGTGCTTGCAGCTCCGATGCTCGCAGTGATGGTCCTCATAATCCCCTGTGTGTGTGCTGCACATTCTGCTCAGATTTTACCACGTTATCTGTCTCTACGGCTTGAATCCTTTGCTGCACACCGTCATGGGAATTATCGACTCCACGCGTGGCCGCAAGGACGCCCAACTGGCGCAGAACGTGGCTGGGGCAGATTTTCGAGACTTCAAATACGAAGTGCCAGTGTCTGCGAATAACAACCACCCGGATGAGATCTGTCTGGAGGCCTTGGGAAACAAAGGCCCACAGTCGGATACTGTGATTACTCAAGATGCGCCGCGGGGTGTACAGCAGGCAGAGGCGGCAGCTTTGGCTTGGAGTAGGAAGACGGCCTATCTGACCTATGCTTTGTGAGTTCTCTGCGTCTTATATTTATTCACTGACTGACTTGTCAGGATCTGGCTCTGCTTCTTCATGTTGGCCCTGCAGTCGTCGATCAGCACCAATGTCATCCAAAACGCGTATGCATCTTTTGAGGCAGCACCTCAAGTCAGCACCGCGGGTATCGCAGCCAGTGTGATCAGCGGGGTGGTCAGACTGCCAACAGCAAAACTGTTGAATATATGGGGACGAACTGAAGGATTCCTGGTGTTTCTCGGAGTGTACCTGCTTGGACTTGTCATTCTCGCAGCATGCAACAATCCCAGTTCGTATGCTGCCGGCTATGTACTGTATTGGGTTGGCTACGACGCAGTCTATCTTATCCTTGACGTCTTCATGGCCGACACCTCCGGACTACGCAACCGGGCATTCGCATTTGGCTTCGCCAGCACTCCGTTTATTTGCACGGCATTCGCCGGGCCTCTAGCAGCAGAGTCATTCCTCAAAAGAGCCTCGTGGCGCTGGGCATACGGCGTCTTTGCGATCGTCATGCCATTCGTCTTTCTCCCACTCGCCGTGATATTCAAATACTACCAGCGCAAGGCGGAAAACATGTACATCTACGGCCGGGAATCAAGTGGCCGTAGCGTGCTCGAATCAGTCATCCACTACTTTCACGAATTCGACGGTAGCCCCTCCCCCCCCCCCCTTTCTCCCTGTCAGCAATCCAGCTAAAGCTACCCAGTGATCGGTGCATTCCTCCTAACCTCCGCCTTCCTCCTCCTTCTCCTCCCTTTCAGCCTCGCTTCGTACGGCCGCGCCGACTACTCTAGCGCGGCATTTATCTCCATGATCGTCATCGGCGTCGCAACCTTCATCCTCTTCGGCCTCTGGGAACGCCACCTCGCCCGCAATCACTTCATCCAATGGCGCGTCTTCAAACACCCTACCGTCGTCGGTGCTTGCGGCCTCGCCGCCTGCCTCTTCTTCAGCTACTACACGTGGGAACTCTACTTTTACAACTTCTGCGTCATCGTCTACCGCCTCAGCATCAGCATGACCGGATACATGGGACAGATCTACAACGTGGGGTCATGTTTCTGGTCGGCTATTTTCGGAATCACCGTCTACGTCACCAAACAATTCAAGTACACCTGTCTTGGCTTCGGTCTTCCTCTCATCCTTCTAGGTGCGGGACTAATGATCCATTTTCGCTCCGCGGGGGGGAATATCGGATACGTCGTCATGTGTCAGATCTTTATTGCCTTCGGGGGCGGGACTCTCGTCATTGGAGAGGATATGGCCGTCATGGCAGCCTCCGATCGCGAAGGGGTACCGATGATGTTATCCCTCATCGGGCTGTTCTCGAGTCTCGGGGGAGCGTTGGGGTATGCGGCTTCGGCGGCCATCTTTACGAATACGTTCCCTGGAGCGTTGACGGATGCGTTGCCGGAGGGGAAGAAAGATTTAGCGAATGCCATCTACACCGGCGGGTATGTCAAGCAATTAGAGTATCCGGTCGGATCGGCGGTCCGAGACGCGATTGATCTAGCGTATGGCGAGTATATGAAGTATGCGTGTGTGGCGGCGGTAGCGGCCATGGCGTTGGGGATTCCGTGTGTGGCGATGTGGAGGAATTTCAAGCTAGATCGGCCGCAGAATAAGGGGGAGATGATTTGAGCCGCCGATGTCCTGAGGTACTCTGCAATGACTAGCTAGTTGAAATTCGTCGTGTGCGCTGTGCAGCGATCATTTTAGCAGTGCTCGTATGATATTCTCCGACATCGCTAGATTATCAATCTTATCACCGACAGATCGGCAAGGCAGCGGCCCACTTGAGTCATTTTCCCTGCCACTGGCATTTAGCAAATGGTCTGCCCCATCAGTTCTCCGTAGTGGGTCTAGCGTGATTGCTGATCGTGCAATGGGTGCTGTTATGCCAAGCCAAGGCTGAGTGATCCCACTCGGTTCGGAGAGGATTGCCTGAAGTGTGATTACTCTGCGGATACTCCGTCCTGACTCGAAGTTAACAATTGGAATGGTGAGTTTATCGGCGCTATGCTACTCCGAGATGGGGAGTTCCGTGAGTTCATGTAAGTGCAGTGACATCTGGGGTTCGTTCCTGTGAATGCTCAGACTTATCACAGCTATACCTATACCTACACCTACCCTACATCTACTCACATGGTTCCAACAGCATGCACACGACTAACAACAACAACCAAGCCAAAAGCAAAATTAAACACAATGTCCCAATCCCACTCCCAGCACACACGAAAACGGTCTACCATGCCCATCAACACAACACCTACAACACCCCCTTCCCTATTCCTCGACCACGAAAATGAAGTCATGTACCACACAACCACTACCACCAACGCCACCAACACCTCCACCTCCAACATCAAACACGCCACTCTCCCCACCCTAACCACCCACCTCACCCACCCCTCCCTCTCCAGCAGCTCCCTCGACCCCCTCTTCACCGAAACCTTCCTCCTAACCTACCCAACCTTCACCACCGCCCACGAACTGTCCGACCTTCTCATCCAGCATCTACACCTCACCCCACCACCTACTCTCTCAGGAGGAGAATTGCACCGCTGGACCGAACAAATCCAAACCCCGATTCGCGTTCGCACGATCAATGTCCTCATCCTCTGGATTGAGAAGTATTGGATGGAGGAGGGCGAATGTAGTCTGGATCTTCTTCGATATATTCATACTGAGCTGAGGGGGCTTGTTGAATATGTACCGACAGCGACAACGTTATTGACGATAATCGAGGAGCGGATCAAAGGAACCGGACCGGGGAGACTGAGTACGCCGCCTACCACCGCTACGATATCGACATCGACATCGAAGAATCGGAAAAAGATCAAATTACTAGACCTGGACGAGATGGAATTCGCGAGACAACTTACGCTTCTGGAATCTGGTCTATATGCGGGCATACGGCCGGGGGAATGTTTAGATAAAGCCTGGCAGAGAAAGAGTGCTGCTCGACGGGGGAGTACAGCTACGGGAAGCAGTGCAAATACCAGCACCAATACTAGCACAGACAGAGACGAAAGCGGAATCAAGGCCATCATCAACCACTCGAACCACCTCTCCCGATGGATCGTGGAGATGATATTAGGGCAAAAGGAAATGAGGAAGCGCGTCGCGGTGGTGAAGTTCTTTATTGGGGTCGCGGATGTATGTTCTCTTCCTCTACCCTTTCCCCATACCTTCCCCAGATATAATGAAGTATAAGATCGTCATATGATATCAGTAACAGGACAAGAAACGTAAACTAATTCGGTATGATGTATAGAAATGTAAGATACTGCAGAACTACGCCACCACCACAACCATCATCTCCGCACTCGGTACAACGCCGATTTACCGTCTTCAGCGGACGTGGAGTCATTTACCCCCTCGTTACCGGACCTTACTGGCAGATATGCAATCTCTGATGTCAAGTGAGAGGAACTTTGCCAAGTATCGGGATACATTACGGGGGGCGAGTTTACCTTGTATACCTTTTCTCGGTATGTATGACCCCCATCTCTTTAATCTGATTGCGTAGTGTTAGGTGGTGGTAATTTACTGAAATCATATCGATCAACTTTCACTAATATGGTGAGATATTGGTAGGTGTATACCTAACAGACCTAACCTTCCTCACCGACGGAATGCCCGACTTCGCTCCTATGGGGCCAACACCAAATCATAACCATAACCATACCCCAGACTCTGTGCCAGATCCACTCCCACCCCCAGCCCCAGCCGAACAGACAACGAGTACACAAACAAAACTGATAAACTTCCACAAACGAAGCAAACTTGCCAACGTCATACGCGAGATCCGACGATTCCAGCATACACACTATACTTTTGTTCCGGTGGGTGAGGTACAGGAATTGATTGTTCGGGGGGTACAGTCTGTGAAGAGGAGTATTGTGAAGGAGGGGGGTGAGGATGGGGATGGGGATGGGGAGAGGATGTATGAGTGGAGTTTGAAGGTTGAGCCGAGGTTGGTAGTTGAGGAGAGGGGCGGGATGGGAATGAGTATGGGAATGGGTAGGGGTGAACGTGGGGGAGGCCATATGGCGACGGGGAGTCATATGAGTTCGGTGGTGATTGCTAGTTTGGCGTTGCGGTGATGCGGGGGTTTTTCTCTTGAGATGATTATGGGTGGGATTAGGGTGATATCCGGTCGGTGTTGGTATGGTGAATTATCTTTCTGGTTAAGGTGTTTGTTTTAATTCTATTAATTGACCAATATGAAATACTTTGGTAGAGATAGAGGTAGAGGCAGTTCTTGTATATCCAACTCTTCCTCTAACCTCTCGACACCAGTATGTCCATAACACAACACCATAACCACTATCCACATCCAATCCATCATTCAACATAAACAGTAGCAGTATACTCCACTCATGACACGGGTATCTAACAACAGGCCCCTATACTCCATAATAAACAGCAAACAGCAAAGCACAATCAAACGCAACGAGCAAACAATCAGCAAGAAACGCATCTACCTAGGACCATTAGTCAACGACTGCCGCCCTCTCGCCTTTTCAATCGCACAGTGTCCCAGTCTCGTCAACTCGGCCACGAAATTCGTCACCATTTTCATATGCGCGAGTTCGTTCTCCGCCGTCCTTCTCCGCCGAACATCCTTGACTAGCGCCGGTACCACAGTCAATAGAGCTAGATCGTCTTCGACGCATGGATCCAACGGATCAATCAGAATGCTGCAGAAGATGGTGAGGATGGCGGACATTGGGTAGAATATTATCATCCTGTTACTGTTAGTATACCTGTAAATGGGAGATGGGGCCAGGAGGAGGTACCAGAATGCTTCCGGACGAACAGAGCCAATCACCGAACGGAGATAATGTAATGAGGACCGACTCGCCTCCACTGCTAACAGCATGCTCGAACTCACGCCCTCCATCATGCCGTTCTGGGTATTTCCCCACGCTTGACATCTTCCGCTCGCGCGATGGATCGTACACATCATGTAATGATATTCCAACCGGATGACAATCGCTTGCATTGGCAACACCGGCACGGTTTGTTGCTCGTAGGACGGTCCCAAGGTCGGTCGGTGGGCCGGGGGAACAGACATGCGCCATTGCTCCAGCTCGTCGTCCAGCTCGCGGATGTCTTGCAGCAATTGGGCATCGGATTTGTGTAACGCTTTGGCGGAGTACAAGGTCCGATAGGTCTTTGACTTGAGCATTGTGAGGCGTAAATCACCCGGGAAGATGGGAATCGTCATATCCTCGTAAAGTGTCACGTTGTGCTGTTTAGTCGGATACTGCAGCTCGGTATAGTTCGGTGGGAGACTCAAATCGCAGTGTTCGTCGTCAATGACCGGCGGTTGACCCGATCGGAAACACAACTCCTTGTCAAAGCCGTAGCACAGCCAGAACATACGCCGGAGCATCCGCTGATATCGCCATGCGCGGTCTTCTGGCCCCGATGCGTCCCGTGGTCGGCAGACGTCTTTCGTCTCTCCCCCCAGCATGAACATGACCCGACATGCCATGGAGTGGAATTGATTGGCGAGTTGAAGTTCCCCGGTGAACGTGCGGTACATGGTCTGATTATGAGCAAGTTGACTGTTATGCTTTCGGAATACTCACCTGCATGACGAAATTCTGGAGCGTAGGCAAACTGACGTCGTGCAGCATATACGGGAGGAGATGCTGCGCCTTGGCCGCATACACAGCAGAGTCGACGTGCGGCAAATGAGGCGAAGGATCAAGTTCAGCAATGAAGGCCAGAAACGCCAACACACACGCCCTAGCACTCGTAATCCCAACAGGAAGCGCCCCCTGACACGGCTGATACGCTAAATCAACCGTGTCCCGGAACAACACCTCATCCACCACCGGAAAGACCAAGCATTCAAAGGACGTAAAGAAGTGGCGCACGTACTGTTCCACCAACGTCCGGTCTGGAAGGTCTGGTGTCACCGGGATGTACCCGTTCTGCGGGGGTGGAGTCAGATGTGGAACATGGTTCTGCGACTTGTGTGACCAGACATCCTCAAAGGTGCCCGACTCTCCGGTGCAGGATCGCACCCACTCGTATCCGTCATGGGAAAAGCAGGGGATCCCGGAATAAGTACGAACATCACACACATAGTGCCCAGCAAAATGGATCTGGCCGAAGCACAAGCCACTACTGGGATGGGGTTCAGGGCCTAGACCGGGACACTCGATGTCGAGATGACCCTTGTCCAACAAGGAGAGACAATTTTTCGGATGCTCATTGGTGGAGATGGACCGGGTCAGAAGCTGTTCCAGCTTGCGCACCCGGTCTTCCAGATCTTCTGTCGGGGGCTGAGGGGGCTCCTTCGGGGGTCTGGCTGGTTAGTGGGAGCGGGTGAGACAACTGGCCGACTCCGTACCTTGGATCAGGCTGACTGGTCTTCTTGCGCTTCCCGCCGATGGGTCTCTCAAAGGTGCACTCCAGATTATGATGGCGACACCAATTGCAGGGAACGGACGAGTCACATTGGATCTGCAGCAGTTAACCGGGACCCCTTTTCCAAACGGACCGGGCCGGACAAATACCTTCCTGCGATGGCACGAGTCACAGGCGCGGGCGGTGCGGCGCAAGGGCACGTAGCGGTCCCTCTCGGGGGTAGGGCTGGCCTGGATGCGACCCTGCATGGTATGGGGCCAATCGGATGGACTGTCGAGGCTAGCTCAGGACAACTAACAATGTGTGGTATCCCCGAGACTTTGAGTCTTGAGGTTCGCATCGCGCCACCGCCGGCTTCGGAGTGCCGCTTAGTCATGCCGATGACTAATGCCTTCATCCTCTTCTTGATTACTCCCAGTCAGGCTCAATACCTAGTGCGACAAGACGAGACGATATTCTTTCTATAGTACAGAGTATCTCCTTCACTTGACCAGTGGCTAATCCAGGAGCAAATGCGGTGTCGGCTCCGACCGGAGATGCTGTATCCACCAGTCAGTCCCCGCCCACAGGAATCCGGATAGTGCGAGCGATCTCATTGCGGGTAATAACTTACTCCGAACTCCGCCGATGTCTCAGTTGGCAAACTTGGTAGCAGTGGGCCTGGCTGTCCATACTCTATTTTTATTCGGAGAAATAGTATAGATCAGTTGAGACTGAGACAAATATACGGAGTATATTGCACTTTGATATACCACTCAGGTATCAGATCAACTTTGGTAATGCGGGGGCGGGGAAAACTCAATTATCATACAGAGTAGTTCGGGCTGTCATCTAGTCTTCTATACAATTCCCTACAGCTACGATTCAAGTAGACTATTCCGAATGGGTAGATACCCCGGAGAATATCCATAGCTATCCTTCAGCGGTACTCCGTATTATCATCAACATAAGCACTAACCCACCCACCAATGACAATCCGCGGTGAGCATTCCGACCCCTCACATGACCGCCTCGATCTAACACCAAACAACCCCTCAGCTCTCACACCTAAACACCCTCCACCTAATACCCCCATCAATCACCCCCCTCATCCCCTACCACCGCTACCACCCACCGAACCGAACCAAACAAAAAACAAAATGCCCCGCCCCCGCATCGCCTGCTTTCACGGCGGCGGTTCCAAAGCCGCCATCTACGAGATCCAATGCGCCCGGCTGGCGAACCTCCTTTCCACCGAATTCCAACTCGTCTTCTTCGACGGCCCTTACACGCGCGACGCCGGCCCTGGTGTCCTCCCCGCCTTCAGCGGCTACGAGCCCTACAAATCATGGTTCACGACCGACAACACCGGCACCGAGCTACCCGATGGCAGCGGGTACGATGCGTCCGGCCGGGATGGCATCGAACGGGTGTGGAAACTCATGGCGGAACATGATTGGGCGTCGGATGAGGCGGTTGGGCCGTGGGTCGGCGCAATGGGGTTTAGTCAGGGGACCAGGGTGGTGGGGGGGTTGTTGTTGGATCAGCAGAGACGGGAAAAGAATGGGTGGGAGGGGAGGGGGGGAGAGGGGATACGGCTGAGGTTTGGGGTTTGTTGTATGGGGGCGGGGAGGCCGATGGAGTCGGAGGTTGGGAAGCGTATGTTATCCCTTCTTCTTCTTCTTCCTCTTCTTCTTCTTTCGTTGTTTTGGGGTTGTTATGATGGATAATGGGCTAACAGATCTAGACTTCGACGTTGGAACGGACCTCGTCAGTGTGCCTACGTTGCACGTCCACGGTCTCAAGGACTGGGTGTTGCCGCTTAGTCGACAGCAGTACGCGACATACTATGACCCCAAGGCGAAGCGGCTATACGAGGTGGACTATCATCATGCCATGCCGTGGGTGAAGGAGGAGGTCGAGCAGCTGGCGCAGCACATCCGACAGATCTACAAGGAGACTCTTTAGACTACACGGGTAGGATATGACGATGGGGACGGTTCAACACGATCATGAGGATACCCTGATTATAGACTATAGAGAATGACTGTTTGTCAAGTAATGCAGCCTAAAACCCTGATTCAGAAGAAGAGAGAAAAATACCCTAATAATACAGACCTCCCACCAACACCATCCTCCCCATCCCACCCAACTCCCCGAAAACAAGGAGGAGAGGATCACTCACTCCAACATAAACCCCTCCACCCCCTCCCCCACCTCCATCCCCCTCACCACCGCCCTCCGATACCCCTCCTCGCCTTGCAACCTCTCCAAATACCCATTCAACAACGGATACTCCTCGCGCGGCACAATCCCCAACCCCAACACCATCGCCAACGGAATACTCAACTGAATATCCGCCGTCGTCAGATTCTTCCCACAAATATACGGCCCACCCCCAGGCGCCGTGGCCAGTTGCTCCTCCAAGAACCCGAAATGCGTGCGGAATTCCCCGTCCAGGAATTCGTCGTTGACTTTCGACGTGATCATGTTGGTGATGGGTCGGATGAAGAATGGGAGGGGGGCGGTTTTCATCGCTACACTCATCATTAGTATCCTTCAAATGCCCATGGGTAAAAAGAATGGGGGAGAAGGGGAGAGGGAAAGGGATCTTCTCACCATCAAAAACCAACCTCACCTGCAGCGTACTCATCAAACTCCCCTCCACGTAACTATCGAAATACCTCCATCGCATCCACTCCTCGCTCTCACCGCCCAGTTGGCCCTCTTTCCCCTCCACCCATTGCTTCGGGACTAATGTATTTTTTTTCTCTGCGTCCGCGAAATGCTCCACTAGATACGCCATAATCGGACTCGTCTCCGCGAGCACGATAGGCTTGCTATCCGGGTCGGAAGGTTGAATGGATATGGATGGGGACTTTCCTAGTGGATGGATGGCTTTGAGTTCCGGTGGGGCGGTCCCGTTCGGGTTGCGTTTGAAGGGTTGGATGCTGTATGTGAGGGAGAGTTCTTCGAGGAGCCAGGCGATGCGTTGCGCGCGGGAGCGTTCGAGCCTGTGATGGTTTTTGTTAGGTTTAGGGGGTTATGTGGAGGGAAAGGGTGTGGGGGAGGGGGGGGTACCAGTTGAGAACGATTGTGGCGCCGCGGTTTGCAGACATTTCGATCGTTATTTCTATCTTCGTTGTTCAATCTAGAATTGATGAGAAGGGACTGAGTTGATGGTATGATATGTTGTGAATGATGCTGAGGGTAGTAGACGTGGGCAGTTACTACTTATACTCTATCGTTGGTGACACAAACGGAGTAAATCGGGATTCCTCGTATTACATCCTACAGCGCCTACCTAACTCTACCGTAACGTGCGAATATTTCCGACATTATACGGCATCATGACGATGCTTACGCCGTGTCCTTCAAAAGGTCTTTCTTGATCGGACATGGCCGGCCCGGGAAAGTCAGCACTAGGATCGATTCCGGGCTCGGGATAGGTTCGTATCGCCGATGATGATCAGCTGATAAGGGTTTGATTGTGGGGGTGAGAGTGTGAATGAGTCATTTGGAATTGGGTTTACTGATGTCATTGTCTTCAGGGGATTGTTTAATTTTTAGTCGTACTACGGAGGATGTAGGATGTGATAGTTTAACTTGGGAGGATATATTTGGTGTGCTAAAAATAGCCCTGAGTTTTCATGGAGAGATCATCACCGGTATAATGATCAACCGTGATATCTTAATGCAACCCCGTTGCAATCATCAACAACGTTTAAGTTATGGAATGCAGAGAAGACGCGTAGTTCGATTATAACATGGGGGCGATCAGAGCGCTGGTCAGTTCACTTGGCAGGTTAAGCTTATCCTGGAGTGCAGTATTGTCGGAATGTATATAAGAGGGTGAATCTAGATCTGTCTGGGACAGTCGGGTGTGGTAGCTATATTTATATAGCTGAGACTTTGGTTCCGTCGAATGACTTGTTGTCAGCCACAATTGGCTGAGGGTGTATATATGCTGCAGGAGGGACGGCGAGGAAGATTGGTGTCTTTCCACACTAAATGCCCCGGCAGTAAGTAGGGTAACTTCGACTTTGCAGACCCTAGCTGTCTTGATGGTAATTGACAACTATGTATATCCGCTGTCTGCAGCCAATGTATGAATAGCCCTCGTCAGTATGCTCGTGCACCCAGTCAGACTTGAGTAATAATGCAGCAATGAGTTCTGTGCGATAGATAAAGAAGACCAGCGCCGGTGCTTGAGCGACTATTCTAGCACTCCTGAAGCTGTACACAAAATCTATACTGTTTGTTAGGCCGTTGACAGGTGAGTCTATATTTGTTGCGGAACCTGACGAGTATAAAAATAGATCATCGGGGGTGTTGGTGCAAGTAGCCAATCAAGCAATCTGTAAAAACAACGGTTTGATAGGATGGCAGAATATTCTCCCGCTTATCGAATCATCAGACTGAAACACTCCGGGCAGCAATCTGACATCATCCAACCAGCCTTCGGTACTACATAAGCGCTAGGATGTTTCATGTGGTCGGCTGACGTATCTCACATGGGCTTGACACTGAATTAAGAGATGCACATATGCATGCTAAGAATCTATAGTCTGGATGAACTGAGTGCGGGGACAAATGAGCGAATACAAGATAAGACACGGAGGGTATCAGAGCAATCCAGCCAGTAGAGCCGCGGCCAGAATCGCCATCAATGACCCAGAGGTCGAGAGACCAGTCGCACCGCTGCTGGATGTAGACGTGGAGGTCGAGCTCGAGCTCGAACTAGAGGTACCCGTTGAGCTCGATCCTGAGCTACTCGAGTTCGAGTTGGTTGACTTGGACGACGTGAGGTTGTAAGCGTGGATACTCGTGTAGTCGCCCGTCTTATCCGTGTAGTTGTAGTACTCGGCCGGGTTGTAGTTGATGACCTTGACCGACTCCAAGTACATGATGAAAGGACCGTCATCGTAGTCGGTCTCACCACCGGCCCATTCAATCGTTCCCGCGGAGTTATCGGGATCACCACCCGCCCAGATGCCAACACGGATCGTCATCGGAGTCTGAGGGTAGTTCTTGCCATCGACAGCATCGGCATATTCCAGGGTACGGACAACAACGCCATCACGGATCCATTCCGTCTTGCTGGCTGTCCAGTTCACTCCATAAGTGTGGTAGGTCTCCTCGGGGGTGGTGACGTTCACAGTGGTGGCCCGATCGTAGGAGGTGGTATTGCCTTTGCCGAAGTAGTTGGTCTGAATTTCATCGTCATAGGTACTGACTTGTTCCTGTGGGGGTCAGCACGATAGTCAAATCTAGGCACGAGAGACAAACCCAGTCAATCTCATCCAGGTCATTGGATTCGAGCACACTGGTACTGATGATACCGGTTCCGTTGGCCGCACGGAAGGTGACCTCGACGTAGCCGAAGAAGATATAGAAATTCGATTCGATGGTTGGGGCATCGCCCTGCTCACTGATCTTGAATTCGGCACCCTTCGAGGTGCTGTTCACGGTGCCGGCGGTCGTATTCCACCTGTCAAAGGCTGACTCCCCCACGGTGAAATTAGTGCTGAAGGACCACTGGTTCAGGCCTTTGTCAGCGGGACAAGTTTCTACGAGAATTAGCAGCGATCAGCAAACCTGATGCATCACATACTGTTCAACGGGTTGCAGCTGCTGTAGGTCTGAGCTGCGCAGAGGGGCACTGCAGCGAGGGCAGTGACTGCCCACTGCATGTAAGACTTCATGGCTAAACGATAACGAGCGACGAACGACGAAGTGAACAAGATAGAAACAACGCAAATTGCCAGATGTAGAACGAGAGTACAGCTGATTATAGATTGGGATGGGAGTAAATGTAACCACCGTTGACTCAGGGGCGCACAAGGCAGCAATATACAGGTTGGCTATAAATTCTTCCTCAGCCCACTGACGGGCGAAGGATGCCTGTGTTTGGGCCGCGTCAACATCTCATTGGAGAAGGCAGTGGAGCTGTTGGTCCGGATGACGGGGTGTTGACTAGCGGTTGGTCATGATGCACGCATACGCAGGAGGGATGGGGCGATGCGTTGCCACAAAGCTTGACGGGTTGTCGGCTTGCGCGTCCGCCCAGAGAACGGTTCCTGAATGCTTATCCGGGACAGACACCTTGCCCGAACGGGGAAAGTGTTGTCGTGGCCAGTGGGTGCAAACGCATGCAAGCGCCATGGTAGCCCGATACAGCCACGGTGAGCATCCAGAGGTTTGATATGATGGTATTCAGCAGCGGACGGATGGTTCATCGACCGTGACGAGCCATGTTGATGGCACACTGGCATTTGAGAGTCGATTGTTGAGCGGGAGGATCCGAGCGCAATGAGAATGGCAAACCAATAGGATCGACTCCGTGCCGATCTCCGCTGCGAATCCGTTGAACCAATAGCAGGTCCGCTGAAAGGAACGGCGGGTCTTGACGAAGATTTCTTCGCGCCATCTCCGCTCGATTTCTGTGTTGAGAGCAACCCCGGAGCAGTCTGAAGATGGTACGGAGTACACAGCCCGTACATTGAAGCTCCGAACCGCTGTCGCAAATAGATCGGGGCAAATTGATCTTCATCTTGTCCGATTAGCGTGGTTTATTGATAAGCCTGCACGGGTCCGAGTCAGGGATGGTTCTTTCGTGGTAACTGCCAAACTCACCTCTGCTTGGCACTGACTAGGCTCCGTGGAAGCCTCAAGGGACGTCGTTCTCCATTCGTGACTGGTAGACGACCAGTTAGGGCACCACTTTCCAATTGTATTGACCGACGGTGCTCATGACCGACCATGGTGGTTCGATGATCTCGTGAGGAGAGGAGAGGAGAGGAGAGGAGGTGCCGGGAAGGAAAGGGTCGGATCACCTGACGTGCAAACATTCCGAGGCTCTTTCACAGCCCACAGGTACTGAGTGGTGTGGTATTGCTTATTGAGGAAAGGTATGGATGGTAAGACTACCAAGGTATGGGATAGAGCACCACGAAATGTATTGATCTATACTCTATAAGGATGTGGCCCAGCCATGTACCAAGACTTTTGTATTAACGTGATCTCACATGTCCTGAAGGTGTTGCAATCTCATCAAATCCAAGCAACCGATAGCTTCCTCGACAATAAATTATGAATATGTCCGGTGCAGCGCCACGTCCTGACCTGTCACCCTGGGACGGCTCGCGTCTCCGCTGAACGTGTGTCCCCAGACCCTCAATGCTCGCCCTGCCCGGCCGATGCAAACGGAGTCGACATGCGGGTGATGGCCAGACCTGCCCAGGAAAACAGAAAAACCCAGACGGTTTGCACCGCCAACAGAACCCTTCTCACCAAAACTCCAGCCAGGTCCTCACCCAAACAAATCTATTGCTTTCTTCCAATGCTCCGTTGGCCCTGGTTGACGGCCTTGGTCACCTCCTCCAAGCAGCCGGCGGCAGCGGCAAAGAAACCCAGGAAGGCTCGGCTCGGGCTCAGCACCCGACTGAGGTACTCGGGGTGGAACTGCACACCAACGAACCAGGGGTGGTCCTTGATCTCGACAATCTCCATCCGCTCGCCCTTGACATCCTTGCCGATGAACGAGAGACCGGCCTTCTCGATTTCTTCAATCATAGCGGGGTTGACCTCGTACCGGTGGCGATGGCGCTCCTCAATCTGCGACACAGATCCGTAGAGAGCCCGCAGGCGGGACCACTCGGTGTTGTCCTGGAAGATGCAGGGGTGCTTGCCAAGGCGCATGGTACCGCCGAGCTTGCCCTTGTCCACCTCGGGCATGTAGACAATGGCGTGGTTCTCGGCCTTGGGGTGCAGCTCTTCGCTGCCAACATCCTTGATACCAGCCACGTTCCGGCAGAACTCCAGCACGGCCAGTTGCATACCGAGACAGACGCCCAGAAAGGGCTTGTTGTTGGTACGCGCCCAGGTAATAGCCTTCATCATACCCTCGGTACCCCGGTTGCCGAAGCCACCGGGCACCAACACACCATCGGCGGTGCACACGGCGTGCCACGCCTTGTGGTAATCGGCAGGGGAAGCCGTGTCGTCCTCGAGGTGGGAGGAGTCCACCCAGATGATGTTGACCTTCTTGTGGCAGTACATAGCGGCGTGCTCCAGGGCCTTGGACACACTGATGTAGGCGTCATGAAGAGAGGTGTACTTGCCAACCAGGGCAATCGACACCGAGTCGTGGAGGAAATCCTGCCCGCGGGCCAAAGAAACCCAGTCATTCCACATCCGGCTGCCCTTCTCGCTGCGCTCCGGCGACTGCTGGATCGACTTCAAGTCGAGCATGTCGGTGATGGTGTTGATCAGCTTCTGCTTCTCGAGGAGCAGAGGCACGTGGTAGGTGGTGGTGACGTTGTGGACGGCAATGACCTGGTGCTGCTCGACGGAGCACATGTTGGCGATCTTCTGGATGGTGCTCTCCTCCAAGGGCTGCTCGCAGCGGCAAGCAATCAGATCGGGGTTGAGACCAGCACTCCGCGAATCACTGATGGCCCTCTGCGTGGGTTTCGTCTTTTGCTCGCCCCCAGGTCCAGGAGGGATGACCGGCACGTAGGAAACGTGGATCTGAATGAAGTTGCCCTTTCCAGCCTTTCTCTGGAGCTGGCTCAGAGCGTGAATGAAAGGAGCACTCTCGATGTCGCCGACCGTACCACCCAGCTCGATGATGCAGACATCCGGCTCCGCCTTGGAGTCATCGACGGGAATCTTGGCCACCCGCTGAATCCACTCCTGTATCGCGTCGGTGACGTGGGGCACGACCTGGACGGTTTTTCCGAGATAATGGCCGATGCGCTCGCGGTTGATGACGTGCTGGTAGACCTTTCCGGTGGTGATGTTGTGATCCCGGGTGAGGGAGGAGAGGAGGTAGCGCTCGTAGTTGCCCAGGTCGAGATCCATTTCACCGCCATCGTCGGTGACATAGACCTCACCGTGCCTAGCATAGTGGGGGTGATGTCAATGAAGGGTCCCCGCGAAGCCGAACCACAGATACTGACTCAGTAGGTGCCATTGTGCCCGCATCGATGTTGATGTAAGGGTCGATCTTGATACTGGTGACGGCCAGGCCGGTGGTTTTGAGCAGCAGGCCGGTGCTGGAGGCAATAATGCCCTTGCCCACGCCGGAGATGACTCCTGGGGAACGCGTTGGTTAGCAAGTGGGCAAGACACTAGTGACCATCGCCGTCCCGCCAGACTCCGACCGGACCTGACAATTGGGCTTACCTCCAGAAACCAGAACGTATTTCATCTTTGCAGCGACCGACCGAAAGGGAATGAATGACGGGGGGGGGGGAGGAGAGCAAGACTGAGAGAAGTGGGAAAAAGAGGCAAAAAAAAAGTCGGCGGGCGCCCGGAGCGGTGGGCCACGTCACGTGCGGCTTATCTTATCGCGTATCTTATCGGGCTAGGCAGCTGCCAGGCACCAGTCGAACAGATAGCCTGCAAGGAAGTTATACCCAACCAGCTTAGTATAACACGGTATCTCTCTGATACTCCTCCGAGCGGCAGCTGTATGGCGCTAAATACCACTAAGTCACGCGAAGCGGGCCCTCCACGGGAGTCAGGTATGACGAGATGGCTTTATGCGATACGACACACTAGGACGTCAACCGTCTCTAGAAGCCCAGCCGGGTGTACTGTGACTCACATGTCGTTCTGCAGAGCTACACGCCTTGATGATGTCAAATTTGATGGGTGTAATATATATATCAGACAGACGCCATGCAGTGAATCTCCTTCGGGCTCTCTAAATATAAATACAGCCACAGGTAGATCTACTGAAACCCAGCACGAGTACTTGACTAAGGACTTTATTGGGCAACCAGAGAGTGGATTTGGGAATTCAACAAACACAGGGACCGAGAGTACCCGATCAGCACACTATTGTAGCATCGAAAGGGGTTTGATTGCAATCCAACAGAACCGGAAGCCGGACGTCCCTCAAGCCCTAAGCGTTATGACACAGCCTCTAAGTCGTGAACTAACAATAGACTGACAAGCAAAGCATAAAATGTCCCCTATTCCCCGGTTTATTCCCTACGCGACCAGTCCAATCGGACGGGAGGAAATACGTCGGTAAGCCAGGCACGTCAGCACTAAGCTTTAGCCCCAAGTGCCGACTTTGACGATCGCGGTCTGGCGGGCCCAGATAGCCTTACACAATACTGCATTGGGGTAAAATGCTTTCACAAAGCAATCGATCAATTAACATGGCTTAACGAGCCTTTTGCCAGCCGCATGGGTTTATAAGATGTAGAATTACAGACCTAGGATCGTTGCCTTCTTCTCCCTCTCGTCGTCAACCGCTATTTCTTCTTTTTGGATACTGACGATAACATCCATCTCACTCCCAACTACGCCACTACAAGCTAGCGACAGCAATCACAGGGACCAAAGGACGGGAAAAAGTGTGAGGAAGACTATTCACCATGGGACAAACCGCTTCTGCCCCTCGACCGGGGACTCAAATTCAAGTGATCGGCGCCGGTTTGTCTCGCACCGGAACAGCGTCCTTCAGCGCCGCCTTAGAAATACTTCTCGACGGACCCATCTATCATGGCGGTACACAGAATACGATGGGCTTACCCATCGAGATCAAGTCCTGGATTACGGTTCTACGAACGTGGCTTACAGGCCAAGACCGAGAGCACGTCCTCGCCCTCATCAAAGATCGCACCGAGGGCTACGCGGCGATTACTGATGCCCCCGGCAGCCAATTTGTCCCGGAGCTGCTGAAGCTCTACCCAGACAGCAAGGTGATCTGTACCGTCCGCGATCCCGCCGCGTGGGCGAAGAGCATGGAGCAGATTAGTGGACTGGCAACACTTTGGTTTCTTCGTGCGGTTCTCTTCCCGCTTCCGGGCATGAGACACTTTGTGGAGTATATCTCGCTTCTGCAGTTGCAGTGGGATCGAATTTATAATGACCAACGTGCGCATGATTATATCTATCATCGGCATATTGTATGGTTGAAAGAGGTTGTGCCTGAGGATCGACTGGTGTTTTTTGATGTTAGAGATGGATGGGAGCCACTGTGCAAGGCGTTGGGGAAAGAGGTTCCGGATGTCCCATTTCCTCGGATCAATGACTCCAAACAGATTAATCGGGTTGCGGAGTATCATATCAAGCGCGGTCTTAAGAGATGGGGTGTGGTTTTGATGGTGGTGGGAGTGGGTGCTGCTTGGTACATGTGTGGGTGAATCTATCAGGGTCTCCTTGTAGGCCGTGTTACATTTCACAAGATAATGTAGACAACGATTCACTGGTTGTTGATTCATTGTATAAGAAGAGGCAATGAAAGCCAGCGTCGAAGCTAAAGAACAGGCTTCATATATAATTAATTAAATGTAGGGTGATAGCAGCCGCAGCTATGAAAGTCCCAAAGCCGTCTTAGTAGCCTGGACAAGGAGATTCAAAAGTTGTTGCAAGAGCCTCTAGAGACAGAATTTGGATGGTACCACACTGTCGTCACAGTGGCTCTTCGCTTGAATGCGGACTCACAGCCGTATCTGATTGGTGCCTTGGGACATGATCTATATATCTCCCGAGATGGGATAGGTGTTTCTGTGGGAAGAGGTTGCTGACTGCTGCTCTGATGGGTCAAGGGCATGCTGTCATTGAGGCCGAAGAACGAGGAAAGATTCCTGAGAGATAAAGCGTCTAAGAATAACTCGTCAGGAAAATACCGTGATCGTTGGGGTATCCGACAATAGTTCTAAATGCCCGTTTCACCAATTCCCGAGAACCGCCTCTAGTGTGCTGAAGTCACCCTGCAAGGGGCAGCAAGCATCTCCACCACTACATCGAAAGCCTAGCATGTCACATCCTATCTGGGCCCCCTTCACCTTTATTGATGGCCACTCTCAAGTCAAACGGAACTTAATACCTTCAGCAATCTGATCTTCGCTGGATCTCATTTGGAAAGTGCCGGATTCTTCCTTTCGTCACCGTATCGATCCCAGGGCCCATTCATATTTTGTCCCACGATCGAGATCCGGAACTTATATCCGTAGCGGACATCGATTGTGCACTTGATCGCAGATAACTCACGTCCTCTATCCTTTCAAGTTTCTCACATGTCTGCTCCACCGTCCGGAACGCTCATCCCCCTGGCATATTCTTTCACGTAGGACAGCATCTCTTCGAAGCAAGGATATCCGATATCCTCTACAGCGCAAGAGAGCGACGCCCGACGAGACCATCTTCTCAGGTTTCCTATCGACACCGATGTACAGTATCCACAGCAACTCAGGGTATGTGCCAATTGGGGGTCTATAAGCTGACTTTTATGACATCAAAATTCTATCTGGCTTGGTGCACAGCAGGCCGTTTGGTCCCCAGTTTTCTTGCAGCTCGATGTGGGTGTTCTCTGGTATGATCGTCTACGTTGCACAAGGATATCTACTCCTTACAAGATGTTTTACATTTCCACCACTAACTGACAGCAGATTACATCTCCCATCAGCGATCCTGCGAGGTGTGTACCACAAGGCCCTTTTTCCGTGGACATATACCTGTCTCATGGCAATCGTACCGGGCGATGGACGGCACAGCCCGTTGCAGACCTGTATGCCGATCTTCGCTCAGCCAGCCTCTTCGAGGAGTGTGACCCAGAGCCGAAGGTTGGCTTCTAGGATTGCAGTAAATTGTACTGGGCAAGGTCACCTTATTGCTCAAGGCAATGCCGTTGACGTTGAACCTTGACAAACCATGGATTACTCAGTACCTGATTTGCTACGGGAACACATTATACGAGTCACGGAAAAGCGAGTCTGCACACATCGACATAAGGCAATCGTTGCTATGTCCCCATTCCTTTCCGCTTGACCGAGAAAACATGGTTTGCACATCTTCGTCATACCTTAACGACCAGATTCCTAGCCCTACATGCAGAATTAGGGGAAACATTGCTTCGTGATACTCAGAGGATGACGCTTTGCCATCCGCTTATCAGGATGGCCGCTTAGGCAAAGTTAGACGTCAGGCATCCTAGAGTACCATGTTGTATAGTCCTTGCAGGGACGATCAACTAAAGCGATAATCGAGAATACTGTCCTGTACAGTTCATGACACCAGAGACATGTTCAACAGTACGGTAAGGAGCCATAACGGTTCTCTTTTGCCATAATGACGGACATAGTGCGTGATGTCATTCCAGGAGTTGGATACAAGGAAAAGAAAACAGGGCGATCAAGCATATGGCACTATCAGGATTTTGGCAAGGCTTTGGCCGCAAGGGGATTTGTACAACGACAACGTGGCCCAAAGTCATCCTCTGTTTATGTCCATGCCTTGAAAAGGTGAGTTGTATCAAGCTAAGTCGGTGTCCAACTGAACATATATCACTGCCATCTCATAAAAGGACCTTTTGATATAGTGGAAAATTCACACTGAACATTATTTTGTCTAGAGCGATAATCCCCCGAGTACTATCTCAGAATGACTCTCCTGACCAACGGCCAAGCGCTCCCTCCCACCCAATGGGCCCACGTTTTCAAAACCCGGGGTCAAAGTACGCACATTGATGTCTGTTGTCTGGACCATGCTAACAACTCAGCCATCGAGCTCAAACAGATCCCCGTTGGCACCCCAGGCCCAGATGAGGTGCTGGTTCAGATGGAGTATTCGGGTGTCTGCCACACAGATCTCCATGCATGGAAGGGTCGGAATCCTTGCCCCCTAAGACCGTTCGCAGATATTCATCCCTCCAGGCGACTTTCCTCCTACCCCGAAACCAGATCTCGTCGGTATGTTCCCTTCCTCATGCACCGCATCCTCCACACGCTAAATATATACAGGTGGCCACGAAGGCGTCGGTCTCGTTGCTGCGATCGGATCGCAAGTGCATGGTCTCCGGATTGGAGATACGGTCGGAATACAGGTAAGTTGGATTCACAGATTCGCAAGTGCATGAAAGGTAATGACAATATATAGTGGATTAACAGAACCTGCGGAGTATGCGAGTTCTGCTCGACTGGGAATCAACCATTGTGCCCCAAGCTCCAGCTCTCGGGGTATATGGTCGATGGAACCTTTCAGCAGTATTGTATCTGCAAGGCTGACAATGCAGTTCGGATCCCTCCGGGGATTTCCCTGGAGGCTGCTGCTCCGGTATGCTCACCTGGTCGTTATGATGGTAACATGGCTAGGCTGACTTAATGTTTAGGTTCTCTGCGCTGGAATCACGGTGTACAAGGCGCTCAAAGAAAGTAATGTCCAGCCAGGACAGATTATTGGTGGGATATCCTAAGCCAGTGCTCATAATCTTTTCACTAATCAGGAATAGCTATTGTTGGCGCTGGTGGAGGACTGGGGTCATTAGCCGTTCAATACGCCAAAGCCTGCGGACACAAGGTCCTGGCTCTATCCAGTGGATCGGCCAAGGGACATATGTGTCTGTATGACCTGGGAGCGGATTACTTTGTTGACTACAAATCGCCCAATGTCGCCGAGGAAGCGAAGCACGTTACGGGTGGTGGACCACACGCTGCCATGATCGTTTCGTCGGTCGAGGAACCGTTTCACCGAGCTACACAGGTACTTTGCCCCTTTGCAGCAGTGCAAGTTGCTGATAAGTGTTCAAGTACATCCGTCCCGGAGGCACGATCGTCGCAGTCGGTCTCCCGCCCGGGAAGATATCAACGGATCTGTTCTCCATGGTAACTCAGAAGATCAGTATCAAGGGCTCCTATGTGGGTAACAGACAGGAAACAGAGGAAGCACTTGCCATTCTGATTAGGGCTGGCTTTAGTGTTCAGTATGATGTGGTTGACTTTGCAGAGCTGCCGAATATATATGACCTGATGGAGAAGGGTATGTTTAGCACCATTACCAGATTCTCTACTGACAGCCTTAGGACAAATGCAAGGTCGGAAGGTGCTAAAAATAGGCAAAACACTCTCGAAAAGCCCCGAGTACCTGTCCACATTTTCGAAAGATCTCCACTTCCGCCCAAGGCAGAACGGAATAGCAGGAAATGTTGTGTCACCAGAGCTTGAGCGAGCCATCGAGCGAGCTGGTGGAGATTTCCGATCTGATACCGTGACTGTGCCGACCGAGCCAGTGATGCAAGTACGTACCTGATTTGAACAACTCTAAGCGGCTTCTTATGTACTATCCAGGCAATCATAAACGCGTCTAGCTTCGAGGATGACATCTACGAGGGCGGGGATCCAGCCGTTAACGCATTCCAAGACAAAATCAAAGCGATGACAGGAAAAGAAGCAGCACTGTTTGTTTTGTCCGGTACCCAAGGTAACCAAATTTGCTTACGAACGCATCTCCATCAACCACCTCATACGATCCTGCTGGACTACCGCGCCCACGTCCAGGTTTGGGGGACCGGTGGGCTTCCTCTCTTTTCGCAGGCAACAGTGACAGGCGTGGAACCAAAGAACGGAGTCCATCTCACGCTGGATGATATCAAAGATAGAATCGTGGAGGAAGGGAACTGTATGTCGCCCAACTCTAACAATCAAACCACCCATGGCTAACAACATCGCAGTCCACTTTCCCCCTACCCGGGTCGTCTCCCTCGAAAACACCCTCTCCGGCTCAATCCTACCCCTGAAGCACGCCCGCGAGATCTCCAACTACGTCCGCAACGTCCGCGTCCCGCCCGGCCGAACCCGAATCGCGATGCATCTCGACGGCGCACGTCTCCTTGAAGCCACCACAGCCGAGAACGTCAGCGTCAGGGAATACCTCGACTGCTTTGACAGCGCAAGCATCTGTATCTCCAAGGGCTGCGGCGCTCCAATGGGAAGTGTCATCGTGGGAAGCAGGGAATTCATCGATCGCGCCAGGTGGTTCCGGAAGATGTTTGGCGGGGCGACTCGACAGGTATATACCTTTGCCACCCATCCATCCCTTCACTTCACATTATCCGCTAACTGGAAATTATAGACTGGAATAATGGCCGCCGCTGCCTCCGCATCCCTAGACTACTGTCTCCCTCTCCTCCCCAAAGTGCATGCTCTGACCCGTCGAGTCGCAGAATATCTCCATCGCATTGGGTATGAGTTTCTCTTACCCGTGGAGACGAATATGATTGTGTTGAATTTGAAGAAGACGGGGATCGACGGAGAGAGTCTTGTTCGGTACTGTACGAAATATGGCCTGCGGACGTTTCCGAGTGGACGGTTGGCGTTTCATCATCAGATTTCCGAGGATGGGGTTTCAAGGCTGCAGAGGGCTTTGTTAGAGCTGATTACGGATGTTAAGAGGGTTTAGATCTTGGGGTTGGGGATTCGGGAGGGGTTTGGAGGGGAGTGCTGAGGGGTTGTGATGGTAGGATGTGGGATTATAGATTGATTATCACGCAGTTGTTTATATTTTAATTAGGACGAGTTCCCAACAACCCTGATTTCTCAGCCTACCTGCAAGACGAGACACGGCTCATAGTTGCTATATCATCTTCTCAGCGTGTTTGGAAGAAGTGCCAGAAAGAAAGAAGAGCAAAATACATTTGCCCAGAAATCGGCAATCAGACTACCAATATGTACAATGAAACCAAAAAACCCTGTTTACGGAAGAAGAAAAAAGCGCAAACTAATGCTACCGTACCACACGCCCAAGATACCCATTCGCAGGCTCACAACACCCCCCTCACAACGCAAACGACGCCTTAATATCCGTATCCGACGCCGGAAAAAACGACCCCGAAGGGCTTTCAGGATAAACCTAACCAGCACACACACATAATCAGCCAAAAAACATCACCCCTCAACCCACCCCCGTGGAAAAGAAATAACCTACCAAATCCGAAATATTATACATCTCCTGCTCCGAGACCCACGTCCCCCCATAATACCCCTTATCAACAATACACTCCCTAAACAAAACCGTCATCGCTGTATGGCAAAACTCCAACGGTTTCGTAATGTCGGTCCGTTTGATTTCGCCCATGTAGTGGGACCAGTTCTCTCCGACCCACCAGGCGTAGGGGTCTGAGGAGTTGTAAAAGAGGGTGGTCATGGGCTGGAGAGTGGTATTTAGTGATTTGTTTGGTGGATGGGGGGATTAGGGGGGGGGCTTTACTATGTCGCAGAGCTTGGTGACGAATCCGGAATACCCGCCTGTGTTGTTCCAGGTGAGGTCGCTTATTAGGTTGGCTACGGAGGGGGCGTTGGTTGGGCGTGGCTGTGTGCAGGAGAGGGTTCCGATTGATGTTGTTTGAGTTTGAGTGGATGATGGAGGGGTAGTTGTAGTCGAGTGTGCCTCGGATGTCATGGATGTTGATGGATGGGTAGTGGTTGGAGAGGTTGGCGAGGAAGCTGGATGGGTGGCTGATGATGGCAGATGTGTGGAGGCTTTTGGATTCTGGTCTGTCGGATGAGTTGATGTAGTAGGTGTCGCAGTCGTGGATGGCACCGTGCTCGTAAATGCGATCATGGAGGAGCTGGAAAATGAAAGTGAGCATGCTGTGGAATTGGCATCACCGTACTCGACGGCGCAGTAGAGGTCCATGGAGATATCAATTGTACAGGAAAGAGTTCCATTGGAACAACTACAATCGGGAAAGTCAAGACACTGTGGCGGCGCCCGTGATTCGAAGAAATGAGGTCCATTGGACCATGGCATGGCTGCAGCCAGGTATGTGGTAGAAAGAAAAGAAAAGAGCCACGCATTGAGCCAGCTATGGCCGAAAGGCCCGTGAAAAAAAGTCATGATTGAGTCAATGGAAAGTTGAAGAGAATTGTGAAATCAATGGATAGTCCTGGGATCTTGAACGGTTGAATGATTATAGTTAGGAGAATTGACCTGGACTTGGTTCAGTTAATTAAAGTTCATATAAGCGCCATATTTACCGACGCCAGCCTTACCACACCAGCCCCGAACGCACCTGGTCTGTTTAGATTCATATCCCGGTGATAGAGTCAGCCGCTACGAGTAACTGACAGCTTTTAAGCGCCTCGCAGATTAAAGCAGGGATATCGAGGCGGATTCTGCCCAGAGAATATCTGGGAGTAAATATAGCCAGACTAGGCTACAGATCCTGCTGTTCACATGCATACGCACGGATGAGATGTCAACTGCCCCTGCACACCTATGGCGTCGTACTGCGTGTACGGATGGGTCGGTTAACGGCATAGCATGGGACAGCTGAACCTGAAGCCATCCAACCATGAAGAGCATACAGATACTGACAATCTACGCGACTTTTATATAATTGTTATTGGATTCCTCGGACGCCCTTCGTGAGCCCTTGGTAAGGCTTTTCCCGAGGCTTTCAAGGCAATTATTCCTACTTTTGAAAGAATATCGGATAGAACTAGGTGAATATCGCAAGGATATTGCTATGCACGCTTCCTAAAGCAGAAGACAGAGCGGGCTAGATCAGCAGATGTCGGTCCGTGAGTGACCTAGCCGGTGTCGCTGTAGCGACTCCTAAAGCAAGATCCTTTAGGACTACGGAATGGTCAATTCGGACATTAACCCAGTACATGGGTAAAGCCAACAATTATCTTATATACGAGTCGCTATTTGACCACATGGCGGGCGTACCTACCGCAGAGGGAGGAGCCTGACGCGTAGACAGGAAGGATGCATGGGGTCAAAGCGCACGCAGCATGTCACCATGGCGCTTATGGCCAATTTGTGCTTTCTGTACAGCCTTGCGGCTCAGGGGTACGGCGATGTATAGCCTGTGGTGTTGGTATAAGAATATGTTCGGTATCATTACCACAGCATACTAGCAGCTCAAGACCCCTGGTGTCTAAAATCGCCTACACGGAAACAGAGTCCCTTGTCCAAAGCTCTTCAGCTTCCCGGTTCTTGCCTAGCCCGCTCCGAGCCTCCGACAATTTCTCAGCCTACTATACTTGGATCAATTCCATCAGTGTTTCTTCACCTCTGGCTCCGTCTTGGAGTTCAGCAACTCCCATATCATTCACCAGTCTTTCATTACAAAGTCAATCTCTTACCCCACCATCAAGCTCATCACCAAGCCCAACTTCAGTCATCTTGCCTGGCAAGCCAAGTACCCCGACTCCGGCGTGGGCAAGCGAAACAATCTCTAGCCCAGAGCCAAATTCGTCCGTGACCGATGGTTTCACGGTAACGGCTTCTCCTGATTCCATTGCCACAACCACTCCTGAACAAATTACGGCTTCCACAACAACCTCAACGCTATCGATCATTACCGGATACACACTGGACGCGCTCACAGTGAGTGTGAGCAGCACCGTCACAAGCAACACGTATACACGGACCGGAGATTCCAGTCATACCACCGCAATCGTTCCACTATTGCTTGATTGCTGGTTCTGCCCGAGTGATGAAGGGATTTTGCTCTGGGGTCTGTCGCTGCCTGGCATTTACCCTCCACCGATCAAACCACCTATCCCTTCATGGCCGACAATTACGATTGGAGATAATCTGATTCCGACGCCCGATCCGAGCAGTAAGGCCGATGATAAAACCACGGCTACCAGCAGTGCAACCTCTTCGACAAGTTCAACGATAGAAAGCCAGACCACGAGTGAGGTGGAAAGCCAGTCCACCAGTTCGCAGACTAGTGAAACACCGTCAAGTGCGACCAGCACCGCCACGTCAGATTCATGTGATGCGAGCTCGGCGTCAGAACGCTCACATTCGGCGCACTCTCTGAATCGAAGAGAACTCGTCTCGGTACTGGATGATCCACTTGGGACAGCCCTGAGTTACCTCGGAGTCGAGGGACTTAAGAGTGCCACATTGTTCGTTAGCAACAAACAGCCGGGTCCGGAAAAGGAGAAAATAACAAACACATGGGCCATGGGAGTTGGTGGCACCTATAAGCTTCCCAGACGTGGGGTTACGATTGAAGGAGTCCATCTCACCGGCAGCATACCGTGGATGGTCCGTTGGGATAATGACCCTGTCAAGGGGGTACATGTCAATGGGGTCTGGGGTAAAGGCCCGGGTCGGGTGAAGGTAGCGTACAAATTCCACCCCGATGAAAATGGCGGAGATAAAATTGGATGGGCGGCATTGAGAGACAATGTCGAAAAACTTAATAGAGCAACACGGATAAAGTCCTATCGCGAAAGAACTGAGGATGAGGCAGAAAGGTACAAAATTGTGTTCAAGGACGGAAGGACCGAGGCGGATGCCGTTCAGGCTATTATTGAGGTCTGGAGTACCTTGATTACTACTGGATCGTGTTAATCATTCAAGTATATAGTCAGTGTAGGTTCTTTGTTTTGGCTATCTTTTTGCCTCTTTTCTCATTCTCAATAGCGCATGTTACTATCCTGTCATTCTTACCATTTTCTAAACTTCCTGGAGATTCTTCAGGGGTTCAATTCAGTGCATGTGTGACCCTGATAGAAGCTTTTGGCATTAATCTCAAGTGTGTTTAAAACAGAATCTGGGTATATTCCATCTGACTTAGGTCTAGTTATACGCTGTGCTGACTGTTTTCTAAACTTGCTTCGACATGTGAATCAAGATTTAGGGGAAGCTCAGTGTCAAGTCCCGCATGAGTTCTTGAAGGGTAGGACAGAACAAAAGATGGTAAATGAACAAGAGATATTAGAATGCCTATAGGAAGTGACAATAAATACTTTGCCAAAAGATAGCGAGAACAAAAGGAACAGATAGACAAAAGGACACTGTAACTGAAGGATATAATCTAATCCTGCCTTGTGGAAATACTAACCAGTCAAATCTTTCAAAACTACTGTATGATACAATACTCGGCGCATCGCTTTTCGGTTTGTATGGTATATGTTCAGGCTTACTAAAATATAGCAGAAATCCAACGCGTCCACAGGATTGGTCAGATTGGCAGGGGGTTGCGATCACGGGTTCATGATCGGGGCTCCCCGAGCTCCCAACTTCACCAGCCGCCCCGCCTTCCAGCCAGAACCCACTTCTGTCCTGGCCCTTCAGGCTTCCGATTTTTGATACTTATCTCCTCTTCGACTTCATCAGTGATATAACTAGACCCCCCTCCCCCAGCAATGCAAGTTTTCGGCTGTGGGAACAATAGTGGGGGTAACCTCGGAGAGCCACGCAGCTGTGGTAGATACCATATCAGCGACACGCACCAATGTGAGCACAACAACTACGGCAAGGACAGCCCCTACTGCCCCCTTTGGGCCTTGTCACCTAAGGAGGTTTTCCGCGCTACGCAGAAGATCCGGATCATCTGCTGCGAAAATGATGTGGTTTTCTATGACGTCGACGGAGAGTTGAAGCACCGCGGTGATAACCCCCTCACACAACACTCGCTAGCAGAGGTGACACGGTCATGGAACATCGGCGCCCTTACCAGTGCGGCCCGACTGGCAGATGGCTTTGCGTTTCTTAGTCAAGATGGAACTCTCTCGACGGTCCGAGACACGGACGGTGTACACACGTTCCGCGGGACACCGATCCAGCACATTGCAACTATGCGCGTTGACTCCTACAACCCGAATCTTGTCTCGGGCGCGGTCGCCGTCGTGCTCAAGGACGACCCGCGCACCGTACTGTCCTTTGACTCCTGGAAGCCGTTCCGCTCTTTTCTCGAATCATCGGAACCCAGCGGCAGTCCTGTCTATACAACAACCTTCTCCTCGCCCACTGTTCAACTAGCTGGTCACTTCACGGCTATGACAGAAAGTGGTGAGGTCTTCGCGTGGGGAGACCTACTTCCAGAGCAACCCCCAGCCCCACCTGACTATGACGAGGATGAGTGGACGGAGGAGACGAATGCATACGCCTTCGATGGTAAGCCGATTGAGAAGTGGCCTTCGTGGGAACCAAGACTGCTCAATTACGAGCCGAAGAGAGTGCCACTTCCGCCCATTGCAACACTATCAGTGGGCGCAGTAGGGAATGTTGCGGTCTCCCGATCGGGTCAAGTATTTCTGTGGGGAAGCAGGAGAAACCAGTGGCCAGAGATAGAAGATCTTAACGATGCCAACAGTGCGCAATTCAAGGAAGCCCTCATCCCGAATGCGAATGCTCCATTGAAAATCAAACGTGCCGCTGCAGGACGCAATCACATTGTTGTCCTTGCAGTAGATGGATCGCTGTGGTCTGTCGGTGAAGCGGTTCATGGCCAGTTAGGGATCGGTCTCCGACAGTTTGGATTGTGCACCGAGGGACATGTCATTGATATGCTTGCCAATGAGACGGAGGAGGAGTTTGCCGTGAGTTGGGAAAGAATGGAGATGGGAGCTTTGGCGGGTCTGGAATGTGAAGATGTGTTTGCTGATGGGGAGAAGACCTTGATTTTAACCTCATCAAGGACATGATCATGTGCCGTTCTAGTGTAGTGTCCACTTGGCTGATAGTCTTGTTGTTCTTGGCTTTTAGAGTTATAATGGTGTTGAGAGCGGAAGGGATGGTCGGTTGATCAAACTAACAGATCTGACTACGGAAGCAAACGGAGTGAGTTCTTCCAAACGTCTGACATTGAACTTTGGATTCAGTACCTGTCTAGGTACAGTGGGGAGAGCCATGGCTCCATTGATTTATTCTGGTCGTGATGCTGGGCTTGAGAAAAGAAGACCTCATCGAGAAGGGCATTGGACTATCAGTCCGTGCGCGCCCACTCAACTTCTGGCAGAGTGGGCAGCTGAATACGCGATCGAAGGCTGGATGCCGGCTGCGCCCGCGATGCTTGGTGGATACCTGCTAACTGGCCCGATGGTGCGCTAACAGAGACACCGGCCAATCTCCGGTATCCGTCGGTCTCCAGGACGGCTGAAGGATCACTAACTCGGGCCGGCTGTTCGAAGCCCCCAACACGTGACGCACCCTTGAACCCCTCGGACATCTCCGTTTTGAACCTCTGAGCAACGAACTTGACACCCCTATTGTGGGATACAGAGATCAAACAAGACAATGGAGTCAAAGCCGGTAAGAAATCCAGCCAGTGCCCCGGGCCGAGCACGACAGAAGCGGTGGGTGGCACGAGTGAAAACCGGCTGTGTGACTTGCAGGTACGGACGAGACACGCGACGACAGCATCATGGACTGATATCCCCAGGATCCGCAGAATCAAATGCGATGAGGGGAGACCGAGGTGCGTGGCTGGATCAGCGCCGTGTGGGTATACTAAATATTAGCCAGTTGTCGGAATTGCCGCTCGACCGGTCGGTTTTGTGATGGGTACAATGATGACTCTATACCCAAGGAGTCTGACTGGCTGGTCACGTCGAGGCTGCCGTCCACCTGGGATTTTGTGACTTTGGATCCCGTGGAGAAAGAGAACTTTGATTTCTTCCGTTCCATCACCACATCGACCCTGGCCGGATACTTCGACTTTGGGTTTTGGTCGTACCGACTCTTGCAGGATTCGCATCGCTACCCGGCCCTTTGGCACGGGATGACTGCTCTTGCGGCCGTTCATCGCGAGTATGTCGATCCCAGTAAATCCCTGACCCGACCCAGGATGGGAGACACCCGGAATGTCCAGTTTGCGCTGAAACAGTTCAATAAATCGATTCAATCCCTGATGAGTCAGTTTTCCGGACACTCGTTGACGATTAACGACAAGATCGCGGTGCTGTCTACCTGCGTGTTATATATCTGTATCTCGTCCCTGCAAGGCCGTCAGCCACAGGCATTCATGCACCTGCTTAACGGGTTAAAGTTGTTCCACCAATGGGGGCTACAGTCCAGCCACACGAGGTCACCCGAGGATTGGCTTGGAGCTGAGATGCTGTTGCTCATTTTCACAAGACTTGATTCTCAGGTCCGTCCGTACCTAGTCATGCAGGACATGTCCTCTAGTTGGACAGAAACCCAACTGGTCGTGTCCAGTGAACGTCCATTTGCCACGCTTCTCGATGCGTACATTTCCTTGGAGGCTTTATTCAACGATGTGATGCGCTTCTACCTGAGTTACTATCCGAACAAGGCTGCCAACGCGGATCCGATTCCATCTGGCGAGAAGGAGATGTACCTCCATCAGTTGCAAGAATGGGATGCCAAGCAAACCGCTCTGCTTATCAGAAGCCCGGAATACCTGGAGGAAAGGGCCACGGATCTGCTGAATGTCCGACGGAAATTCATCCAAGTCCTTCTGGATTTGGATCAGAGTGAGGGGGAATTAGGCCACGACGTGTTACTGTCGCAGTACACGGTCATGGTTGATATTGTGGCCCGGATATTGGAGGGCACTGGAGGTAACCAATCGCTGAAGCAGCACCATCCCAAATTCAGCCTGGAGACGGGAATCGTGGAACCTCTGTTCTTGGTAGGTACTCGATGTCGGGAGCCAGTTCTCCGACGAAAAGCCCTTGATCTCATGCGACGGTATCCCCGTCGAGAGGGAATCTGCGAGGGCATGTTAGCTTCATACATTGTGGAAAAGGTGATCGAGATCGAGGAGAATGGCTGTCACCAAGCGAATGCAAAGCCGTCGACGAGTACATGCACTGAGGGGCAATGGATCTGTAAAGCGCACCGGGTGGCGACGTGGGATTTTATTCTGGCTACGGAGCGTCAGGTTCGGGTGGTGATGAAGACGGTGGAGGATTGGGAGCTGTCGCGTCCGGGGTCTGAGGTGGTCGCATCTTGGTGGTGAGCATGGTACTCGGGTCGCTTGTCGTGATAAGCAAATACAGTCTTCTTAACGAACACGTTGAATTAAACAATATTAGGTATTGTACTTGGTGTCCCATCTCTTTCAAGGTAGTTATGACCCGTGGATCGGCCTGAACTTAATTACTAGATTGAGCCATGGAATTAAGTATCGAATCAGCCTGGCAGGCTATAGCGGCTCCAGCATTCATTTCATGACCCACCTGATCATATTCAAGCATAATTCCTCCCAACTCACGAGTCCGAAACACAATAGCCTATGGACCACCTAATTCTCTACCCCTCATCAACATGCCTCTTCCACTCCCACTCAAGCATCTCTTCTCCATCCCAAACCAGACCAGCCAGAGCACCCGACCGAAACATCTCCGCTGTTTGCTCCGGAACTGCCCCGAAGCCCACCAGGATAGCTGCATGCGTGCACTCGGTTACATTCCAGTGGCCGTCGGGTAGGGATGCTGTGTGAGGGGTCAACCGGAAACAGGCGGTCACCCGGGACCAGACCAGGGGCTGCGGGTAGAATACATGGCAAAACAAGCAGCATCGTGCGTCGGGTGCGTCGGGGATAACAGGTCCGTTGGCTAGCTGCAGTGGACAGCTGCTGTGGACAAGTATCCATGCAGGTGATGGGGTACCACGTCATCTAGCGATACCTTGATTTTGCTGGGGGCCTTTAATTTCAAGTGTGTCAGCACTTTATTCTACTCATTATGGAAAATTCCACAGTTGAGAGTATCGCAGTGGTTGAGTTTACTATTCTAGTATCCTAAATCACCACAATCATAGAATAGTATATCCAATTATTCCTGTAGACACTAGCAGCACATAAATCACCATGACGCATCCCCCGTCAAGATGATAACCTGTCAGAAGCGGGGCCGTGCATCCTCCCGAAGCCCGACATTGGGCCAGGCACATCCTACCATCCAATCAATTATTTCTTTGTTTGATCTCAACTCATGCTCACTCATCATGGGTCTGATTCCTCCCACCCCCGTTTGGCTGCCTAGCGATCGTATTTAACCACCACCACCACCACCACCACCTTCATACCTACAGACCCTCACTCTCATCCACACAACATCAACTTCACCCCTCTGCATCATGCCCCTCAAAATCCTCATCGTCGGTAGCGGCTGCGCCGGCCCCGCCCTCGCCTTCTGGCTCGCCCGAACCGGCCACCACGTCGTGGTGGTGGAACGATTCCCCTCTCTCCGGGACAAAGGCGCCCAGATCGATCTCCGCGGCCAAGGCATCGAAGTGGTCCGCCGCATGGGTCTTCTCGACATTGTCCGCAGCAAATGCGTCCCTGAATCGGGGTTCACGTTCCTGGACGCCAACTCGAACGTCAAAGCCAGTATCAAGGCGAATACATCCGGCAAGGGACGACAGTCGCTGACGTCGGAGTTTGAGATTATGCGGGGGGATTTGGTGAGGGTGTTTTATGAGGCCACGAGGGATGGGGTGGAGTATGTGTTTGGGAAGACTGTTGAACGGTTTGAACAGGCTGATGGGGAGAAGGTGGTGGCGTACTTTTCTGACGGCACGTCGGATACGTATGACTTGTTGGTTGGGGCGGATGGGCAGGGTTCGCGGATTCGAAGGGGGATTCTCCCGCCTGGGACCCCGGATCCGTACGTCCATCTGGGCATTCACGCGGCGTATTGGTTTGTTCCCCGGATTGAGAGCGATACGAATACCTTCACGACGTATTTGGCGCCGGGGGGCCGGGCGGTCTTCCGACGGAGTCATTCACCGACGGAGTCGCAGGCGTATTTCATGCTGAAGGATAGCTCGAAAGAGTTGGCGAGTTTGCATCGCGCGCCGGTGGAGCAGCAGAAGGAGTTTTGGGCAGAGCGGTATCGGGGGGCGGGGTGGGAGACGGAGCGGTTTATTGAGGGCATGCGGACGACGGATAATTGGTATTGTCAGGAGGTGGTGCAGGTGCGGACGGAGACCTGGCATAAGGGACGGGTGGTGTTGTTGGGTGATGCGGCGCATTGTCCGGCGGTGATTACGGGGTTGGGGACGACGTCCAGTATCATCGGGGCGTATATTCTGGCCGGGGAGATTGCACGCCATCCCGGGGATGTGGGGCAGGCGTTGCGGAATTATGAGGCTGCGTTGAGGCCGTATATCAGGGAGATTCAGAATCTGAATACGTCGATTGTGAGGTTTGCGTTTCCGACGACGTGGTGGGGGATTGCCATCCTGCAGTTTGTGGCCGGGTTGTTGTGTTGGTTGAGGATTCCGGATTTGATTGCGAGGTTTTCGACGGAGGATACGGGGGGGTGGGAGTTGCCGGAGTATCCTGAGCTGCATTGATGCTTGCTTGGACTAGATTTCGAGATGGGTGTTGTCCCCTCCATGCAGCATTTTGAACATACAGCTTGTCTTTAACGTGTCGTCTTTATGAAATTAATATTACATTATCATACCATTATCCATATACCATATACCCATATTGCAGACCACCCACCCATCATCATCACCGCATATTATTCATCCTCTTTCCCCCATCCTCCCACTCAAACCCCTCTGCATTTCTTTCCCCTCCCCCCTTTGACACTACCTCCCTCTCAATGATCGTCTCCTGCGTCACCTTGATATCCCCCGCTTTTCCCCCCACCAACCCCTCCTCATCACTTCCCCACCCCCCATGCCCCGTTCCCCTATCATGCATGGATACAGACACTCTAGTCCTGGTCCTCGATTTCTTCCCCATCTCTGTGCCCGTCCCCGTCTGCGTCACCCGACTTCCCAACGGCACCGACTCCCCTCGGAATTTATAACTACTATTCTGCCCCCTTGAACTAAACAACCCACTTAATCCCACCATCCCCGCTCCCCGTCTAATCAACGGTTGAATGATCGGTAGATTCGACACGATAATACTCACGAAGGTTTCTCGACACGCCCATTGCGAGCCGGAGACGGCGCCGTTGGGACCGGACTATCCATTTCATTCCCGTATTAGTTTTGTTTATGTGGGTGGGTGGGATTGGGGTAGGGATAGGGGTGTATGGTACCGTCATGATTGTAACTGCACGAATAATCCCCGCCATGATGATGAATGCGGCGCTGCTGAAGAGACCCAGGAGGGTGATCTTTTGGCGGGTGGGAATTTTGACGGCCCAGAGGAGCTATCCATTCCTTTGGTTAGTGGGGTGGTGACTGGGGGTATTGGGGGGGGGGGACGTACAGGGAGGGGAATAGACATGAGGTAGAGATCGGTAATGACGTTGGGGATGACCACGACGAGGACGCTGAGGGTTGAGTTGGTGGGTTGGCAGATATCTTTCCAGGTTGGATTGTATTAGTGCTGAGATTCATGGGGTAGGTTGCGATACTATGGGATTGAGGGGGAGGGGCTTACTGCCTGGATTCGGATAAATCTGCCAATTCTTACGCATCGGCTGACATCCCAGGATGATGGTTAATGCAACAGTAAGGTATGTCACACCCAGGAGGATATACGCGAAGCGAACTCGTGTAGGGAGGTGATTTAACCCAGTCCTAAGGGAAAACAATTAGACTTCCTGGCATAGGTAACGGAGAGGGGACACACGTGAGACGGGAATAATAAATCGCCACACAAAACTTAATCAACCAGAGAATCATCGCATACAACGACCACCCGATGACCTGAATCTTGGACCCCCAGACCCGATTGTAATATTCCCGGGAGGTGGGATGCACCGCCGCGCGCTGCTCATCAGTCATGTAACTGTTGGTAAGGCCATCGAATTGGCTGCGGACGAGATGTGCGGCGACGGTTTCGCCGGTGAAGACGAGCTGATTGCTTAGATTCTGCATTCATAGGGTCATGGTATAGACTCACCCCCGCTAATGGCATCAGGTAGTCATCCACCGCAAAATTCAAGGGCGACCCGACTTGGGACCACCGGACATAGACGCGGACGATGATGAAGAGGAGGCCTAATGCCAGGAGGGTAAATGCCTCTGTGTCGGCGTTGGCCATGGTCGATGTTGAGATCCTGTCGATAGAGAGCGGACGCTATCAAGGCATGGACGCATCTTATACAACAGATCAGCATGGAAAGGGGCACTCGCCAAGCACTCAACCACTGACCGATACACAAAGACGGTAGGATTGCGACCCGCGATTGGATATGTGTCAGTCCATCCGAGGATAAGGTTGTCTACCCACCGAATTGCGCACGATCCGGGGAACGCACGACAGCCGCCAGAGTATCGGAGATCGGTCCGGCGAAGTGTAATCTCCCAGCAGAAGTGCTGGATGGATTGCATGGAGTCGGGAAATGGTTCCAGTGTGGTTCAGCGCCGATCGGGACCCACACGGCAGTTGATGGGCGTCGGATTTCCCAATGGGGAAGTTAGCGGGTGTGTAGTTGCTGATCGCGACTGTGCTGAGGTGTTCTTTGTGCGATCGAGGTGGTAGATTTAATGAAGGGAAGTTGAGCTAGTGATTCTCCCGGGACGCGTGCTAGATAGGGTATAAATGTAGAGACTGGGATGGATGCCCGTGCGAGGAAGAATTAAAACCCTCACTAGCTTTCGGGAGCCGAGAATAGAATAGCATGTGTCATGCCCCTGATCCAGCTGGTCGGGGCGGGTGTAGATGCTGCGGTGGAGAGAGACTCAATTTTGAGACTACGGTACGATACCCGCGTAGGGTTTTCGTGCCACATGTGGTCAATTGGATAGACAAAATTCAGTTCTTCTGGTTCTGTCGGGTTTAACTCTGCAACTGGTCTAGCCGCTGTTGTTGACTTGGCTCACTTTGGAAGGTGCTTGCTACCAGTTCATCAACTGCAATTACTAGACAGTTTAGGGTATGGGCTATGGATAGGAATGTTGCCATATGGCTAGCCAGATACAGGTAGAGTAAGTGGACACGTGCTCAGTTTGCCTAAGATCGGACTAAAAGGTAGCTCGAAGCTGATAAGAAAGCATTCTAGGCACCTGCTAATGTACATGGTTGGGGCGAACGGTTGGGATATATCACCGACTTAATCCACAACAATAATCCCTTTAAGACCCGTACATCATAGCAACACAAATTGCAATAAATCCACGAAATATTTACGGATCAAACAAACCCATTGAAACAAGATACGTATACTACCCAGCGAACCAACAGACGCTGTTATCCACACCAAAACAACAGCACCACCTATTCCCCCTTCCCGAAGGCCAACTGCCTAGGCCTCCCCCACGTATCACACGGCAAAAACCGCCACGCGCCCGCATGCTTCCGGGCAAAAATATAATGCACAAACCACGCCGACAGGGGCGGCATCGCCGGCCAGTTATTCCCCCCTTCAAACGTAACATCCCTCAAACCTAGTACCATCGGCGGAACCACATTCTACATCCGTCAGCACCACCACCACCACCACCATCATCAAACCCTTGATAGAATACGGAGTATGTACTCACCTTATCCTGCGTCCCCGCTTCAGCCTCACACTCCTTATACACCTCCAACAGCTTATCCCCATCCCCATATCCCTCCATCCTGAGTAAGGTCTCAATCTCACCAGCCAAATGCTCCCGAAACGGCCCCGCCAAATCCTCAATCATCTTTTTCAAAACACCAGGATTATACTCCCCCGCCTTCGTTCCCTTCCCATACTCAAGTAGTTTGCTTAACAGTGGCTGAAACCCATGATGTTCCTCCACCTCCCCCCCCAAATACCCCTCTCTCCCAATGACCCGCTCAAAACCAGGAAACATCCTCTCCTCCTCGATGACATGGTGATGGGAGACCCATTCCGCCCAGGACCTCACGAAGAAGAGAAAGTCGGTGATGTCGTTTGGCGAAGTGAGGTGCGGGGCTTGGTGGTAGATGCTGTTCAGGCCGCGGAGCATGGCGTTGTGGGCGTGCCTCATTTCGGTGGCGATGTAGGTTGCTGCGTGGGACTGTAGTAGTGGGTTAGATTGGGGTGGGTGTGGGGTTAGTTGGGGGAGGGGGGGTTACGGTGTGTTTGGGTTTGGGGGGCGTGGTGAGGAGAGGCCAGGGGGTGTTGGCCCAGGGTGGGGGGGTTGTAGTCATGGTTTGATGATGATGATGGGGAGGAAGAGAATGTTGTGTTGGTGTGGTGTTGCTGTAGGGGTGTGTAGATGTTATATATCTGGATGCGAGGCTGAAGGATGGACTGGACCCTGTCGGGATTTAGACTAGCGATGGAGGACCAATCAGGATCATGCTGTAAAGCGAGGGAACGAATCATCGTTGATGGATCTGGATGGTCAGCAGGTGGATCAAGTGGCTTGAGCTTAGCCTTGTCATTGACAATGTTCCTTATTGAGTGAGGGAATACCCTTACGTCCCAAGTAGAAATTTGAGAAAATAAAGAAGAAAAACCAAAATACACAGCAGAAGCAAAGAAAGTCAATTCCAACATCCTACCAATCCCAAATCATTCATACTATACCACAACCTCACTCAAAGATTACCCACCCGCATCACATCCCACAACCATCCCTCTGATCCCAGGCATCCACCATCACAGCCCATCCCTCACCACCCCCAGGGAAGTTAAATAGCAGCCCGCCCATGCGTCTCAAACGGCAACCCAAAACACACCGCCCCAACCACCACCCACAACGCCGCGGAAGCATAAATCGGCGCGGTGGTAAACCCCGTCTGCGACGCAATCAAACTCGCACACAGCCCACCAAACCTTAACAATGATGCCGCGGTACCCGTTCCGGTGCCGCGATGCGGAGCGGGGAAGGATTCAGGCGTGAAGGCGTACATGATTGCGTACTCTACCCGTCGGTTAGTATCCGGGCTTTCTGTGGGGGGAATAATGGAACAGGGAGGTTGG